GACAGAATCTTCTTCAAAGCCATGGTGTTTTACTGCCGGGAGATGCTTTGTTCGAAGCTGTTTTCCCGCGAGCAGCTGCAGGCAACCGAATCTCTCGACAAATGCTTTTTTTCTAGGATTTCAGACGACATGTTAGGGAGTTTTTTCGCGTGCTTCTGGACCTTGCTCGTCCTTCAGAGCCATGGTGTTTTGCTGCCGGGAGCTACTTTTTTCGAAGCTGTTTTACCGGCATTTGCAGCAGCAGCCGCCGCCACCAGTTCTGCGAGCAGCCGCAGGCAACAGAATCTCTCGACAATCTCTCGACAATGTGCTGTTTTTCTAGGATTTCGGACGACACGTTAGGGAGTTTTTTGGCGTGGTTCTGGACCTTGCTCGTCCTTCAGAGCCATGGTGTTTTGCTGCCGGGAGCTGCTTTTTTCGAAGCTGGTTTACTGGCATCAGCAGCAGCAGCCGCCGCCACCAGTCGTGCGAGCAGCCGTAGGCGACAGAATCTCTCGACAATCGACAAATGCTGTTTTTCTATGCTGTTTCTATGCTGTTTTTTTGCTGTTTTTCTAGCTCATTTTTTCTAGCATTTCAGACGACCCGTTTGGGAGGTTTTTTGGCGTGGTTCTGGAACTTGCTCGTCCTTCGGAGCCATGGTGTTTTGCTGCCGGGAGCTGCTTTTTTCGAAGCTATTGTACCGGCATCAGCAGCAGCAGCCGCCACCTGCGAGCAGCTGCAGGCGACAGACTCTCTCGAAAAAAGCTGTTTTTCCAGGATTTCAAACGACATCAGCAGCAGCAGCCGCCGCCACCAGTTCTGCGAGCAGCCGCAGGCAACAGAATCTGTCGACAAATGCTGTTTTTCAAGATTTTTCTAGATTTCCAGACGACACGTTAGGGAGTTTTTTCGCGTGGTTTTGGACCTTGCTCGTCCTTCCAAGCCATGGTGTTTTGCTGCCGGGAGCTGCTTTTTTCGAAGCTGTTTTACTGGCATCAGCAGCAGCAGCCGCCGCCACCAGTTCTGCGAGCAGCCGCAGGCAACAGAATCTGTCGACAAATGCTGTTTTTCTAGATTTCCAGACGACACATTAGGGAGTTTTTTCGCGTGGTTTTGGACCTTGCTCGTCCTTCCGAGCCATGGTGTTTTGCTGCCGGGAGCTGCTTTTTTCGAAGCTGTTTTACCGGCATCAGCAGCAGCAGCCGCCGCCACCAGTTCTGCGAGCAGCCGCAGGCAACGCAGGCAACAGAATCTTTCGACCTTGCTCGTCCTTCAGAGCCATGGTGTTTTGCTGCCGGGGGCTGCTTTTTTCGAAGCTGTTTTACCGGCATCAGCAGCAGCAGCCGCAGGCAACAGAATCTCTCGACAAATGCTGTTTTTCTAGATTTTTCTAGATTTCCAGACGACACGTTAGGGAGTTTTTTCGCGTGGTTTTGGACCTTGCTCGTCCTTCCGAGCCATGGTGTTTTGCTGCCGGGAGCTGCTTTTTTCGAAGCTGTTTTACCGGCATCAGCAGCAGCAGCCGCCGCCACCAGTTCTGCGAGCAGCCGCAGGTAACAGAATCTTTCGACCTTGCTCGTCCTTCAGAGCTATGGTGTTTTGCTGCCGGGGGCTGCTTTTTTCGAAGCTGTTTTACCGGCATCAGCAGCAGCAACCGTCGCCACCAGTCCTGCGAGCAGCCGCAGGCAACAGAATCTCTTGACAATCTCTCGACAATGTGCTGTTTTTCTAGGATTTCAGAAGACACGTTAGGGAGTTTTTTGGCGTGGTTCTGGACCTTGCTCGTCCTTCAGAGCCATGGTGTTTTGCTGCCGGGAGCTGCTTTTTTCGAAGCTGTTTTACCGGCATCAGCAGCAGCAGCAGCCGCCGCCATCAGTTCTGCGAGCAGCCGCAGGCAACAGAATCTGTCGACAAATGCTGTTTTTCTAGATTTCCAGACGACACGTTAGGGAGTTTTTTCGCGTGGTTTTGGACCTTGCTCGTCCTTCCGAGCCATGGTGTTTTGCTGCCGGGAGCTGCTTTTTTCGAAGCTGTTTTACCGGCATCAGCAGCAGCAGCCGCCGCCACCAGTTCTGCGAGCAGCAGGCAACGCAGGCAACAGAATCTTTCGACCTTGCTCGTCCTTCAGAGCCATGGTGTTTTGCTGCCGGGGGCTGCTTTTTTCGAAGCTGTTTTACCGGCATCAGCAGCAGCAGCCGCAGGCAACAGAATCTCTCGACAAATGCTGTTTTTCTAGATTTTTCTAGATTTCCAGACGACACGTTGGGGAGTTTTTTCGCGTGGTTTCTCTCGACAAATGCTGTTTTTCTAGATTTTTCTAGATTTCCAGACGACACGTTAGGGAGTTTTTTCGCGTGGTTTTGGACCTTGCTCGTCCTTCCGAGCCATGGTGTTTTGCTGCCGGGAGCTGCTTTTTCGAAGCTGTTTTACCGGCATCAGCAGCAGCAGCCGCCGCCACCAGTTCTGCGAGCAGCCGCAGGTAACAGAATCTTTCGACCTTGCTCGTCCTTCAGAGCTATGGTGTTTTGCTGCCGGGGGCTGCTTTTTTCGAAGCTGTTTTACCGGCATCAGCAGCAGCAACCGTCGCCACCAGTCCTGCGAGCAGCCGCAGGCAACAGAATCTCTTGACAATCTCTCGACAATGTGCTGTTTTTCTAGGATTTCAGACGACACGTTAGGGAGTTTTTTGGCGTGGTTCTGGACCTTGCTCGTCCTTCAGAGCCATGGTGTTTTGCTGCCGGGAGCTGCTTTTTTCGAAGCTGGTTTACTGGCATCAGCAGCAGCAGCAGCCGCCGCCACCAGTCGTGCGAGCAGCCGTAGGCGACAGAATCTCTCGACAATCGACAAATGCTGTTTTTCTATGCTGTTTCTATGCTGTTTCTATGCTGTTTTTTTGCTGTTTTTCTAGCACATTTTTTCTAGCATTTCAGACGACACGTTTGGGAGGTTTTTTGGCGTGGTTCTGGAACTTGCTCGTCCTTCGGAGCCATGGTGTTTTGCTGCCGGGAGCTGCTTTTTTCGAAGCTATTGTACCGGCATCAGCAGCAGCAGCCTCCACCTGCGAGCAGCTGCAGGCGACAGACTCTCTCGAAAAAAGCTGTTTTTCCAGGATTTCAGACGACACGTTAGGCAGTTTTTTAGCGTGGTTCTAAAACTTGCTCGTTCTTTAGAGCCATGGTTTTTTGCTGCCGGGAGCTGCCGGCAGGTGCTTTTTTCGAAGCTATTTTCCTGCGAGTAGCTGCAGGCAACAGAATCTCTCGACAAATGCTGTTTTTCTATAGAATTTTCTCTAGAATTTCAGACGACCGGTTAGGGAGTTTTTTGGCGTGGTTCTGGAACTTGCTCGTGTTTCAGAGCCATAGTGTTTTGTTGCCGGGAACTGCTTTTTTCGAAGCTGGTTGACCGGCATCCGCAGCAGCAGCAGCCGAATACAATGACAGTACATTTACATTACACCAAATTACACTACATAACTTTACATTGCAAGGTACATACCAGCCAAAGTCCATCAAACTGCGCGGACAAAACCATGGTAAGAATGTCCAAGCGTTATGTCTGGGTTCCATTTAGTATTTCCTTCAAACCTTATTAGAGTGTCGTCTAGGGTCTCTTTAGGATGCATTTAAAGTTTCATTCAAATGGTTTCTTTAGGTCAATTTCTGGTTTCTTTAGGGTTCATTTCATTTAGGATCCAAACAGAAGAGAATAAAACAAAAGAATTAGAATTTCATGCCGAGCTTCTCTGGGATTCACTCGGGTTTCGCGTTTCTTAAAGATTTACATCTCTTAAAAGTTTTCTTTCGAGTTTCTTTAAGGTTTCTGTCGAATTTCATGCAGGGTTTGCTTTAGGAATTCTTTCAGGTCTTCCGGGGTCGGCGGCAGGGGCGGCAGCCCTTAAATATAATATATGGGGGAGGGGGCAGGGGGGGGGCCCTTTCGCGTGAAAAATTACGTGATGTCCTTGGGGAGCCCCGGAGTACTTGCTAAAGCAAGAAGACTCTAGCGAGCTGACGCTAGCTTTCGTGATAACGCCAATAATTGCCAATAATCATAAAATGTAATTGAATAACGATGATGATGATGATGATGATGATGATGAATGATGAATGATGAATGATGAATGATGAATGATGAATGATGAATGATGAATGATGAATGATGAATGATGAATGATGAATGATGGATGATGGATGATGGATGATGGATGATGAATGATGAATGATGAATGATGAATGATGAATGATGAATGATGGATGATGGATGATGGATGATGGATGATGAATGATGGATGATGGATGATGGATGATGGATGATGGATGATGGATGATGGATGATGGATGATGATGATGATGATGATGATGATGATGATGATGATGCTAATGATGATGAGGATGATGATGATGATGATGCTAATGATGATGAGGATGATGAGGATGATGAGGATGATGAGGATGATGAGGATGATGATGATGATGACGATGACGATGACGATGAGGATAAGGATGAGGATGATGATGATGATGATGATGATGATGCTGGTGGTGATGGTGGTGGGGGGGAGGGGGGGGTCCCCCCCCTTTCGCGTGAAAAATCACGTGATGTCCTTGAGCAGCCCCCGGAATACTTGCTAAAGCAAGAAGACTCCAGCTAGCTGACGCTAGCTTGATTACATAAAATTCTCCAAAACGCAGCTCCAAATTCCAAGGTTTGCCATAGCATGCCATAGCTAACCTTAGACTACAAGAAAACTGTATCCAACACGTGACCTGGCCTTCCTAGGTGTTTGGCCACGGATGTTCTCTGCGACCGCCTGAAACTGGAAAGACTACTGCAAACGCTTCTACAGCATCACGAAACTGCAGCAATCCGCACGAATTCTTCAAGCGAATCGAGGAGTGTATTCATTAATTCAGCATAATTCACCAATTATATTCTATAATTTTCTATAATTTTCTCCAATTAAATTGATGTTGCATAATCACAATCAAAACCGCCAGGATGATCCAATGGTCGCAGCTTCACCCTTGGGTTGTTGCATCTGCCCTCGCTGCCAAGAGCTTTGAGACGACCTCTTCCTGGCATGGGATCCACGAGATAATTCTCTGAGAAACTCGGCACGCGTTTCTACATTGCAATTCCATCAATTCCAGAACCATTGACATGATGACATGACTTCAATTGATGCTAAACATAAAAATAAACATAAACCAGATCCATGAAGGATCACAAGGGGGCCTTGTTTCCATGAGTACAGGATAGTACACGTAGGTCTATTGGATATTGTTTTGGTTGCTCGGATGTACTGCAGAGCCAGCGGAAGTGCAAGAAAATGCCAGTGAAACTCGTCCAAAGAAGCAAGCGATGTGCACGTAGGTCTATTGGATATTGTTTTGGTTGCTCGGATGTACTGCAGAGCCAGCGGAAGTGCAAGAAAATGCCAGTGAAACTCGTCCAAAGAAGCAAGCGATGTGCACCGGAGTTTGCTCGCAAGTGTCCCTGTCATCTCCAAGCAGCTGATGAATCTGTTCATATCTGTTGATACACAATTCCATTGTACAGCAATTCATTGCCTGGGGTCCACCAGAGCAGCTGCGGCCAGCAAAGTCTGAATACAGCTGACCTCAAAGTCACAACATGGCTCTCACTTGGCACTGCATAGCATAGCTTCGTCCGTCTCACCGAAAGCACTGAGAGTCTTGCAGTTCCATCACGGACTGCGCGGTGCAATGGAGCCTGACCTAATGTCCATGGCTGCGTTTAACCATAAAGTTTAACCTCTTGCAACTTGCTGAGGATACAGTACTCTTCCGTTCCCATGATGAAATGTCCTGCATCCTGCGTGTACTTTCTACAGTAATTACAGAATTCTACTTTCTTGTCTTTCTTGGCTGAATCATGCAGATCAAAGACTGAATGAAATCTGATTTTCCTGTGTGGTCCTTTCAAGCTAGAGAGAGCTGAAATTGAACGAACTGAAGACGTTCACTTGACATGCGATGACAAGCATCCCGGCCAGCGGCATCTTGCAGGTGTGGATCTGCTTGAAGGTTCTGCCAGCAAAAGCTTCAGGGGCTCACAGCCCCAGTTCTTGCACGAAATCAAACAAATTTCTAGCGAAATCTTGAGTCCTGCCCACATGTTTCTGAATCTTGGAATCTGCACAAATTGCAGCCGAAATGCCAGGAGAGTCTGCACAACTTTGATCTTGTTGTGCCTGGCTGCCAAGATTCAGTTTTGACTGAACGATTTTGAACGTCTGCGCCACGAATCGCCACGAGATCTGTTTTTTGCGTTCCAGATTCATGACGTCTAGAAATGTCTAGAATCTAGCTCCCAACTTGCAGAAGAAAGGAATCTGGTTGAGTGCAGACTTGCGTGTTTGAACTGATCACTGCGGCTTCACAAATAAAGCAAACCTTTCACACTCTACCTATCTCTCCCTCTCGCACTTTGTCAGATTGAGTCTCTGGCTGAACCGCCACGTGCAGGGCTGTCTCGCGAGCAATCCCACCCACTTCATTCACGTCCGCCTCGCCACGGAGTTGCCAACATCTTCCAACCACTAGTTTTTACAACAGCACGATCATGTCCATGTCCTGCCTGGTACTGCACCAGCACCCTGCAAGCTGCACCAAAGCCCTCTCTGGCAGCATAGATCACTGGAGCTTGCCTCGGTGCTCAAGCGCGAATGATCGCGAATGGAACTTACATGAACTTACAATAGGTGGTGTCCAAGAATGCACAAAAAGCTATGGAAAGAGCCGATATCTTCACTTTCAGGTCAGCATGCCGGACAATTGCTACAGGAATACTCGGTATGCCTTAGGATTAGTTCCTGGGAGATGCATCGCATCACCGCCTGTTAACTCAACAGCGAAATGCAATCTCATCACCCGACTGAACTCGCGGTTTCAAAACACACTTTTTGGACGCACTGAATAGCCCAAATAGAATGACATATTCAAAAAATGGTCTGAGTAGATGGATTTAGATGGGCTGGTTCCGGGGTTGAAGTGATGGATGGCACCAACCTTGGGTTCCAAAAGGGATTTGGTCTTGGGTATGTTCTAGTACTAGCTGATCAATTGCAAACCGGTGCGGCTACAAGGGACCCATTCTCCATTAACAGCAAGAAAAGCAGCATGAATGAAGGATTCGTTTGCCAAGCTTGTGCCCTCATGGCAACTCAACTTCAACCCTCGTAGGCGCGCACAGGAACAAAAAGTCAAGCAGCCAGCATCAGAACTCAAAATATTTTGAGACAAAAGTTCAGATGCATTCTATTAAGGTTTCCAACACTCATAGCTGAGCAGAATCATTCAGTGGTTCTCGGAATCTTTAAACAGCTTTATACAATTTTCACGCCCCAGGCCCCAGGGCAAACATACCAAGGAATGCTTTAAACTTCTCCGGTGATCTGAAGAATAGTCTGTCAGCTGTCCATATCTCCTGTTTCTTCAGCATGCCTGTCACAGACTGTGGCTCCTGGCTCAACCTCATCTTGGCTATCTCTCCCTCCAGCAGGCACGCCCAGCTCCAGCAAGTTCTCAGCGCTGTTGTCAGGTCAGCATTGACAGCTGCCTTCAAGTTAAGGCCGACCAAAATGCCAAGTTTCAGGGCATCAAATTGGAATTACACCTCTATCCAACGAGAAAATCGTCTTCCAAACCCAATCTACGGAGTGTAGCCATACAAGATCATACAAGCATGCTCAATCAATGCTTGTTGAGCACATGACTTCCACTAAGCTCAGCACCGTCATGGCTTCCACGTCCCCTTTGCCAGAAAGATACCTGGCACTGAGGTTGAAGCACTCAAGTGAATTGATCATGGTCCAAATTGGTCCAATACACAGCGACCCCAACAGCTGCCTCAGGTAGGCATAGCCTCCACCGAGCCTGAGGATCAGATCTCACAAACATCGACTCCGATAGACTCCGATAGACTCCGATAGACCGATGGGGCGCAACTGTGTCTGGTGCCCTGGTGAATGCCTTGCTTCGACGATACGCCTGCTTAGAATCCAACGGGAAGGGCCACAGAAACTTGCGAAGGAAAGCCGCTGTTCGATTGAACTGGCAAGGAATCCGCGATAGACAAGCGATTGAAAGTGCCCAGATGTGCCCAGTTCCCGTCACGATTCAAAAGATTTCAAAATGACCAGAAAAACGCCAAGTTTTCGCAGTTCTGTTTGTTGATTTGATCGCCCGAAAGTCTACAGGCCAGCGCTACTGCTCGAAGGACTTCCTAGTTTTTCGGACAACGTGCCATAACGGGCCCAAGATGCAAGTACTAAGTCGCCAGTGCAAACACATGCAAAATACCAAAGGGATCCAAAGGGTGGTATTGTTGGATGTTGGAACAATCGAGTTACCTCTTAAACTACTGGAACGATCGATGCTAATGTGGCAGTCCTCGCGCTCTGTGGGCTGAGACATGTCCGCGGTGCACACCTCGCAGGCATTGTCACAAGCACCAAGCTTCAGAGATATGTTCCTTTGAAGGCTACGGGTAGCACTTATATAGATACTTGGACCCACACAAAGCCATAGGGCATGCATCTGAAGTCGTCACATTCTGTCTGCCTGACAGCGATGAAATTGAAAGTCGCTGCAAATCGGAAATGATTCGAAATGATTGAGGCCAGAAATCAATCCAACTTGCTACAACATGCCTCTAAACCGCTCGGAAAGGGTGCCTGGGAAACTGTGCCTCGTTGACCTGAAAGAACTCTCCTCAAAGGGCGCAATTGATGTGAGGTTTTTTGCCAGGCATCGTCAACAGGGTTGCAGCAAGTTCCTGTCCTCCTCGTTCGTAGTCCTTTGGCCATGCTGTTGGCAAAGTGAATAGGACCTATAAACGAAAGGAGGGCGGTGAATCTGCCGGTGAATCTGCCACAATTGACTCAATTGACCTTTCCCGTGTGGTGCTAGGGCCAGGGTAGCAGCCCTTTGGCCGCTGAGGATACCACCGGCCCAACACATTTCCTCAGTGCCATCCGGTCGGAGAACTGCTATCCGTTTGGATCACCTGAGATCACCTGAGATCACCTGAGGTACCCGACCCAACCAATCGGGGCACACTTGCACCATCCCATGTGCCCAGGATGTGGAGTAGTGGAGTGTGCATCCTGACGCACCACTAATTAATGAGGAGCCGCCCGAAGTCTTTTGCTCATAACTGATTATTGGCATCTGGATGAATCTGGTACAATCCAGCATCTGCAGGTGCAAATCCTAACAAAATCAGGTGATCAGGCAAGATACTGTTGAATCTTGAACAGAAAGAACCAGGGAGCCGTGGGTGGGCTTGCCAGAGAATATCATCAAGTAGGTGGCTTTTGCTAAGCTAGCAGGCTGGCGGTAACAGCTAAGCACCATACACGGCACAGGCAAACTCACTCCCCAGGTACTCTGCACCTCTGTAGGATTACAATCCACTGTGAAGAAAGGAATTTGATGGACCCACATTGACTAGCACGTTGCATGGCAATGTGAGGACGGCACCATAGCAGGCCATCCAAGAACCCCAACCAATGCCGACCACTCCAATCCTGCAACTTTAAATCTGTACATCCAATCATCCACTTGCTGTCAAATGATTTGTCATCAGATCGCTTCTGTTGATTTTTCGCAAACATTGCATCCAGGTTTCCAGAGAAACCTGGAATCTCTCCTGCTGGCGCCGGCTGTCCGTCGAACAAAGTTGGCAGCGATCTTGAACTTCATGAGGAAGAATTCATAGGTCTGAGAGACTATACTGAGAAGAAGAAGCAATTCTGGTGCACCCTGCTTTTGCCAAAGTTGACAAAGACTCTTGCCCGCAAGGTTAAATGGCCAAACACATGACTGAGGTCTGCGGCATTCTTCATAAGCCAACCCCTAATGCTCATCCTTGGCAAACATGTGTGCTCAAATACCATGATCAACTTCTGAAATTTGATGCTTAGGAGAGCTTACAAGCAGGACAAAGTACAGAAATCAAAACAAGGATTATGGTCAGGAAGCGCTTAACGAAGCGTTTCACAATTCTTTGCTATGTGTTTCCATGATGGATCATGATCATTCAAACAAAACCGGAAGAAATGCATAGGACTTGATAGGACTTGATAGGACTTCCACAAAGAAGTCCTAAGAAATCCTAAGAATAACAGTGTATTAACCATATATTAACCATATATTCACAGTGGAACTGATATGAAGCCATCGAAAAACTAAAAAATAAAAAAAGGTCGAAACGTTCTGCCAGATCCCATGATCCCATCCCTGTGATCCGGGCAAGTCATCGTCCTGGAGCTGAGAGCAATGGCACTTCTGAAGCGATGGATTTCAGAGATCCATTTAGCGCCAACATGCACTACACACCAACATAAATTTATATACTTAATTAATCTTAATTATATATATATATGTCTGATTCAATGTTCCAAAGAATTCCAAGACTGTCTGCCTTTTTCAATATGGTATTGTTTGATGTTGTTTGTCACCTTTCGATTCTCATTCGTACCACCTCTGCGTGCAATGCCATCGGTCCAGATTCTCGATGCGAAAATCCTCTGGCACGCCGTCATCATGTGGGCCATCCTTGTAGGGTGGATTGTCCTGCCAAGCTTGGATTGAGGGGAACTCTCAAAGGCTTCAAGATCACGTGAATGCTGACGATGTCCAGTCTCTTGTAGACCTTTCACGTGGCATTCAGCACAGTAGCACTTCAGTCCAGAAATCGAGGAACCACTGCCTAAGTCAAACTTGGCAGCACTGCATCAGGATGGCTTGGTAAGGTGCCCATCGAACTCAAACCACTGGGCCCTTGAGACCTAAATCCAATAAAAAGCCCAGCCAGCCAAAAATGCCGGCAACATCCTGCAACACATTGACATGTAGAGCCAGAAAGGTATGCGACTGCATATACACGTTGAGTCTTCGATTTGAATACAAATGTCCTGAACACTGTTACGCGTGCGCGATTTTGTGCGTGGTGACACCTGTTTGGAATAGAAGTACGTGCGACACAGGAACAAGTATCAGAACCAAAAGAGTTGAATGGGGTAGAATGGGAAAATGTTCCTGTATGTTCCTGTTCTGGCCGTTGTGATAGGGAAGCTTTATCTTTGTTGTTGGCTGCCGGTTGTTGTCCGTAAGCCGTAAACCTTCATTCTCAATATCCGGCAACGTCGTTCTTACAGTATCAGTCAAGATCTACGATAATGGTACTGGTGGTACATGGTTGGCATGGTTGTTGCTTTGGCTGTTGATAAAGCTTTTCTTGCTTCACCCTGGTATCCTTTTGTCCTCGTTGGCTGTTGTTTTGTCGTCGTTGTTGCTAGATACATTAATTAGGTTTTCCGTGGGTGTCGCTGGTATTAATGTTGGCAGTGGTCCTGCAATTTTGTTGTCCTGGTGGAGCCGTTGTTCTCGATGAAAAGTCGATGGCTTGCTTTATAATTACCAAGCACCCGCACGTAGCCATTCACTGCTTTCGCGGCGAAGTCGGCAAGGAGTCTCACTCGTGGTGATTGCCAACCTTTCATATCAGTGTGCACCAGTACTGCCCATAGGAGTGCGACCCTGCTTCGAATAATATTGAGATGCTTCCTTTGAGTTACTTCGTGAAGAGATCCTGTTGTCCAGACTGCTAAGCTTCAGACCCCATATGTCTGGAATGACCTCAGACTTGTAATTTTCATTAATGTTCATGATATTTCACAACTTCAGGCTCGATTACCTCCGTAATTAAGGGGCCACACCGGTCTTTATTTTTTTTGGATGTCTACCGGAGTGGCAGTCTGGTGGAGGTGGATCTTAGAATCAAACAATGATCGCAACCTCGTTGTGTGGTGTGCCAACCTCACATGGCGCTATTTTCCGCGATGAAAGAAGAAAAGCGCGAAAACTGGATGAAAACTGAGAAGATCTGAGAAGGTTCCTCAGGATGTTGCGTGGTAGAGCCTCAAGTCTTCAAATTTGGATTCCTTAGTTGCTCAGTGACTTCGTGTCGTAGCAGGAAAGTTCTTGCCATCGGTAGAGCTAAAGCTGTCAAGGGACCAGTCTATGGAGTGAGTGAGAGCCACAAGCTAAGGTTGTGGCCTCTCCTTGTGGGGTCAGTGATTCCTCCTCAAGTCGGAAAAAAAAGTGAAGAATTCGGGTGCACAGGAACAGCAGAATACAAACACTGGTGAAATACAGCTTGACCTGCTCATATGAAATAAAAGCAAAATCTGTGGTGCCAAAGACCAGCTCGTCTTGACCCAAAACACTATATATATACTTGGATCCCGAAATCATGCACCGTGCAACACCCATTCAACACCAGCAAAGTTAGGTTGTGAGCAGCTCATCAATACCCCAACGTTCTGCGCCAAGCAACAGCTTCACAGTCCCACTTCATGGTGAAGCCTGGCAACATTCGAACCATCAAACCCGAACTCTTACCCTCTGGTAATTTAACATAGCTATTGAAAATGGCCCATTTATAGTGGATTTTCCCATTGAAAATGGTGATTTTCCATAGCTATGTTAGTTTACCAGAGGGTAAACTTTGACTTGCTACAGGGTTTTTTGTGGGGTACCCAAGATGACCAGTCTATACATGGATTGTCTTGGATTCTGATGTTCACCTTTGCGTCTCCTAGACTGTCTCGTCATTTCAAAAAGTGGTGTCAAGAAATCAGGCATTTTTCTCTTGACAGTTTTCACATGTCCCTTCAGAACTGTTGCAGTCCATCACACACTTTGATTTTCTCACTTCTCCCCCATCACAGACTGTCACATCGAATCAGTTCCCTTGAAATCTACTACAACATACTGCATAACATTCTACCATTGTGTTTTCGCATGTTTTTCCAGTAGAAAACCACAGAAAACATACATCTTCTCTAGAAATCCTTTAAATCTTCCAGTTTCCAATAGCTTCCCCAGCCTGTTGGTGCTCCAGGTGGACCTTGCCTGGCAGGAATCTGACGGTTTTCGCACCAAATATCTTCAACATAGAGAGACTGACAAGAATGAGCAGAACAGGAAGAAGAAGAAGAAGAAGAAGAAAAAAAAAATGATGGTTTTTGCATATCTCTAAGACTTGCCGGGCACTCTCTTCCACTTCCGCGTCTTGCTCAGCTGGTTCCTACAAAACAATTGTAGGCCTCTTGGAAGGAAGAACCCTACATCCGACCCATTTCTGAGGCTGGCCGCCCCTGCAGGGTCCTCTTCACCCCCTTCTTGACCACCTTCCTGGGGAGGGAAAGATTTGCAAAAGGGAGGTTCCTAGACAACGGTAAGTCCCAGATGCATCCGGCACTCTAAGTTTACTATTCAACTCCAAGCACCAAAACATAGAAAAATCAAGGGTTGCGTGGCTGGTTTGTTAAGAACACATCACAAGCCAAATCACGGCATTATTCATTCAATCCACTGGCCTCTTCCCCTTCACTAGGGCCGAGGATTTCCTTGGATTGCAAGGGGGATGTAATGTCGACTCCCCAATGCAGTTTCATAAACCAAACACTGGCTGAAAAGAAAGAGGTTCGATGATCTCGTATCGGCTGGATCGCAAGCCAAGAGTCATCAGGAGACTTTACCTTGCTTTCCTGCTTCGATGCTGTGTTACTTAAAGTCAAACATTGGAAATGCGATGATTCTCTTAGAATCAATCGTACTGGGTGGTTTTCAGGGTCAAAATTTTGAGGTGAAGGGAGCTGTTGTATCTTTACCTTTTTTGCATCTAGCAACATGAACTTTCTGGCAATGTGAGGAGGCCAACCAAAGCCATCAGCCAACTCTCCTTGGTTTCTTTGCCGTCTTTGCCATCCTTTGCATCCTCCTTGGCATCCTTGCCCCGGCCTCGTCTCCTGGATGCCTCCAGAGAAGCACAGTCTGTAAGTGTGAAAGTTTTTTGAGCGCCTCAGAGTGAAGAATAGCTATATAAAATTATATATATATATACAATGTATAATATGTCAATTATTACCAGTAGTACCGCACAAGGCCGTGGCGAAAGTTTCAAAAATTAGGGCTCCTATAGGAAGGGCTGGTTGTTGTGACTCACGGATGGCAGAGCGAATCCACTGATGGACCGAAAGGTGGTTGGAGTTGTGTTTTCTGGAGTGGTTGCAATGGTTGCAGTGGTCACCTCACCACAATTGCTGGATGTAGTGTGGTGTAGTACAGTAGTAGTTGTAGTTGTAGTTGTGTAGTCGAGTTGTAGTTGTGTAGTCGAGTTGTAGTTGTAAGGTGTAGTTGCAATGTAGTGTAATTAGTGTAGTGTAGTTGCAGTTGTAGTTGCGGTGTGGTGCAATTAGTGTAGTGTCTTGTAGTGTACTGTAGTGTTGTGTACTGTAGCGTGGTATAGTGTAGCGTAGTCTAGTGTAATGTTAAGTAGTGTAGTTGTAGTTGTAGTGTAGTGTCGTGTAGTGCAATGCAGTGGTAGTGGCAGTTGTAGCGTAATGTAATGTAGTTGGTGTAATGTAGTGTAGTTGTATTTGTATTTGCATTTGTAGCTTTAATGTACTGAAGTTTAAATAGTGTATTGTAGTGTAATGTAGTGTAGCTGCAATTGTAGTTGTAGCTGCTGTGGTGGTGGTGGTGGTGGTGGTGGTGGTGGTCGTCGTGGTGGTCGTCGTGGTGGTCGTCGTGGTGGTCGTCGTGGTGGTCGTCGTGGTGGTCGTCGTGGTGGTCGTCGTGGTGGTCGTCGTCGTCGTGTGGTCGTGTGTGGTCGTCGTGGTGGTCGTCGTGGTCGTGTGGTGGGTGGTGTGTGTGGTCGTCGTGGTGGTCGTCGTGGTGGTCGTCGTGGTGGTCGTCGTGGTGGTCGTCGTGGTGGTCGTCGTGGTGGTCGTCGTCGTAGTAGTAGTAGTACTAGTACTAGTATTAGTATTAGTATTAGTAGTAGTAGTAGTAGGAGTAGTAGTAGTAGTACTAGTACTAGTACTAGTAGTACTAGTACTAGTACTAGAGTACTAGAGTACTAGAGTACTAGAGTACTAGAGTACTAGAGTACTAGAGTACTAGAGTACTAGAGTACTAGAGTACTAGAGTACTAGAGTACTAGAGTACTAGAGTACTAGAATACTAGAGTACTAGAGTACTAGAGTACTAGAGTACTAGTGCTAGTGCTACTACCAGTACCAGTAGTAGTAGTAGTAGTAGTAGTAGGAGGAGGAGTAGTAGTAGTAGTAGGAGTAGGAGTAGCAGTAGCAGTAGCAGTAGCAGTAGCAGTAGCAGTAGGAGTAGTAGTAGTAGTAGTAGGAGTAGGAGTAGTAGTAGTAGTAGTAGTAGGAGTAGGAGAAGGAGTAGGAGTAGGAGTAGAAGTAGGAGTAGGAGTAGGAGCAGGAGTAGGAGTAGGAGTAGCAGTAGCAGTAGCAGTAGCAGTAGCAGTAGCCGTAGCAGTAGTAGTAGCAGTAGCAGTAGCAGCAGCAGTAGTAGCAGTAGCAGTAGCAGTAGCAGTAGCAGTAGCAGCAGTAGCAGTAGCAGTAGCAGTAGCAGTAGCAGTAGCAGTAGCAGCAGCAGCAGTAGTAGTAGTGGTAGTGGTAGTAGTAGTAGTAGTCGTCGTCGTCGTCGTGGTAGTAGTTGTTGTTGTTGCTGTTGTAGTAGTTGTACTAGTTGTACTAGTTGTACTAGTTGTACTAGTTGTACTAGTTGTACTAGTTGTACTAGTTGTACTAGTTGTACTAGTTGTACTAGTTGTACTAGCTGTACTAGTTGTACTAGTTGTAGTAGTAGTGTAGATAGTATAGGGTAGTGTAGCGTAGCGTAGCGTAGCGTAGGGTAGTGTAGTGCAGTGTAGACGTAATTAGATGTAATTATATGCAATTAGATGTGATTAGATGTAATTAGATGTAATTATATGTAATTAGATGTAATTAGATGTAATTATACGAAATTAGATGTAATGAGATGTAATTTGATGTAATTAGATGTAATTAGATGTAACTAGATGCAATTAGATGTAATTAAAATGAAATTGGATGTAATGAGAAGTAATGATATGTAATGAGATGTAATGAGATGTAATGAGATGTAACTTGATGTAATTACATTTAATTAGATGTAATTAGATGTAATTAGTGCAGTGTAGTGTAGTGTGGTGTGGTGTGGTGTGGTGTAGTGTAAGTAGTGTTGTGTAATGTAGCGTAATATATTTGTACTTGTACTTGTAGTAGTAAAGTAGTGCAGTGGCACTTGTAGTTGCAGTTGTAGTTGTCTATCTATCCATCTAACTAATTATCTATCTATCTATCTATCTATCTATCTGTCTATCTGCAAGCTTGAAAACGAAGCTATTCTGCGAGACTTCCTCAGTTTTTGAACTTGACAGCATCAAAAACGCAGCAATTCTGCGAGACTTCCTTAATTTTGGAACTTGACAATGCCAAAAACGAAACAAAGCTGCGAGACTTCCTCATTTTTCGAAGTTGACACCATCAAAAACGAAGCAATTCTGTGAGACTTTCCTTCAAAAATGAAAGTTGAGTGTAGAGCTGACGGCCTCGTACCAATGCGTTTTGCGTTTTTTCCACTCCACCTGTCTAAAGTATTGCGCCTGCCACGAAAAAGTGATGCCAGGTCATACAAAGCGCTGTACCTGTCACGCAAAATCATCTCAGCCAACCTGAAGATCTGATGCTCCAAAATGCAACCCCTCTCAGCAAATCAGCGCCCGGACCTCCTAACAGCTCTGATGAACATGTCTCTTGTACTGCACCTGCCACCGAAAATGCATCTTTGCAGATCATCTTCAAATGCCCCACGCCTGCCATCGTTTTTGGAAATGCCACAAAACCCTCACGTTTTGCTCACTTTTGACGAGGTGCACAATCCCTTGCAACGCAAAACGACGCTTCAAGGTCCAAAAGAGGCGCGTACATGTGGTGCTTTGCAGGTTTTGACTTGGAAATGTGTTTCGCGCCACAACGGCTTGCACTTTTTCGACATCTCAACTTCCAAAAATGGTCCGAGCATGGTGTGTTTTGTACATTTTGACTTGGAAACGTGCTTCGCGCCACAACGGCGTGCACTTTTTGGACATCTCAACTTTTAAAAGCCGTCCGAAGCTGAGGTGCTTTGTACATTTTGACTTCGAAACGTGCTTCGCGCCACAACGGCGTGCACTTTTTGGGCATCTCAACCTCTAAAAGCGCTCCGAAGCCGAGGCGCCTTGTACATTTTGACTTGGAAATGTGCTTCTCGCGGCGTGCAATTTTTCATCTCTCATCTGGCCAGCTGGCTCCGCACCTGCCGCTTGAGCGAGCCTACTTTTCGACCCTCCGGAGCCACAAATCATTGGAAAAAAACAGTGTTTCGCGACTTTCCTACCTTTTCGCAAACCTGGATCTTCTTTCTTCTCACTCTTTCTCTTTTTGATCTTCTTTCTTCTTCGTCTCTTCTCTTCTCTGACTCTTCCCATCTCTGCTTTTCATCTGTCCATATTGTCGGAAGTTTGACTTCTAAACTTCCTTGGATAAATGTATATTACCTTGCTGTGAAGTCCACATCTACTGCATTTCAATGAGGTCTTTAGATCAGCTCAGTTTCCAAGATTCAAACATTCCTTACAACCTGTGCCCAGGAACCCAGAGCTACACGCGAAACCGCTTTCGGGATGACCTTCTTTGGTGCCTCTGCTGCCTCGGCCCCTTCGTCCTGGTCTTCAGTGAAGTGTGTTGAAGTAGTCAGTGGGAGATGCGGAAGCACTCATCTAATACAGTCCTCCAGCTGGGCAAGGGCTTCAGCCGTCAGCTTCGCCTCACAAACATAAGCAAAGGCTGCAGCATCGGTGTGAAATCGGATCGAAGCTCCAAGTGGACCGGTCAGCACTTCCCCATCGACACCTCAGCCATCTCTCATCAGCCTGCGTTGCGGTGCCGGTGCCACATGAATGAGGGAAAAAAGATGAAAAAAAGACACAGAATGATGAGATCAGCCAGTCCGGCCTTCCAGGCACAGCCAATTGACCGCAATTCGCTACAACCCCGACACATGACATGCTTCAATAAAGCTTGCACAACTTGTACTGACAATTTGCAGTGCCAAACTAGAAGATCAACCAAGAGCATTGTTGTTCAAACTCCATGTGCGAACGATAGCATGCCATGATGTCCTTTTTCTTTCTGAGGAAGAGCCATGTGAACTTATCCTAAGAACAATGGCTGGGAGGAGCATGTTCTTCTCTTGCTTTGGCGTCCTATCTCTCTGGCAGCGCATTCAGTTTCACTGTAGGCCATGTCAAGTGTTGCTGGACCAGCCATGATAACTTACAATTTCGTCCTTAGGAGAGCCGAGCTACTTGTTGCTTGTGTCTATAGCTCTTCAAATGATTTGTGGGATTGTTTCCAAAGAAGCTCTGCTCAAAAGCAGGAAAGATACAAGATGCTACAAGGCTTTTCAATCACCTCCAAGAGAGATTTCAAGGCTCCGTAGGTGATGTCGGCATCAATGTCATCCAGCTGCCTGGAAGAAAAATGGTGCGAACTTCTGTGCGCAGTTTTGAAATTAGCATGGAAAGGTTATTCAGAAAGTATCCCTTGATTAACAAAAATGCAGAAGGATGTGTGATTCTCTGCAGCACTCTGCTACAAGAAGTATAGTATATAAACATCTGGTGATTGTAAGAAAGCATCGAAAGCATGCTTTCGGCACTTTTTTCTTTATGCAAGGTCCCAGTGTGCTCAACACCTACCGTGCTGCCGGCCGTGACTCTGGGGAGACCTCACTGAATCGCTGGAGTAAAGCTGGAAGTTTCTGGCCAAATCGTCGTTCAATAGCTTGTTTCAGCAAAGGCGCGTCAGCGGCCAACTTGTCGTCGAACGTCTGGGCCTGTGAATCTCGGATCGGAAGTCGGTAGTGATTCACAATTCCGACCGATTCGTTCAAATTGATGTGGTTTCGAACGGTTTTCGGGTCGAAGTCCTTGAGCCAATGCCACCAGGCGTCGTAGGCCACGTGGGCGTTGTGGGCGTACTTCGGCAAGGCCTCCACGGTGTCCGGTTGCCCCAACCGCTCCTGGAGATGCGCCTCACGCCATGGCGAAGAAGTCTCCAAGTTTCAGTTGGAGCACAGGCAAAGTGAAAGTGCTTGAAAGATATACTCCGGACCTTTTTTTGAGATCGCACGATGCCATCCCAAGCTGTCCTCAGATAGTCTTGCGCAATCTTGTCGTCTGGAAAGATGTTGCCACTGTTCAGGTGGAAATACTTGTCGAAGTCGAAGGAGGGGATGACCCAAGTGGCGTGGAAAATCCCGAATCACCCAGTCGAAATGCCGACCGCACATGTCCAGGGTCTTATCTCGTGGATACTGCGGCACATGGAAATGGATCCTTGTGGCCAGCCAGCTTTCAGCTAGGGAATCAGGACTTCCTTGACAGCATCCTCGGTTCCCTTGAAGGTGTTGACAAAAAGTGGTCGACCCCAGGCAACGGAGAGAATTCAAGCCACTCCATCATCTGTTTCACCGTCCTCCCGTAATTTTCGGGTGCCGAATTTGAGACATAAGCATCGCGGGCACAGGCGACTGAGTGATACTGCTTCACCATGTCAGGTTTTCTTCTCGTCCGAACCTGTCCAATGTTGCGTCCATGTTTATCCTCCAAAAACACGTCAAAAGTCTCTTTCTCAGCCTCCCCTGCGGGCCAATCACACAAGAGAATGCTGCGATATGCTGCGATGAAAAGGGACTTGGGTCAAATGCGCCCTATTGGGTCCAAGTCCAAGATCGTCAAGAAAGCAATGAAATTTCCATCTTCACCAAAACTGGGAATGACGCTGAAGAACTCCAAGAAGTTGCCATCGGCAAGAGCCACCTTGTTGGGTGGCGGCAGAATTGCCAAATCCCGTGGCGAAGTCCACTCCGTCACGTGCGAATTTGTGGTGGCAAAGACCCTGGGAATGTCTTCTGGGGGTTCTTGTTGTCCGCCGAACCATTCGGTGATGGGTTCATCACTAGCAAATTTTCCACCAAGTTGGAGTGTTCTCCGGTGCAAGCTGGTTCATCTGGTTCAGTATGCGCCAAACTGAGGCACCACAACAACGCCACAAACCGAGCCATCGGAAATGGATAGACATTGGAGTACGAAACACGTGAAAGATTCGATTGGAGGGTTCGAGCCTTCTCGAGCCAAAGAGAGACTCCAACAAGTGCCATATTTAAGAGAGACTCCCACACGTACCATAGTCAAGAGAGACTCCAACACCTACCAGATTCAAGAGAGACTCCAACACCGACAAGTACGATAAATAAGCTTCAATCAAGATCGTGCCGGCTCGACGAATCAAGAGACCACATCACCACGTGATACCTAGGTGAGATATTGTGAAATCAGGTCGATCTGAACATCACCACTGCTGGCGATCCAGCAACAACCCACTTGTCTCAAGAGCATTTTGTTGAGTCTGGGAACACCGTCGCAATCGAGAACATCAATATTATCATTGTTACATAATGGCTATTTCACCTGCCACCACAAGATTTGATCCCTCCACAACCTTTGCAGCGGTATGTTCCCTACTTTTCACATGAGTGACCCATGTCCAAGTCCCATGTTTTTGGGATATGTCCAGTCAGTTGGCATTTGCGTATTTTAAGTGCATTTGTATACCTTTTGTTGTCACCCTTGGCTAGCGTCCCCACCGATGCATGCCCTTGTTGGGGCAAGGTGGCTCCATACCCAGGTCACCTTTACCTTAGCAAATTTCAGCTGGCCCAACCCTTTCATGTTTCTTCGCGACCCTTGTAGCAAACGCCGTCTGTCCAAGCTTCAGGCTGTTCCTTCCCACAACCATGGTGGGCGCGAACTCGCAAGAGAATCAAATATTGAGCAAAAAAGAATAAGAGAGAGCCCATAAAATCCCATAAATGGATTGTGTTTGGATCTGCAGAAAACTTCGCAAGTTCCATATGTTCCATGCACCATGGCCTCGCTCAGCTCATCAACAGCTGTTTGGTTGATTGCCATCCAGTCTCCTGGAATGTTTGCGATCCTGGCATCGCCGAGATTTCGCAGAAAGATTTTGGAATCTGCAAGTTTTTAGCCAGGCAGACCAAAAGATGTTGTGCACACCATTGTCCGCAGAACCCATGCCATTTGGATAGTCCAAATCCTGTCTTGCACAAGTTGACTGCATATGAATCTGGCTCCAGCATCTGCCTTTGCAATGATCCTGCGCTGTAGACACTAAACACGCCTCAATCGTCAAGGCAAAGGCCTGACATGAGCGACACTTCTTTCCATCCTGGCACGACTGTGCTGAGATGCACAGTGCATTGCCTAAGAAACAGCAAAAGAGGCCGATGACCAACTACTCCAATCTGGACCTTTTGGCACAAAACCTCGAATTAATGGCTCAGCACATCTCAGTACTGTATAGAACTGCTCTAAGGCTCGGTTTGGTGCTGAAGCAAGTAGCATGAAGCAGTACTTCTTCCGATCTGTAATGCTTTGACTCTTGTGGAAACCATGTTTTGGGAAAGTCGAAAATGGATGAAAATGGACACTCATTCTGCATGGACTCATGGACTTTCTTGGCTGCGTGGCATTTCTGCGAACTCTCTGCACTTTGGCGGGAACCGTTGCAAGGTCGCACAGTTGCGAGACCGAGTCTTTCAGCAGGGCTGCGACGAGCCAGTTGCTGGAAGACTGCACAACCCCAAACTGCAATGACTTTGTTGACAAACATCGATTCGTCGATAGTCATTCGCACGCTTTGTGCGAAGCATTGGAAGTTGTGGTGCGACTCACGATGCAATGCCAAACTTCTTCTGCATCTGGCAGAGACAAAGGAGGCGAGTCAAGTTCAGCATACTTATTGGATATGTCTACTGTAGTGGTTTGCAAAGCGCGGTCACCCCAAAGAGAAACATCATGCGCACCTTGCCAGGAAGCTTCCGCCGGACAATCAAGCCTTGGGTGAGTTGTTGTTCAAACCACAGATCAATGAGTTCATGCGAACCAACATAGTTCAAATGGCAATGAAAGGCTTTTCCAGGCATGCCTTTCATGTTTTCAAGAGCCATTGGTTGTGTGATGTTTTGTGGATCCATATGAGATTCAATACGTGTTAAGCAAATGTGTTCCCACCCGGATGCGCTGCCCAGCCAAGTTGCCCAGAGGCTTCAGAGGGGAGCGTGTCTTGTAGCCGGTGCGAAGGATGCCCCAGGGGGACACTGGTGGCCTGGTCAAATAGCGAAATAAATCCATCTACATATTAATATTATATATATATATACATATATGTATATATATATATATGAGAACACTATTACAAATGTACACAGTATATGATTATATTGATTCTATTAATATTGATTCTATTAATAGTGATTATATATATGTATGCATGTGTGTGTGTGGAATCAGAGTGACTTCAGGAACTGATGTTCCGCGTGAAAGGAGAGCCAGAGGCAGTTCACTTTCTGAGAGGCGGGAAGCCTTACCTCTTGGTGTGCTTTGCACTGGTGCCACCGCCATGCGGATGGGTGTGCCTTGGAATAGCACGACAACGTGGCTACACAATACAAGTTTCGGGGTTAAGTCGTCGCAGAAAGTCACCCGATCCCGCATACGTTCAGTGGACAGTTAGAAATCGTTCACCCAAGAGCTGGAACCATCACCCGATTTCTTCTTCCTCAGAGTTGTTCGGATAAGTAATCAAAATTCTCACGCCGGTTTTAGACGCGACCAAAACATACCATATGCCAAATTTCATCATGTCTATTGCTGCAGGGAATATCGCTCAGATCCCTGGTGTATTCTGGTCTGCTGGGGCTGCCGGACGGATCCTGTGCATTCCCTCGAACGGATGGCCGCCAGCCAAGCCAGCGATTGATGCCAGCTTTGCCTCAAATCTTGGCCGATCTTGGGGAGTAATCCTTCAGTCCTCAGGTCCCAATAGGTCCCAAGCTCTTTACCCTCTGGTAATTTAACATAGCTATGGAAAATCACCATTTTCAATGGGAAAATCCACTATAAATGGGCCATTTTCAATAGCTATGTTAAATTACCAGAGGGTAGGAACTTTGAATCCACTTCTGATCGCAGTCTGTCATTGGGCAAAATCTCGTTGGGCCTTTGAAACGCATTGCCCGTTCCAGGTGTGAAAGTTGTCCTATGGAGGCCCTGGCTCCATGTTCCAATGAGAGTGAATGACCATGATCATCCAGAAACATGCATGCATCCCGAAACCCCAAAACCAACCACACGACTCAAATCTAGCCAGAACTTCCAGCATTCCAATGGGAACTTCCGGATCTCTGTGGACCGCAGTTTGATGGTTGCATACTCCCGGTCCTGCAAGAAGATAAGGATGCATAAGGAGGCATCCAGCAAGCAGGGCACTCACCTGCAAGAAAGTCCTTCGTGATGATTGTTGCGAATGTGCCAGCAGCACGAATGAGCCTCAGCCAGTGGTTCAGTTCGAGTGTATGAAGACGAGGCCCATGACAAAATCCCCGCCAAAGGAGTTTTGCAAAACTGTACGGCATGAAAAAACTGGATGCACGGTCTTGTACAGCATGTTCGTGTTAAGTTCTTCGAAGTTCTTATAGATGTTGCAGTGAGAGCAATCGTCAGCTGTAAGCGTTCGGCTGACCACCAGCACCTGATATCATGAGCACGTATACGGTGTGTACATACAATGTTCCCTTTGATCAGTTGTCACTGTATCCTATCAATCTCATCACCGACATGGCTACCATGGACTGTTTCATTCTGCGATGCAAATCCAAGACTTGGTTTGTGCTGGGATCTGTGCCTGGTCGCAGTTCAATGTTGTGAATGATGGAACCAACTGGAATGTTCCTGCACGCGGGCTGGTGACAAGTGAGGATCATGCTGAATTTTCATTGCTTTAGCAGGTTTTAGACAGAAAGAGCTGAAACGAGAGCAACAAAGGTAGAAGCTATCCAGAATCCAAAGTCGTGCTGCCTCGGGAAATGGGTCTCTGACCAAATACTGAAAGCCATGTTTCAAAACAGCTCCAACCCATTCCAATCATTCCACCTTCCACCCCGACCTCAGAGGAAGGCAATTTCCCGGCACGATGTTGGCAGCCTCACTAGCTACGACCTGGTCGCCAGGCCGAAGTGTCAAAGGCGCCAGGATGTAGCTCAAGACACCATCCTGTGGCATCCGCTATCGTTGACCGAGGCTTTCCGAAAACATCAGAAAACATCAGAAAACACGGGTCACCTACGGTCACCGAAAACCTAAGTCCCATAGCTTAGGAATTGGTAAGATATCTTACCCTCTGGTAAACCTACAAAAAACTATGGAAAATCACCATTTCTAGTGGGAAATTCCACTATAAATGGTCATTTTCAATAGCTATGTTAGTTTACCAGAGGGTAAGATATGATGTGATCGCAAAAGGCACCTAATTTTTGGCTCTGTGAAATTCCCATCCCTGTTTCTGAAGGTCACCTGGTACTGGATCAAAGCGATGTGCGATGTTCTTTCCGGAGAATACTCAATGCGAAGCACTGTCGCAGGAATGTCCTGCCAAGTCTGACATTCGGTCTATAATACTATAATACCTGCAGTCGAAAGATGGCGAGACCTAGTCACTTCATGTCACTTCATGTCACTTCAATGATTCAACTTGCTTTCAACTTGCTTTCAAAATGTTCAAAGCTAAGTCCTTCCGCCCGCGCTTGAAGTCTACGAAACGGAGCCGCTGCATTGCACCACCCTCTCGGTGCCGGGTGCAGATCCTGCCGAGGTCATTTCGACCGGAGTGCCGTATCCTTCTGGTAGAAAGCTGCTTGATGACCTCAAGGCTTCTGGGCTTCGGTATGCTGAAGGGTCTTCCCATGTCTTCCCTGTATCTGTACAATTCAGTACATTCTTCCCGGCTCCATGTTGCTCCCTACTCCCTGCCAGTTCGCATCTGCGTATCTTCTCAACTGCTGGGAAGCTTTGAAAATCTTTGAAACCTTGAGGCCTTGAATGAATATCTGAGGGACTGGCTCGACCTCGGAAAGTTTTCTGAGGAGTCGCCTCACAAGTGACTCACAAGGCTATTTGCTGCATTGGATATTTTGGTAATTGTGGCAAATGCAGGTCCAGCAAATCAACTGAAACATTAGACACCACAAAAAACTATACAAAAAAACTACACTTTTCCTTCTGAAATGTGCAGAGCATCCACCCTCCCCCCACCTCCAAGAGCTTTTCTAGTTTTTGCTGTTTGGCCTAAGAAAAAACATATCTTCACAAGCAATTCACCGACCTCCATCCAGAATCAGAATCTCACTAGACGATGTTGCGTGATGTTGTTTTTCTCGTGTCAGAGGGGGAAAAGATCATGCAACAACATGCTGGTTCCAACTATATATATAATATATATAATATATATAATATATATAATATATATATATATAATATATATATATATATAATATATATATATATAATATATATAATATATAATATATATATAATATATAATATATAATACATCCAAAATGAGAATGTCAAACAGCAACAGCCTGTGGGGCCCGTGCCAGTGTGAAAGCTGCCACAACAGTTTGCTTCGCCGCTTCTGACTTTGGAAAGCCTGCAATCGCCCTACGGCATCCGAGATCCGCAAACACAAACAATCACAAACACTTGATGACTCGGAGCAGCATGATCTGCAGAGAACTTGTCAGAGTTGAAGATGTTGAAGCCACTCTTGGTTTCAGTATGGTTTCAGTTGCTCATGAATTCGGCAAGTGGAAGATCCATCCGAGTCAAAAATACGAATTGATCATGCCCACCTGTTTCAAAGTCGATGTAGGGAGGCCGGTTGCGTTTCATGATGCGAGAGTACGAACCTGAAAACCTTGCAACAATCATTCGAACGATAAACGGTCTGAGCTGCCACTCTCAAATGACGAACTGTCTCCAATCTGAGTCCTTCAGGAACTCATATCCAAAAAGGTTAACAAGTTGATACAAGTTGTACCAAAAAACCTTGCCAGCACCCTGGCACAAAAGTCCTTCCACGATTTAAGTCAACGCGCGGCAATCGACCACTCGTCGAAACATTCACAGTTTTCGGCAAATTTTTCACACGAACCTGCACATCGTGTGTGAAAGAAGCCCATCCGGACACCTGGCTACGAAGTTTGATGGCTGGTCATGGCATGTTCCGCATTGCAATGGCAATTCTGTAAGACAAAAATCCCCCATTTTGCCACGCACAACCAATGCATCATACCTTAAATAGATGCTGAGGGCATATGTCCATCCATCCATCTATCTGTCTATCTGTGTGTATCTATGTGTATTTAATATGTGTATCTATGTGTCTGTCTGTGTATGCGTCCTGTATGCCTGCATCATCTTCCTAAGTGCCACATCTTCTGTTGTTTCATGATGGCGATGTTTGAAAAAGAAAATCTACTTGCTTACGTTAGTCGCCCACATCAGCAAGAAATCCAAGCAACCACATTAAGACAAACAAAAACCTTAAACAAACTAAAACAATACCAAAACTCTAGCAAAGCTTTGCCCGTGCCTGGGAGCATCTGAGATGTTTGAGCCGTAGTTTCTGAACCGTGTATAGTTTCTCAGATGGTGATTTCATGTGATTTCTACGTTTCCGTAGTTTTTGCGACTTCGCTTCTGAATCTGAAGTCGTTTCTGAATCTGATGTAGTTTCGTCGGTATCCGGTATTTAAGTTCCTGTCTTCAAAAGTTGGCACTTAGTTTTTGGTGCTATTCCATCTATTCCCATATAGTTCCCATATGTTCCCTGCCAAAATTGCACAAAATGTACAGCGAACTGGACCTCGTCAGCACTGGTGCACCTGGGCCCAGAGCCGGCCTGGCGGCTGACACAACGGCTGCAACGGAGCACGGCTGGTAAAAACATGGGAAAAAAAAAAACATAGACGTCAAATGATGGAAAATCACCATGTTTAATGGATAAATCAACTATGTCAAATTGTATCTTAATATGATTCAATATGATCCAATATTAGTGTAAAATCATAATTTAATGCATGCAAAATCAAAATCAAAATCAGAGTTAAAGACCATGGCCAGAGAAACCTACCAAAGTAATTATGCGGACCTTGCCTGTTGAGAGCGCTAGTGAAGCGACGGCACCACATCAGCCTAGCAATGTCCGACAGCGATGCAGGGCGTTCCAAGGTGCACCAAAGCCCTGAACAAATCTATGTGCATCCTGTCTTTCGATTCCCAGATGGAACAACTGGCACCTGATGCGCGTAGAAGCGGAAGCGCAGCGGAAGGAAGCATGAAAAAAAAGGCAAGCGGAAATGAAGAACTCTCAGTGTTTCACTGCCCACAACATTCAGTCTTGTGGCCAAACTGCCTTACGCCATGGTTTAGGTGTCTGGCTGCTTTGTGTGATGGCGACCACTTTTGGAAGCTTTTGGAGGCACTCTTGGTTTGTTTTCAAGACTCAAAAAGGACAATGATTGTGTGTGTGAGTCTGTTCGCTAAAAGCTGGATGGGTTTGGATGGGTATATATATATATATTATTGTTTGGCAAGGAAGGAGACTCGAAATACTTGTTCATACAGATCAATGTGTCTCCTCCTTTGCGGCTCAAGCACGAGCTCAAGCGCGAGCTGACAGGCCCAATGACAGCGGAGAGGGAGAACTTGGTTCATATTCGTTGCAGATTCGTGCGAACTCAGAGAGTCGGCATACGATAATGAGACACATTGAAACATTTGAAACATATTGAAACACAATTCAAATGTCTAAACTTGCCTCGTCTAATCAATCTCTATCAATCTCTCTTGACACAGAAACTGCACCCCTGAGATCGCCTTTGGGCCACCCCAATGGAACTCTGGGATCAGGTTCTGCACCTTTGCTTGCTCGCACGTGTACCTGACAGCCCCGTTTACCATCCCACACCGGGCCCACACCAGGGAAACTGGAGTCGGTTGAGAGCGAACTCCTCAGAGAAAGTGCCGTTGGCCAACCAAAGGCCAGGAAAGGCGGCCATGCACTGACAGCCAAAGCACCTAAGCACGTCACTTTTGCCCATATACAAGATTATACAAGGGCCAAGCAAAAGATTGCACCTTTCAGACTCTTGGTTTCATCCCCGCCCCAACTCATCAATACTAGAACACCTGGTTGTACATGTTTGTGCCATTTGCTTTTGCCGAAGTGATGAAGTGGTCTTCCAAAAGTTTCTTCCCCTTATGTCCGTTGGGAATCGTGCTGCTCCTCTGCTGGTCTGCCCATAGCAGGCTGAACAAAATCCTCATTTACCTGAGCTCGCATGTGGTTTCAAAGCAAAGTTGCGGAGCACTTCTATAGATAGAAACGTCATGGGAAAAGTCCAGATGTGCTGAGCCTCAAACCCAAATAATGGTTGGATCTGGTGGGTTAAGCCTCGGTTTTAGGTGGTTTCTGCAAAGATTTCTGTGGTTTTGACTGGCCACAAATTCAGACTCTTTGCCGTTACATCGACCACGCTCTTGGCACATTGACCACAACAGATGGCTTTACCTCTGGCACATGAACAACTCTCCAGTTCTACACATTCTATCCGAGTAGGTCAACAACATCTTGCTCCTTTTCCCGCAGGCAGCAGTATGGCAGTCTAACTCAGCAGTCACATGCATCTGACTGCAACCCTGACACCAAGATGTTGCCTGTGGTGAAAAAAAACTGATTGTGAAAGATGAAAGATGAAGCGACGTCTTTTGAAGACTCAAGACACAAATATCATAGGATGTAAGATACTAGCAACTTCCTCTGACTCTGGGCATTTGCCCGAGTCTTCCCCAAGAAAAAAACCATAGGTAAGCCAGACAGCCAATCAATGTGCCCTACTACCTGATGTTCCCACTGCACTGCTCAATGTGGCCTGAGAGTGCAAAGAGCAAGCCTGGCTTCCCTTGAAGCAGTGGTCTCCCCTTCACTGTCGTTATCGGCAAATGTTTTCCATTCACAAGTGAGAATGGCGAGTAAAAACGACCTCCAAACATGTTGTTGATCGCTTCCCAGTGGAACTTCGCTTTTGTAAAACACGTCCGTTCACATTCTCACTTCGGCTCATTTACAAAGATACTCCGTCAAGTCGACATTCAGAGTCGCAGCCTTAGTCAGCGATTTACATCGATTTCCTTCATAATTCATGGAAAATACAAAGTGGCGAATCTGGGTCCCGGACACATGCTTGTGCTAGCGGCAGTTCTGCTCGACAAACAACCTGATTCTAGAAAAGGGCATTGCTGCTTTTTACGGAAACAGTAAATGGGGGAAATCTGGATGAAGTTGAGTGATTGAATGGAGTACGTTTGAATTGATTACATCAAGACTCAAAAGCTATAGCTGAAGGAAGAGATTTCTAGGGATGTTGTTCATCCCTATCGCTGGGCAGGAACCTTTCATGCGTATAACCGTATAAACGAAAATACTGGGCTGAGACCAGGCTTATCCCAGACTTACACATGGAGAGCAAAGCCTTGCTTACGTCGTATCGAAATGAGGAAGTAGCTCACAAGGACAGACTGGGTCTTTTGCCTTGAGGTCCTTGTCCATTTTAAAGTTCTTCTCGCCCACAAACCGGACGAGTCCAGCCTGAACAGCCATTTCAACAGACTGAATGCGAGGTTGCTGGCACTGCAACCATTGGATCTCATTGACTCTCAAATGCCAGTGCATTCAGAATTCAGACCCTGAGCTGGAGGCTTCTTTTAGCTTTGTGAGGGCCTGGAAGATATTGCTCCTGTCATTGAAAGAATCGAGAAAGCAAAAAAGCTCTCGAGAGTTTGGCCATCGCAATTGGATCCATTGGATCATGGTGACCCATGGTGCCCGAAGTCAAGACATGTCAAGACATGTCAAGACATGGTGACGCCGGTGACGCAAAACATGCCAGGCTTTGCCCCATGAGTCGGGGCTGCCGGGCCAGGTGGTGGTAGGTGGCCAAAAGGCGCTGGCAGAGGGTGGCAATTGCGTTGCCAAGTCAGATGCGTGGAATGGCGGGATTTCCATAAGAAAGTACCACGGAATCCAGAAAGGGTTCAATGAAGTTTAAAGTTTAACAGGAATCAAAAAAAAGTCGGGCGTCTTAGTTCAGCTCATTGCTCCTGAGCTTGCCCAAGCTACGAGAATCAGCTGATGGGAGAAAGTAAAGTTTTTGCTGCACTGGTTTGGACATTTTTTAGACCTGAAAAACTCTTTATCAAAATCCTCTCAGCAAGCCTTCTCCATCCTTTTCCTGGATTCAAAATCATTCAAATCTCTTGGAGTCCCGCTCCATCCCGCTTTGCCCCACCGGAATCGTGACCACGTTCGGCTGTTTCACGTGAGCCGGGAGAGCATTGTCTTTTTGCCTGGGACTGCAAAAAGACAGCGACAAACAAGGAGGCAAAATGCAGCAACATTGTGACATTGTTCACTTGTGCCCCCAGGGAAGTTTGATTGTTGTGATGCAAGAAATGACTCTGGTTGGTTCATGTGACAGAATCGTAAAGGAATCTTCTCTAACATGTCATTTCCGGTCGGCCTGACCATCACAGCGCGCTTGCGACGTGTTGAGCGGCCCAAGAAGAGCTGCCTGTCGTCCTGAAAACGACGCCCCGACTCTCAGTTTCTGGCTGGATTCTGATTGAATGACCATGTGTATCAGTGTGCGCGCGTGCGCGTGTGCATCATTGGATCAAAACAAATCAAACAAGAAGAAAAGCAGTGACAACAATGAAAACACCAACACCAAGAAGTGTGGGCGGTTGAGTCTGTCCACCGTGACCCACAACTGCTTGAGCCTGACATAATCCCTCATGAACTGCTGAAACACTGAAAAATGATGAGGAATACACCTGCTTGCAAACTCGCGATGCAAGGTAGGCGGCAAGAACCAAACGCATTTCTGCCTTTCATGCGGATCTGCACCAAACACATCAAACCACAGCATAAGTCAAGTGTCGGTCCAGTATTGCTCTCTGTCAAAAGACTCTTTGAATGGATAGTACACATAGGTTTGCACTTCATGGCTAAAATATTCAGGCTGAGAGGCTGATTGGGGACCGAAACAAAGTGACAAAACAACACCTGCCAGATTCAGCATTCGAAGCTACACGCCTTTGACATTGTTTGCGACACCTTAATGAGCTTTGCCTCCGGATCCTGCGCCAAGCGGGGAAAGCTGATGAATTGAAGGCAGCAACAAGCCATACAAATGTCAACAGTTGCTGAAATTGCATATGGTATCATTATCGTGTGGCATCATGTAGCTACATAATGCTACATAATGCTACATAATGCTACCTATGTTGCCATCCGAGCATGAAATGCGTGTTAAGCTATAAGAACAAAATCAATACTTACTTCAATATGTCAGCATCTTGCTCTATGTGCAGCCAGTGACCTAAACATATTCAGCAGAACTGCAGAAGGTGATTGGCACACAAACAGCCAATAGCACTTTCAGATTTGTCCTTCATTGGCTTGTGAACAAACCCCACGCGGCGGCGGCAAGCCTTCACAGCGTGGTGTCACAATTGTCCTGTGTTGTCCCAAAAGTAGTGTATATATCGTCAAGTGCATTGCATTTTGTCAGCAAATGACAACATGTTCGCCCGGAAGACTCATTGGAACCTCGAATAGGTCAGTAAGAAAACAGGTGCCTCCTCAATCAAAGGTTGGAGAACAGCTGCGTCGTGCTTTGCTCCTCGCAGAGACAGGGCGGCTTCTTGATCTTTGGACGGGTGCTGGGACGAAAAAGTGCAACATGGCAAGCTGCTATCCGCAGAAGACCCTGCTACCAGTAGATCCTACCGGCAGCTTCTTTTGACCGAAGCTTCAATTTGACAGCTCGTTGGCAAGTTCGCTACTCACTGGGTGACACCTCTGAAGTGCAAAGGTTCTGCGATTGTCCTGTTGAGACAAAACTCTCCACGCAACTTTGTGCGTCTTGAATGGCTGAAATCTATGGCAACACTGCCTCTATGACCACTTTGACCAATAAAAAATGGAATTAAGTAAGGCCCATGCAAGGCCCATGCAAGGCCCATGTACAGGTAGTACAGCCTCTTTGATCTCTTTGCACTGGATTTTCCCCGCAAGACAGTGGAGACAGTGCCGGCCGGTGGATCAGAGGAGCTGCACACCTCAGCAACTCAAGGACTCTTGCACCGTTGCACCAGCATCTCTTTCACGAAATCCATCCAAATCCATCCAAATCCTAAAGTAGCATGACTTAATAGTGACAGTGGTGCAGTGAGGCATTTAATCTTCCCACTTCAAAAGACTCCTTATTGGCCCTCAATTACGTTCTCTCGCCCCATCTACAATCATGGTCAGGAACCCACTCTGCCATGAGGGGGCAAGGTGGCGAAAGAAAATCGATTGACTCGGTTCGGTGGCAACTCCTGATCCACGACCTTTCTTGACTTTCTTGACGGACTGCAGCACGTGTCAGCTGCAAGTCTATCCAAGCTCAGATCCTATGACGCAGCAGGTCGCTATACACTGTACATCCACAAGACAGCATGCTGGAATGCAAAAGATATGGATTTCATGTCCGGCAATCAGCTGCGAAAGGATTGGCTCCGCATTGGGCCTTATGGTCGCCATACACCAATAGTGTCCTTTATCAGTTGTGGACCTTTCAGGGTCTCAAAGGTAAACGACGCGTCCGGCAGCTGACGGTACCCAAAAACTGACGGCATTTGGCGGCTGCAGTGGGTTGTGTGAAGACTGAGTGTGTTGCCACCAGCATCCATAAGCATGACAATGTCCCCCTGGTCCATGGGAGGTAGCATAGCATCCCGAACTACTACATCACCTGCAAAGCAAAGTGGCCCTGCAATGTCGTGCGGAATCAAATCCGTCGCAGCCTTGGGTCGGCCAGTAGCGTCAAAGGGCAGGACTCGGTGTTTCATAAAGGTGTCTGGGCAGTAGCTCGATCGCAGGAAGATCTCCGAACCAGCATGGATGAGGGCAATCCGCCCTCCATCACACTCCTTGATGTACTCGATACGGGATGCCAACCAGCCAAATTTGATGTGGCATGATGCACCAAATTCTGAAATCACCCGCTCAAACTGCGAGGCATCGAATATTTCAGGCACTTCTTGCCGCAACGCATCAGCATACTCTGAAAAGGATGGTGTCAGGGTGTCATCTTCGAAGTTGGTGCTCAAGCCACCCCCAATGTCAATGATACGCACTTGTTGGTGCCCTGCTGCTTCATTCACGGCCTTGGCAAAGTCCACAGCAGCACGGACTCCACTGACAAGTTGCTTCAAACCCATTCCTCCGGATCCCGTGTGCACGTGGATGCAGTTGAGAAAGCTTGCTTTGGTCACACGCTGGACCAGCTCAGCTTGGTACTTGGGGTCTGGGTAGAGGGGCACCCCAAACTTGGACTTCCCCGTTGAAACGCTGAATGCGGCAATGCTTCCCGCACCCACCAGGGGATTCAAACGCAGTCCCAGGACCTGCTGCTCTCCAAGTTGGAGGCCTGGGAGGAGATCCACTACGCGATCCAACTCTTGCAAATTGTCCATGTTCAAATGGACACCCTTTTCCAGGGCATAACGAATCTCTGGAATCGTTTTGCTTGGTGAGTCGAACACCACATTTTCAGGGGCAAATCCATTCTCCAGTGCTGCAACGACCTCTGCAATAGAGGCACACTCCGCACCGTGGCCAAGTGCTTTTTCTCGACGAAGAAACCAGAACAATGGGTTGGTCTTGGCTGCACAGGCGTGCAACCAGTGCGAGCCAAAGAGCGCTCGGATGTTGGCTAAGTTTCTTTCCCAAGCGTCCAAATCGTAGAAAAGTGCCATGGGTTTGTCCTCGATGGTTTCTGGCACCCGAAGCAGCCCAGCATCCACGGCCGCGCTCAAGGCAGCTGATCGACAGGCTGCACCCACAGGATCAAGTTCTGCACTTGCCATGAGTGCTGCTGTGGACGGAGAAAAGTATTAATGTATATATGCATTATATAGTTATATATATAATATATATATATTATATTAGTTATTATATATAATTATATGTAATTATATAATATGAAATCGCATGGACTCGACTTGCATGTCTCCGAGACTCTCACCAGTGTTCTTTGTTGCGCGAAAAGAGACAACACGCTGTGGACCGTTGTGGTATAGGAACAACCTCTCAGATTGGCTGCAAACACAGCATGTTGTCACTAGTTGTCACTAAAAGTTTTTGGATGTTGAGGTGCAGCTTCTGCAGCCATGAACAGCTGCAATGATCTGCAATGAATCAGCAAAATATCAACATACATCAATCATGGAAGCCCCTATTCAAGCATGGTCAAGGCCTTCTTGGCATCTTCACAGGAATCAGATTCATCATGTGCACGACATGGTCCACTGGCAAATGCACAGCTTGGTCATCCTTTTTCATTCTTGGTGCCGTGAACAAGCAGTGATCTGAACGATCTGAATGATCTGACTTTCCTCCTGATGGAGCTGTCCATGATTTTCCAAGCAGTGATCTCCATGTGTCGCTGGTTCTAGCAACCTAGCGAGACACGAGAATTGCCGGGCCATGGGGCCATGGGGCCATGTCTTCAAACGCCCTGATACGCCCTGCATCGGCAAAGCCCCAAGGGGGCCGCCAGCCTTGATACATGCAAGGACTGCACTAGGCATGAATGAAATAGGTATGCCCCAATGCCCGTATGCCTCATGTTTCCCAAAGGAATGAGATGTTCGATGGATGATATGGATGCAAAACATCATGTCCTCTTCATTGGATCTAGCAATAATATGCCAAACATGTATCCTCCCAAGTGGTCTGAATGTATTCATTGCGCTGTGTGGCAACTTGGCTGGAGCATGCTGGAGCCGGACGCCTGGGCTTCACATCTGGGCTGACAAAAGTTGAAAGACCCTGAAGAACAATGGCATCCCCAGATTGTCTGTCCTACGAGCCGAAGACTGACATTCTAGAAAGCCGGCCACCAAAAACATCGGGCTTGCGGCAAACTAGGTGTGAATCTGTAGTTGAACTGCCCTAATTTGATGATTTGATGAAATTTGTTTCAAAAGGTATGCCAAGGCAACACGCCTGCGAGCCCCAAACATGAAGTGCTTTGGGCCCACAGTGGGACTCTAGCACTTCAACACAGCGACACATTGGTCGCAGCTCACGCTCTCAAACACTTCCTGCACGGATCTTCGAAGAACTTCGTCAGAAACCATCCTTGGTGAGCTCTGTTCATGGAACGAGGATCGGCAGTGTCAAGGAGTGGCAATAATTGGATGCGAGTCGCAAAAACTGGAGACCCAACCAATTCACCAAACTATATAATGTCGGAAGTTAGGTAAACAGTGAGTTGGCCTTCAAATTCAAGCGATGTGATGTTTTTCGAGCAAAGGATCCTATGAAGATCACCAGTGCAAAGCTTCCCAAAACCACCCAGTAGGTCAGGGATTGGAAACTGTGCGGTAGGCCTGGGCAAACTTGAGCGGTGGGCGCATCCCTTCAGGTGCGTATCACAATAAGATCATATCAACAAGGCCATGGGTGGCCAAGTTGCAAGGGTTGGTTCAAAATGGTTCAAATACACTGCCAGGTAACACATTGACACCACCAAAATCACGCTGAAATGGACCATGTAGAACGACATGGCAATGTCTCCTGGGCGAAGCGACGCTTCGGAGACTATACAAACTTTCAGTCTGAAAAGCTGAGCGAAGCATGGTGTCATCTGTTTCACCCTCACTCCTCTTGACCATCCAACTTTGAATGAGCGAGCATTCTTGCATCATTATTGCTATGTCAAGGAGCCCATCCATTCCATGGGCTTGCTGCGGCAAAGTCGGGCAAGGATGCCGTTCTCACCGCAGTGGGTCAATGCCCTGAGATGAAAGCATGATGAAAGTGATTCCAAACCACACGTGGTTACGCGAAAAAAGGTGACAGCCTCCACCCCATTTGTTGCCCATCAAGCCCAGTCTCATCCTCTCAGCCAAGAGACAGAATCAAGTCAATGAACAAGAGCGGTACCAATGCCTGGGGTTGATTGGCAATTCAGATCCCAAGTCGAGGATGTAGACGACAGTTACTCAGGCTAGATCATCCAAGAATTGACTTCAGCTTCAAGTGAACATCTACTGATGCCAAATCCCGCAACCTCCAAGAAAGCTCGGACCATGGGATCTCGATATGCTCCAATTTTAGCATTCTTCACAGGGACCTGGAACGCCAAAATACGCCAAAGCCGTGTTACTCTTAGTGCATCGCCAAGGACATGACCAAGGTGACCAAGGCCCTGAGTGCCGCACCCTGTTTATGACTACGCCAGCCACGAGGAGGAGGATATAACCTCAGTTTCCGGCCAAGTCGACTGCAAAAAAACACGGTGAGAATCTAGAGCCGAGGCACATAATCCGAGAATGGAGGCGCGCCAGCCCCATCTCCTGGCCTCTGACCCGCCAGTGCTGCGAAAGCGGCAGGTCACATGGCCTGTCGAAGCATCACAATCACATCTCGTCACTTTGGCCATTTATAGTTTATTTACCCATTAAAAATGGTGATTTTCCATAGTTATGTTGATCAGCTGTTTGAGGATAACTCCATGATACTCGAGGTCTCTGATCTCTGATGCCGAGGCCACACCCACAGCTGTGATCCAATCTGAACATAAGGGAGTAACAACAAATGACAGCCCTCTGCCATCTGCAATCAGTTGGGATAAACCAGCAACGCACCGAAAAACGCCTCCGCCATGCATTCGCTCCACTGCTGAGAGGCATCCCATGGCAAAGACAGGGATTCGGCTCAGCGGCCAAGCACGAGCCGTCCAATACGCCACAGAGAAGTTGTTGGCACCGAAGGTTCCAATCATAACCTGAGAACACTCGAAATGAATGGTGCTACATAGCATGCTACTGCAAGCAAATATGGCCTTTAAAACATGTCGGTCTCTGACTTGATGGGTGATTTCACATCTCAATTGAGACAAACTTAAAATGTATTCCGAACATTTACGTAGATAAGCAGATGTCCCGTGTTGAAGCTGCGGAGCTGCCACGAAACAATGCACAAAAGGTATTTCCACTCCCAGGTTTCAATGCCTGGCTTCTCGTCAAATGGTATGGTGACAGTCTCAATTGAGCTTAGAAGCTATGGACAGGAAGGTCACTGCTTGAAGCCAGAAGAGCAGGTGAATCATCAAGCGACGCTTCTTCACAGCCTTCAACCATGGCAGCATGTAGGGGAAGACGATGTAAAAGACTGCCATGGTCTGGACCTCAAGAACAACAAATTAAATCACTTTTCAGCCTCAAGAAATCTCCACAATGATGAAAGTGTGACCCAATGACTACAACTAGTGATATCAGTCTACGGCACCTGTGTAGCTGCTATATCTCGAATTCCATCTTATCATAGAGTCACATACTGTGTGTGTGGTATATATATAGTGGTTACGGTATATCTATATATATACAGCATATGCATATATATATACACACATATATATATATTATATAAATATATAATATAAATATATATATAATATGTGATCCGTTCCATATTCCTTTCTGCAGCTCAGGGACTGTCCAGGTGACAAAATTCGCTGGCAAAGCCACCGAATGATAGCAGCAATCACGATCAAATGGAAGCCAGGCCTCGAGGTGGGCAGCCCAGAGAAGGACACCAAGGACACCAAGGACACCGGCAGTTGCTGGGCTGCAGGCATCAATGGGGTAGATCCACATGTTCAATCCCAGAAAGGTCAAGATCAGATTGAAGTCAAAGTTTGTGGAGGAGAGCATTCCCACCATCGGCTTCCCCTGAAACAGCACAGCTTGCCACAGCGACTCGGCTTCGCACATGGACCTTTACTGTTCTGAACAGTATTTTGCTGTCAAATCCCCTGCCTTGAAGCCGTAATGCAGCACGGCAAAGAAAAGGATGTTGGTCAACATGTACATGGGAAAGAGCCTTGCAGTGTTTGTTCTCATAAGGTAGCAAGGAGGGTGGGTCATGAACTGATTGAGAATAGCTTAATAAGACAACATGAACTTCCCAACCTGCACTAAAAGTTTTGAGTTCTGTTCCACTCAAGTCGCAAACGATCCACCAGAATATTTCTGTGAATCTGTCCGCCTGGCAAAGCGATTGCGCCAAAAGCGACGTTTGTTGAAGTCTCTCAGGTTCGTGTTGCCGTCCCCCTGAAGCCGTGCATGTCGGCTTCCAATGGAAGGATTGGTATGTAGGTGACATGACCAAAGCCGACAGGAATTCGCCAAGCGTCTGCCACCAAGTCTTTCGCATAGCCAAGGGTCATGACAAAGCCAGACAGTAGGTAGAAGAAGCCTTGTTTTCAAAGGTTCAGCTAGCGCGAATTAAAGTTCACTATCACTGCCATAATGTGTGCAGTCTGCTTCATTCACTTTAACATGGAAATCACATCCTCCTCCTCACTCACTCATTGCGAATTCCAACACAGGACTTCCAACATCTTAACTGCCATCGTTGCCATCAAGCTGCTCATTGAGGCACCACCAATGAGGTCCAGGTGCAAGGGCGAAACAGAACAGTAGTGACCCACTGCAACATGCCTCAAGGGCTCTCTCAGCAGAATGCTTGTTGTATACTGTTGTATTCTGTGCATCACGGGGAAATCACAAGGCGATTTCAAAAACTTCGTGCTGCACCAAAGTGTTCATCTGCCGAAGCCTTAAATCCCTGCTTCAAAACTCAGTTGCTCCACAACTAAGTAATGAAATACAAAATGTACTCTACAAATCTATACAAGGCATTATGTAGGCAATCCTATATCCACTAGATAGTCATTTCTTGTTGGTCACCCGAGGTGCAATGCTGCGAAGCCTCGCAGCCCAGTGAGTGCCAGAGTATCAACGCGTCCTTCTTTGAGATGTTGTGTTTGCGAGACATTGGCACTCTCTGATTCCGAAAAAACCTCCAGAGCTTCGAGCAGTTCGCATCTCTTTGAAGTGGCATTGCCATCACTGCGCAGCGATAACCAACACCATAGTCACTGCAGTCCATTTTTCACGCTTAACCATGATTCAATTGTTGAGCATCCTGACTTAGCGGTTGGATGAGACCATCAATACATCCTTGCCAGTTTGCCAAGGCGAATGAAGCTCCATAGTCTGCCAAACTACTAAAGGACCCATACTGAGGATATCTCATCTTGAGATATCTTGAGAGTAGTCACGATCCCCTATCCTCTAGGGCAGCCAAGAAGCGGAGGAGCGCTGAGGGAGGCAGAAAATCAAATTAGCCAAGGCAGTTACCACGAGGATTGCAACCTCAGAATGGAAAGAAGGATCGGACCTTGCCGGATAGTGATCGAAAGCTGTCATAGATCCCCTCCAGCAGTGATTGCATCATTTTCCTACCAAGATTTATTCATACCGGCATAATCCTGTATGTAAATTTGAGATCATTTGAGATATTTGAGATATTTGAGATGCAGCCAGGAAGCAAAGCCAATGCTCAAGGCAGTCTCATCTTTCCACGACAACGGCTCGGGAAGCGAAGGCGGTGGCCCGTTTTGAGCGATCACCGGGAGAGACTGAAAAATCTCCTCGTACCACCTGGTGCAGCTGTAGCACTTTGAGTGAATGGATCTGCATGGATTTTCGAATCACGGACTGCCTTCCGTCCTTGCCTGGAAGGTAAATCTGAAGACTCCATAGCTGACCAGGAAATCTTACGTCCGGTCCGCTAGATCTGTACCTTTGTCAATTTGCTGTGCAAGTTTCGTTCATGGCTAGATTTGCAATGTGAGGATGTTCATCCGTGAAAATCTAGCGACTGCAGAAAATTCTGAGGTCTGTTCTGGTTGCACCCCATGAAGATCACTATTAACTTGATCCGAATGCTGCAAAGATCGGATCAAATTACATGACATCGCCTGGAGTTGACTCGAGGCGTCTTCCCTGTTTCTTTGTCAGCCCTGATGGAACAGAGGTTTGAGCGACTATGAGAGTTTCTCCTGTCTCCTGGACAAGTCGTATTATATAAACAAATACTATCAAACAGCATCAAATAGCTTTATTTGTAAATACACGAGTATTTCAAATATTTCACATAGTGCCTAGTCAGAGGTGCAGTCAGGACAGCGCTTTTGATTCTTGGGTTCTTTTGCTGGCAATATTGGGGTGTCCGGTTTTTCAACGTTTGCCCAAGCGAAAGTTGTGCACCCTGCGTCGGGAAACGATGGAGACGGTCGGATCACGGCAGTGGCTGCCGTGAAATCCTGCGCAAAAGTGGCCCAAATCTTCCGCTGGATACACAAGATGTGACAAAAACTGAGAAAAACCGACTGTTTGGTCAAGTCTTTGGTCAAGGTTCAAACCACTTCAAGACAAAAAGCAGAATTATCAGTGCAAGAGTTCAGGAGATCAAATTGTCATCCATCATCTCAGTCAATTCTCGGAACCTGCAGAGTGAAAATCAAGGACTGCGCTTTTTTGAAGTTTCAGACTCCTCGAAAGGAAGCGTGAAAACGCACTGCATGGAATTCGGGACAAGATTTCAACCCTACTTTTACATCATTTGTGTTTTGGGGACCTCCTTTTGGGCCTGATGGCCCATGATGGCCCACTAATGGCCTTCATCTCCCAAACAACCCGGGTCCTACTCCGAAGTTTGAAGGCTGCAACTTGTCGCCTTGCGCTCGATCACTGCGCGCCAACCTGAAAGAGCAGCACTATCCAAATGCGGAGTTGTCTGAAAATAGGGTGAACATTCAAAAAAAAAAACGTGTCATCAATTTTCCCTATTAAACTGGCATAAACTGGCCATAAGTGACGGTATACTCCTCATGTTCAGATTCATTCAGATTCAAATTTGCGGAGTCCCACTGATCACACGACGCAACTTGCAGACAATCTTTGACAGTGAATCAGAACGCAGGTATCAAAGCTTGGGTCCCCCCTGTTGACGTTGCATCCACATGGAATCTGAACGTGGCACCATAAATAGAACGGCAGCAAAGTTGCACCCTGCGCATCTGCTGGACCTGAAGACTCACAGCAATGTTCATGCATTCTGCAGCATCAAATACGCACAATGTGAGTGTCAAAGTTCCTTTTCTTGCATCCGATAATATATGTACCCAAAAAACCTGTCTCAACCCAAAAAGTCGTCATACCTTGCCAATATTCTACCTACACCTGCACAATCCTACCATGCTAGCTTCAGATGGCTGTCGGGATATTCGGACGCAAATTTTGATTGGCGTGCCTGAGGAAGTGCCGTGACAGCATATCGCAGCTGGTGCGAATGTGTCAGCATATCGCAACAGTGCGAATGTGGCAAGTGAGATGATGACACTGGCTTCTCCAACTGGAATCCCATGGTTTTTTGGACTCCACTAATCCATGGAACAAAATCTGGGTATGGGTCAGTCTGAGTACTCTGGGTAGATGTTTAGCAACTTTGTGCAGGCTCACTGAAGTACAGAATAAAGTTTAAATGGCCCACACCCCACTGACATCAAATCTTTGTAGAGACTGGATGTCATCTAAACAGGGACGCATTGCTTTAAAGCAGCAGTGCTGGATTGTACCCGGCTGTGCAGGTCATTCACAGCTTCTTTGGCCACAGTTGGATCGCCTCCATTCACCAAGGCAATGGCTTGAGCGATGTTCCAACAGAGGTGCCCGCCATGTGCTTCGATATGTTGGTTGACACCAGCTGCATACATCGCCTGTGTGAGTGGTTGTTTCAAGTTGGCCAGGACCAGGGACTTTTTGCGCTTCTGCAAAGAAATGGTGAGGTTTTCGACAGCCTCATAACCAGTCATGTCGGTGCCATTGATGGACTTGCAATCTAAGATCACATAAGAAACATAGGGGTCAGCTCTGCCTGCAGCCCCCACGGCGCGCAAACAAAACTCCTGCAAGCGTCTGGTGTTTGCGAAACTCAGGGCAGCGTCCATTCGAACGACAACACATCTGGGGATCATCTGACCTTCGGGGTAATACCTCACATCTCTGAAGGTCCCATCCTCCACCTGGCCACAGAGCTTCAACATGGACAGCACCACACCAGTGATGAGACCTTCCTTCACGGTCAATCCCAGTGAAACCACAAAGGTGGCCACCATGATCAGGAAGTCCAACTGATTGCCACAGAAGGTGGGGATAAAAGCCTTGAAGTCGGTGACGCCAATAGCACCATGGATGATCAATGGAGCTAAGGCTGCCAAGGGCAGCTCTACCACTGGCATCAAGCTATCCACTGCAATAACCACGCGCCGATGGATGTCAAGGCCCCAGTGGAGAGCTTGCGCCGAAGATGGAATTGACTGTCCTGGAGAAGCCACCAACATTCGCAGCACCCAAAGCCACAAGTTCTTGCTTTGCATCGTGGCAAAAACCGCTTCTCGTTTGCCATCTTGCCAACTGCCATGGTTTCCAAGAAGCCTACAACAGCAATCATCAATGCAGGCACAATGAGATCTGGAGTGTTGCTATCAAAGCTAGGCAGCAGGAAAATAAAGCCATTGCTTTCACTGTCGTCAATCAGCCGCACCGAATTGATTCCAGTTTGTCGATAGATGTAGCCCCAGACCCATCCAAGAATGGCGCAAAGCACCGAGGACAAATCAGCGCACATCTTCATGGATTTGAAAGCACAGGAGTCCTTGTTCTTCGGGAAGAACCTCCAAATGAGGCTCTTGGAGCGCTTGGCTTCATTCCCAGCTTGCTTCCACTTCTTGAAGAAGGTCAGCATTGCCAAAAGCGTGAAGCCAAGCAGTGCAATTGCTGCATCAGTCTCTGGAAGGTTTTTGCACAAGTCATATGCAGTCTCCCACCAGTAACAGTACTTGTGTCGCTTGATGTTGATGCCAAGGACGTTCCTCGTCTCCAAAGAAATTCATGGCTAAGGCTTGACCTGTCAACAAACTAATGAAGGCCGTTGGCCCAACCTGGAGCTGTCGGGTCCCAAGCAACGCATCACCAAGGGAGCGAAGGATGAGGCAAGGCGCTTTCGCCAGGCACTGACCAGCATCAGCCCCACAGTCAGACCAATGAAATCACCTTTCATATGTGAAGCCCCCAAGATAGCTAAGTTGATTTATAACTCCAATAACTATGGTTAATGGTACTTATAACATCTTATAACTATAGTTACTGGGGCTTATAAACCAACAAACATAACTGGGGGGCCCATGGGGGCCCGAAGTTGCACGGCCGGGCCTGATGAATCTGACATTGTTGCAGGCAGCCAGGTGAATGGAGGGAACAAAGATCTAACATCAAATTTGCTCCCACCATAGACCTCCCTCCATGCTGGAGGCATCGGTTTTTCTTTACCCTGGGGAGATTCCATTCCTGCTTCAGGATATTGTAACTCTACATCCTTGTCGATGCTCTCAACTTCCACCATTGGTGCAATGCTTCTGCCGTTAGTTGTCCTATGCAGCTTACTGCAACGGTAGAGATTCAGCTTGAGCCACACAAATTCAGTATGTGTATTTGCTCCCTTCACATGTCTGACATGGCTGCAAATTCTCTTCACACCCGCTGGGCAAACCCGACAGTAGTGGTAAGGCTCTTCCAGCCATGCAGAACGCGGTAGAGCTGGAAATGGTCCTGAAAACGAGCTTTTCAACGCAAGGCCTCGATGGCCTTGGACCCGACATTGAAATTTGCGCTCCTTCGCATCTGCCAATTTCCGGCCAGCACGGCCTGAAGGATCACTGGTCAAGTTCAGTCACACTGACATCATCTGACATCTGTGCGATTACGATTTCACAACTGGGTGAACAGCCGAGACGAAACATCAATCGCCCCGCAGCACTTCGCTTGACCTGCATTCTCTTTGTATTAGAAATTGTAGATGCATGGAGTATTCAAGTCTCCAAAATGGAACACGAAAGCACTGTGCAAATTATTGTCATCTATAGTAAGCATCCAGAATCTAGACAAGAATGTCCTTTACAGCCCAACAAAAAGTAGACTTCAAGTTGTCCAACCTTTGCGTAGCTTATCTCAAGCTTCTGGCACCGCATTTCTTTGGCCTCTGGTTTGCACATTGAACCATTTGGGGCAAATTATAAGATTCTGTGGGTCGCTGCTTTTCGAAATCATCGTTTTTTGCATGCCACTGCTGTGCAAAGCTGATGCATGACAAAAGCTCAGTCCCACACGACACGAACCCACGCCTTCGCAAGGTACAAACCAGGATTCTGTATGAAAGAAACATGCTAGCATTTATACAAATGTCAAGCATTATACAACTCGATGTTGATACATCCAAACTTGCCTGGAAGCTCTGCCAAATCCGTCTAGAAGGAAAGGCCGCACCTGGGGGATTGGCTTTCAATACCAACCCTGATCTGAGAGTACCTGGTTCAATTAATGATTAATATGAATTCATTGCATTTGCCCGAGCTCTGTCTTACCTACCTTATCCTACCTTTGAAACTCCCGCATCGGACCGATTCGGGCTCCAGCATCCTGGCTCCTGTGACTTCACAATTGACCTGGACATCAACACTGTTTGAGGAGATCAGGCAGGGCCTAGCACATGAGGGATGATAAACAATGATCGAACGAATCGAACATGAAAAAGATGGAGCAAGTACTGATCTTTAAAAACTGTGTAAGTGGATTTCACCCCAGCCTTTTGAACTTCTGCGGGGTCGCACTTGAGGGGGACTTGCCTCGTTGGAAATGCTTTTCTGGCAAAGGGAAACATGTTTATCGTGGAGGCAAACCCTTCAACAAGTCATCAATGTCAAGACCAGGCACCTTGTGGTGAGCTCCAAGGCGACCGATTGGTTGCACCCTGGGCTGCGTCCAATGACATTTGCAGTTTGTCAGCATGGAAAATGCTAAGGCAGCCCACCAACAGCACCGGTCGCCATGAGCCTGGCAAGTGAATTCAAAACCGGGGACCCCCAAACCATTGTGCTTTCGAAATCTTTCGAAGGTCGATCCTTCCATCAGTTTGAAATCCTCTATTTGAGACAATTAGAGCAGTGATTTATTCCACTTCCATCCAAGTCCTGTGCCAAGCACTGCAAAGTCTTGCGACATGATCTGGCTTGGTGCTGGCCTCTCGGTGGTGAGAAGACCGCTTTTGGGCTTGTCGCCACCTCAAGCTCTTGCTCTCTCTCTCTCTCCCTCTCTCCCTCTCTCCCTCTCTCTCCCTCTCTCCCTCTCAATTCCCGCTCTCTCCTCTCTCCCTCTCTCTCTCCTCCCTCTCTCCCTCTCTCCCTCTCCCTCTCTCCCTCTCTGTCTCTCTCCCTCTCCTCTCCCCTCTCTCCCTCTCTCTCCCCTCCCCTCTCTCCTCTCTCTCTCTCTCTCTCGCTCTCTCTCTCCCCCTCCCTCCGGAAAAAAGGAAAAAAGCACTCTCAAAAGCACACAGAAAGGGCCTCCAAGGGCCACTTTCGTCACACTTTGAGATTCAACATCATTCAACATCCACAATTTTAGCCCCCGGCACACAGCTTCCTGCCAAGTTCCTTTGACCTCAGCAAAAGCAATTCAATTGGTTTAGACCGTTTAGACCTTCGCAAACCATTGGGCTTCACATCAGACAACTCCAAAAGGTCTAGTGAAACATCGGACAAACCCTCCACATTCGAAAATCTCAGGAACATCAGCCATTCGTTTTGATGCTTCCATTGACTTTGCCTTGCGGCCAATCTTCAGGTTTCCAGCCTGTCAGTTTCCTTGCCACCTGATCCAAGATTGCTTCAGCTGCATTCTCTGGGTTCATCTCTGGCACTTCGAAGCATCTCAAAAGATCTCAAAAGTAGGGTCCTGCCTCTTTGTGAGCCTCTGCATGCCTGACAGCATTTTCTTGAAGAAGCTCAGAATCTGTCTGTCCCAATGAAAAAAACGACCTCGCTATCCACAGATTCAGAAAATTAGATATGATACGATCATGATGTTGACGCTGTAACACAGCCAAACCATGATATAGTCTTGCTTCTGGAGCACATGGTAATGGTATGATTGTTTCCCTACCCCATGTCGTTTGCACCTATGCAAAAGATCATACAGTTTTCAGCCTGACTCTCAAGATTAGTCCAACTTGAAAGGCTGAAGCAGGAGTCCAAAACTTCCCCAAGACTTCCGCGGTTTGCAAAGAAGTTGCTTCTTCAAATAGCTGACTTACTAACCCAGCCTCAGTCCTGCCCTCTTGGTCGGGTGAAGAAATATCATGCATGGCTCACGCACACGAAGAAACGATAGTGCTTGATCTGTATGTGATCTCATGTGAGGATGCATTTCAAGCTTGACATTCACGGCATATGCAGTGCACCACTAACGAAAAATTTCTTGGACTGGTGACTGAAAGAGCGTTCTGTAGAAAAAAAAATTGGCCGCAGGAAGCACTTGTTTCTTTATTTTTTCTTTATCTTGTGCGGTTTTGGTCAAAAAATTGGCGCAGGGATATGCCGGCGGCGATGTCACATGGCCCATGAAAAAACACGGTGCCACAACTGCCATATCCTGCTGGCATGGCATCCAGGACCATCTCCACCACCTGAAACGTCCGACAGTCACGACACGGCAGACACGTGAAACGGAAGGCGAAAGAACATGGAAAAAACCGTGTCCAGCCTCAATAAGCAACCCCAGGTTCCAGCCCACGAATGGGACAGCCATCTGAACCAAGCAAAAATGAGGAGTCAACATGATTCAAAGTGATTCAAATCCCAAGTGCTGTCTTGCAGACCTACTTCAATCCAGCTGCGCTGCGTCCGAAGAAATAACAATGAAATCCCAAGATCAGATGAATACTCGAGACTAACTCATCAAAATCAGAGATCTCACACAGATGAATGATCCATTGCCCTCCTAACTCATCCAAATGTCTTCGAAGAAAAGACACCCGCCTTCTGCAAGCCATAGATCACAAAATTCAGGGTCTCAATATCCCTGCACAGCGACATGATTCACTCAATGCAATCCCGCATCTTTGCGTGTCGAATATCAAATATGAGCAATGCAACGAAGGAAACAACTAGTGCAGACTATCCGAGATCTTTTCCCTAAGCATTGAAAGACTGCCGCGAATCATCCCCATGACAAAATCTGGTATCTGGTATCAAAGGTGCAATCTCCAGCCTACCACCCTTCTTCGTAAAATGTCGCAGAAGCAGTTGCAGGGTGTTAGAATCTGAGTACCTGTGACATTGACACTGTCAAGCTGAGCTTGAAATTCAGGCACAATTAGGCACAATGGGTTTGTGTGAAGTGAAGTACCTCTAAATCCAATGGTTTACCATGGTTTACGATGGTTTGCCTCAAGGACTTTTATCCACAAGTCCTACAGGCACGTCCAAGGCACATTGGCCAGTTGGATCACAGCCGCGGTAGTTTTGGAGGACCAGACTTTGTGGTCACGTTTCTAGGTGCGGATGCACCGAGAAACTATCTGAACACCCGGTGATTTGGCACTTCTTAGCAAGCCTATGAAGAACACAGCAGACACATGCAGAACTCATCTCAATAAGATTCAATAAGTATGCTGTATATCACTGTATACCGTATACATGTTGTCAGGCTTGCAAGATGCGTCTTTGGCACATGAATGCGCTCGCATGTTCTATTCTACTTTGTGAAACACGTGGACTGTGAGGAGAGTTCGGCTTGCAGAGTGTGGTAAAACAAATAGATTCATAGATATCTTTATCTTTCCTAACGACGGCATCACGGTGCAGGGCACCACCCAAAGTATCTCTTCTGCACTTCCATTGCGACCAAACATTCGTGTTGCCTTCAACATTGTTCAACATCGTTCGACTGTATCCTCTACACTCCAGTGACGCGATGACTTTGATCTGCTGGACGTGAGTTTGCGGCAGTGAAGACTCAAACGACTCGACCTGGCAAACTGAAAGGCATCAAAAAAAAATGAGATGATGTCACAAGGAGTGATGAGTAAGGTACCTTTCACAATCATTAATGTACATTAATGACATTAATGTACATTAAGATGTACTAAGTTACTACTAAGTGACAAGGGATGACCCCGCACTCTGTGTCCGCCTGCGACAAGGGATGCCTGAGAGCTGCCTCACTTCTTGAGATCCTGCAAGGATTTCGTCGCATTCGTCGCAGCAAATCTATGGAAAGATCCTGGAAACTACGTATGGCTGACCTGTGAAATCTGAGTCATTGAGTAACATAATTTATCGTAATTCATAATTCACTTGTAGATGGAAATAATATCGTTTGGCCAAGCTTCCTGCAACCAAAAAGAAGTGAGACATGCACCACAGACACTTGTGCCGTGCCGGTGCTTTAGCCAGTTATCATATCGATAACGACAAAGGAACAGCGGAAGACCAGTTCATGCATAGAGTATGATCGCAGTGTATCCCCATGAGACCCACTGTCAACGGGCCACAGCTTGCGTGGAATACAAGCCGGCTCAAAGGCCAATGAGGAAAGTTGTTTTATCAAGTACATTCAAGTACCAATTCCATGTCGTCGTCTCATTGGTAGCTCCTCGTCTTCGACTGCGATGGAGCATACCTTGACTATGCAACACCATCATTCATCATTCATGCACAAGATCTCTGTAAAAAATAAAGAACATGACAAAGTGTTCAAACATCTTCAAACACTAAAATGGCAAAACTATGCAAAACTATGCCACTTCTGCACTGGTTCCACGGTTCCACCACCGAAAACAGTGCCGCCTGTAGTCTACCTGGTCTACCTCCGTGGCCGAGCTACGTTGATGAGCTGTCCTGGCATACGCTGCCTTGGCCACACCCCCTCGTACTCTTCCACGTCGCGCCCTGCTTTTCGCACAAGGACCTGACCGGAAAAGTGCTTTCGTCACTTTCGTCCATTGATTTCAACATATATCAAATCATTTCTGTGAGAATTCTCCTTGAATTGAGAGTCGCCTTGAAGGGAACATCGCTGTTGTCACGGTTCTCCGAGTTGTCTACGTGAATCTCGAAAATTCCTGGTGAAAGGCTGCAACTCACGCGATGAATTACATGGTGGGGTCGCTGCATGTGACATCTTCTACATTCAATTTTCCGAGCAACGGAGAAAAGAACACTTTGTGAGGCGTGTATCTGGGTATGACACGCTGTGTATATGCATTCAGGTATGTGAATGGAATGTCTACGACATCAACGAGCTACGGACATATATATATATACATATATATATACATATATAATCATATATATATATCATAAGTGATACATGAATGATCATGAATGCATCTACATGTACGAAAGAAAGGATCGGCCCTTCTGGCCATTTTATTTTTTCTTGAGTGAGGATGTTCGCTCCCTGTCACTCTGAAAATGATTTTGCTGTGACAAACTCCTGGTTTGGTTTGCCAATTCTCCTGTGATAGTCTAAGGGCGGTCCTGTCTGGTTAAAAGTGATGTTCTCTGCAGGATGTTCTTTCACAGGAAGAGCAGCATTCGCATCGAAATCCAGCTTGCACTTGCCAACCTGGCGGAATTATGGTGAATTATAACTGCAAGTCACAGTAGGGGAAGAAGGAAACACAACACATGAAGAATTATAAAACCACATAATTATCACGTGTCACAATGTGTCAAGAAAATATACTGGGACAAGAAAAAGGCAGGCCTGCCGGTGTTTGTGGGACAAAGGCTTTCCGTTGACCTCTGCAATCAGGTCTAGGTTGGACCTTGGCAAAGGACGATTTGTAGGTGTTTTGTGTCTCAGAGCGAGGAACCTTGCTGCATGCATTGCATAGTCGTGCATAGTCGTGTTCGGTTCACACACATCACAATCACACACCACAAAAAAAAATCCACGAGGGGAAAAAGTTCAGAAAGTACGACACAGCTGGTTCAGTTTTACCATGATTTCCTTGGGCCAAGTAACTTGTGCGGTGCTCCTCCGACTCCCCAAATGAGTGTCACGGTGCAAGGCGCTGTGACATGCTTCTCTTGGAGAATGTTCTTAGTCAGATCAGCTGTCGCAGAACAGGCAGCGTTTGGCAAGACACAAGGCAAGCGATTGCTTTCTGCAAGCTGAGATTCCGAAACATGCTGAGAGGTGTGGTGACTCACCTACAGGCTCGCAGCAATGAAAAAGAAACATAATGACATAATGAATCCTATTTAAATGATGCAAAAAAAAAACTAAAGATAGCCCTGCCTTCTGTTGCTTCCGAACCTGGTGCCTGAGTTGGTGTCCAACTCAAAATGAAGGCTTCAGTGGAGTGGATTTGAAAATGCAGCAGTGATGCAATACGAAATCCTACTTTTCTTTTACCTAGTTGCTGTCAAAACACAAAGTCACTGGATCCTTTCGTTCTTACTGGCTGCATTGCTTCCAGGTCTCCGCGTTCAAATCCACATAGTTCCATAGTGTTCCATCCCTCTAGTCACTTACCGCAGTCCTCTGAGCCTGTGGCGGCAACAAGGTATCTGTCTCCCACCTCGATTGCCACACTGTGACACTGCGGTAGTGGCAAAGCTGATCACCACTCCATGTCCAAAAGCTCAGCGAGGCACCCTCCTCCACCTGGCACCATTCAGACTTTGGAAAAGATTTGAATCAACGGAAATCAATATGGGTATGGATCAATACCTATAGATACCATTTTTAGGGGGATGAACATCCATTTACCAGCTATTTTGATGTTCACCAGGGGTACAGGGTTTTGACCAATAGCCATATGAATCAATCAAATATAATCAGATGGTCCACCATGGTCCACCATGGTCCACCATGGTCCACCATGGTCCACCATGGTCCACCTGGGACTTTTGTTGCAAAAGCGTGTTTTTATCTCATCGCATCATTTCTACCTAGTCTATGAAACACAAAGTCAAATGGGCCAAAGAGACTCCAAAAGTCCTGGACCACAGCCAGCACCTTAAGCAGGCTCAGAAATAGCATCAGCGGCTTTTCACAGAAATCGAAGCTTCAGAACCTTTTGAAAGTCACACTGCAACGTTGCAGCCATTGCAGCAGCCATTGCAGCTGTATCTCTGGACTTTTTGTCACGGCAGCAGCTGGTACCAGCGATGTCACGAATGGTCTGCACACTGTTTGGCAAACCTATCGGGACACTACAGTAAAATCCAGTCCTAAAGCATTCGCAAGTTGCCATTCCTGTGTTCGTTTCGAACTACTGTACAATATTCATGAGCATTTGGCGCAGTGATGCATTTCATTGCATTTCACTGATTCAGAAGCCGGAGCAACATCTTGAGTCCCTGTGCGGTTGCAGGATCCTCGCTCAGGCTCATTCGAATTGGCCGCGGTAGGTCTTGCAAACTTTCGTCTGCTAGGAGGCCGTACGGAAAGCAGTGCCTCAGCTGACGCTGGTTGAAGGTGCACCAATCCGTGTAGCACCACATGGAAGAAATCATGCAGGGGTCATAAGAAACTGTTGTATCATGTTGTATCATAGTGTACAGCATCATAACATATTTTATGTTTACATCACAAGTAAAAGCACCCTTTAGATGAAGACTCAAATCCCAACCTTGTCATACATCCCTTTGCCTCATTCCATATGCCATAATAATCTATTCTTGGCTCTCTGCTGGCAACACTCAAGACCACAGGGCTAAATCGTTTCAGGTTGCTTGAAGACTGCTCTGGCAGTAGGATTGTCACACAAGCGCAAGTAGGTACGGATCACATGCTTGAGGGCACGAATTGATGGGACTTCAAGTAGAACGTCAACCATCTTTGCCAGGGTGGAGGCGACCGCATAGAATCTTTCTGGTGTCTGACAAACGTACCAAAGGCCAAAGTCATTCAGCAGCAATTTCTGAACAATCCACGCAGACACACTCCTGGCGGTATTGCTTCTGGAATCTTAGATATGGAGGACATTTTCGTTTAACCTTGACGTATTTGTGTAACCTGGGATAATTTGTTTCCAACCTTGGCAAATGTTTCTTCAAATTTTGTTTGTTCTCACGTAACCGTTTTTCTTAATCTTGCCTTCAAAAGGTGGTTTTGCCAAGGTTGACAAAAAGGGTTGTCCAGTTGTCCAGGGCATATGCTTGAAAATCAAACAAACGATGTGTGGAATCTTCCAAATCCACCCAGCGCTGACCTGGATTGTGTGTGGAGTGCGCAGTGGGCATCGAGTGTGAAGTGTGTAGAGTGGGAAGCCCTGAGACGTCTAGACTGTAGACTGTGCAGTCTAGGGTGTCGATTGCGTGTCGATTGCGTGTCGATTGCAGAGTGCAGGGCGTGGTTTGTAGCGCGTTGCGTGTGGAGTGCCGAGGTTGCAGTCTAAAGTGTAAAGTGTTGAGTTTCTAAGGTTTGCAGTGTAGCGATGTGTAGCGTATGAAGTCTCGAGTCTGGATTGTGGACTGTCAAGTGAATGGTGCGTGAAGTGCGAAGTGTAGTATGTGCAGTGTGGGTAGTGCTGTGTGGAGTGCGAGGTGTGTAGAGTACGGAGTGTGAAGTTTAGTAGCGCGCAGAGTGGGAAGCCACGTGATGTGTAGAGGGTCAAGTGCAGAGGGTGGTGTGTGTATGTGTGTGTGCGCGCGCGCAGTGGAATGTGAAATGTGGAGTGTAGAGTTTGCAGTCCGGAGTGTGGAGTGTGGCAGATGATGCGTGGAGTGTGGAGCGCGAAGAGTATGGAATGTAGAGTTTGCAGGTGGCCTCATTTGTAAACAAATTCCAAGGCGGATGTGTAGAGTGTGAAGTGTGCGTGTGTGTGCAGGGGTGCAGAGTGCACGTAGTGAAGAGTGTGTAGATTGTGTAGAATGTGCAGAGTGTGTAGTACGGCGTAAAGTGTGGAGAGTGTGTGGGGCGCACAGAGTGTGCAGGGTGTGTGTAGAAAGTGTAGAGGATGTGGAGAGTGTACAGTGTGGAGCGCGGTATGCGGACAGTGGAGAGTGTTGTGGAGATTTGTGGAGTGCGAATTCTGTAGAGTTGGAAGAGTGTGTGGCGCGCGTGGTGTGAGGAGCTCTGAGTGTATCTTTTGTAGAGTCTGTGTGTATAAATGTGTATGATAGATAGATTTCACAGGTGTGTGAATTGCGTAGAATGAGTAGGGTCAGAGCTGGAGTGTATACAGTGTGCAGAGTGTTAAGTGTCGAGTGTGGTGGAGTCACGGTGGAGTGGGGTGCACAGTGTGGGAGATTTGTAGAGTCTGTAGAATGTTGAATGCTGCTGGGCAAAACGCACAACACGGGTGAAAAATGGGTGCAAGGTTGGAAGAAAAATGTTATATAGAAAAGAAGGCACCAGGTTGAAAAGTAGAGGCCAGAAAGGTTGGACAAAAAGCGGCGCAAGGTTCAGAAAAGAAAGTTCATAAAAAGGTGTCCAATGTTAACAAGTTCAGGGAATGGCAAGGTTTGAAATGTTTTCAAAAACTGGATGCAAGGTCAAGAAAAAAAATGAACCCAAAGTCATTCAGCAGCAATTTCTGAACAATCCACGCAGCCACAGTCCTGGCCCTGTCAGTGCTGTTCACATTCCCCATGATGCGAAGGCACAAAGAAATGAGCTCACTTTCCACCAGGAAAAAAACTGACTGACTGTCATCTTCTTTCACTAGGGACCCAATCATCCCCAGAGTAGTGACTCGGACAAATTCCGAAGCTCGATCTGAGCCTGGAAGGGTCAAGAGTGGGTAGAGCAAGAGGGGAATGCGAGCGTCGAGGAGGAAAGCCTTTGAGGCTTGGTGCGTAGCAACTGACTGGATCAATGCAAGGCAGTTGCACACACGATTCGATGCAACATGTGTCAAGGCAGCAGAAGTGCTCAACTGTCGGTAGAGAGACGCAACCTCGAGAACTAGTACCACTAGGATCCCACGTTTCCGGAAAAGTTGGAGTGGAAGAGCAGGCAACTCCTCCCGACGTTTTGAAAGCACGTCAAGAGCAGCTGCACATGGACCAAAGCCTTGATCGTCATCCACATGTAGCAAATCCTGCAAGCAGGTGGCTACAATCACGTCATCATCATTATCATCATCGCAGCTGTGCCGTTTTTGCACCAGCTGCTGAAAAACTTGCTGTCGAAATGGAGTTGCAACTCCCCTGGGCACACCTCCATAAACTCCGGGACTTTGTGGGCCTTGTGGGCCCCAACCTTGTGGGTCTTGCGGGCTCCAACCTTGTGGGTCTTGTGGGCTCCAACCTTGTGGGTCTTGCGGGCCCCAACCTTGTGGGTCTTGCGGGCTCCAACCTTGTGGGTCTTGTGGGCCCCAACCTTGTGGGCCTTGTGGGCCCCAACCTTGTGGGCTCCAACCTTGTGGGCCTTGTGAGCCCCAACCTTCTGGGCTCCAACCTTGTGTGTCTTGCGGGCCCCAACCTTGTGGGCCTTGTGGGCCCCAACCTTGTGGGCCTTGTGGGCCTTGTGGGCCTTGTGGGCCCCAACCTTGTGGGCTCCAACCTTGTGGGTCTTGCGGGCCCCAACCTTGTGGGCCTTGTGGGCGCCAACCTTGTGGGCCTTGTGCGCCTTCTGGGCCTTGTGGGCCTCGTGGGTAGTAGTTCATCGCCGATGTGGACATCCTGCCTTGCTGGAGTAGCTTTAATCAGCTTGGGCCACAGTTGCTTCGAAAGCATTGAACAAGCCAAGTTGATTCGGACCCAAACACGCACTGTGAAAGAGTCAGAGTCTCGCTTGGAGACCTCAAGCCTCAGCCCTTTTGAGACATGTTCATTCCACGGATTGATACGGAATCTGACTGCAATTCACCATAATTTACCTAGAAATCGATCCAGCTGAACCTTTCCATGCTTGGAAATTACAATTAAGCTCCTTGACACAGACATTGCGAGCTCACTGGCCAATTTATGACAAGGCACATCATCCTCCAAGTCCAGTTGCTGTTCAAGGGTGTGCAAATGCTCTTCTCCAGCCTGATGCCAGGTTCAGACGGATCTTCACCAGCCACTTTACCGTAGGTATATTTTGGTCTATGGCATGGTTAGGAAGTGCGCCTTTCCGGCAAGAAAAATGTTGGCTTCTTCAACAACAGACCCTGATTGCACTGGCAAGTGATACTGAACACAGTGTGCAAGGGTGTGGAAGGGTTTGAAGGGAGCAACATTTTCATGACCAGGATGTTTCCCATATTTCGTGGGTTCATCTGACTGAATCCTTCTCTTCAGGTCCAACTTGGCAAATCGCAGACGCCCGAAATCATCCAGATGTCACGGACACCTCACTGTCGTAGTTTCTGAGGTTCCACATCGCCGGCATGGTCTTGGCAGGCAAACAAAGAATGGATATGAATGGATCATGGGACCTACAGTAGTCATATGAAGTCATGGTCATGAGTACTCATTTGATCATTTGATCATTTGGTCATGGCCCATGGCCTGATCTTCCAAGAACCCCCGATGTTCAAACGCCAAGGCCGGTGCTATGACGTCCTGGACGGTCCGCCAAGGATCTTCCTGAGACATCTGAGACTTCCAGACTAAGACTGAAAACTGTTGGTAAACTCTTCAGCCTGTTGGAAAAGCTTGCTTTGTCCAGGGATGCATGGGGTGACTGCTCAACGCCATAGATTTTTGTAGTGTTTGCAGCACTCTGTGTCAAAATGGGAGGGTGATACCGCAGACGCTTGTGATGTTGGATTTAATGCCAAGAGCTGCCTCGTTTCTCACGAACCGCTTCCAGTCTGCGACAGCCCATTTTTCCCTGCAGCCATGACATGGAATAACAACCAGTGCACCTGCTGATGCACATGACAGTGACTCATTATGTTCACTTCATTTCCCATCCCTCAAGTGTTCGAGCTGCTTGCGCTGCATCACGCCTTTCAGATTCTTTCTATCTAATTCCTTCTGTGAAACCATCCAATCTCAAGGGTTTCACATGTCTGCACTTTGGCATCTGCCTCTCATGCGAGTGTGCCCAAGTCAACTCCACTCGACGCACCATCCAAAATTAGTGGGAAGCTGTACAGGTGCTAAAATCATGGATTGATTTCAGCCCAGCATGTTCCACCCAGCATGATGAGAGAAGTTCTGCTTTTCGTGTCTCTGGACTTTAAAACCCCTGTCACCTGTGTTGTCCGCTCATCAAGCCTTTATTTTATGTACAGGGTGGAGTTTTGGAACTGTCAGACTCGTAGAACATCGTGCAAGCCATTGAGACCTGAAGAGTCAGACCAGAGAGTTTATATAATTCCAGTTGGATTTGAAGCAGAAACTGTTGACAGGTGAGTGTGGTGAACTCCCATGATTCAGTTCATTGAGCCGAAAATAGTTTGGGGGAACGTGAAGCTGACCCCTCTCGCCTCAGACTACAATTGACGAGTCAAGTCGTGCCACCGTGGCCGCCAAATTCACCCCACAGCGACCAGTGCCACGTTCCAAGCGGAAGAAGCCCTGCTCACCCCACGACGTGCCCCAGGAGTTTTTCAGCCTCCGTCACATGTCAGGCTTTAAAAAAAATGAAAATTTAAAATGAAGTGAAGTTGGCTTTCGGATAAACGACGCGTGCTACAAAAACGATGACAAGTTTCCAGCCATGTCCCGCCTCCAATAGGGTTTGGACTTGCCCAGGATGCTGTGATCCTCTAAACGCAACCAATGCGACCAATGTGGGCAGAGTTTCAACAAAAACTCCGAAGTCCCACCATCTCCCTGAGTCAAACTGGAGATCACCCCTTCAAAAATGTAGCAACCCATTATCTTTACGATTTTGATGTTTTGTTCTTCAAATGTCTCGATTTCTATGGTGCTCAGCATTGCTCCCAGTCTCCTTGCCAAAACCCACCGCCAGAACAGCATGATCCAAGCTAAGGATGCCCTCAGAGGGGTCAGGCTTGCAGCCAAGCAAGCCACCTGCCATGGTCAAAAGATGGGACGAATGGTCATTCCACCATCATGAATGGCTCCAACCATAATGGATACATGTGAATCCCTATAATTCTTATAAATATACTGTAAATGTCTTTCAATGAATGTCTATCAATTGATGACCATCCCCCATGGGTAGACACTCCGCATCTTCCAGGACTACTGAGCACGCCTGTCCACACACCAGCGTGATAGAATTGCAGACCGTCAGCGAGGATGAGAACAGATAGAGGCCCGTATTGCATCAACTGAGCTGCCATTTCCATTTCGTTGCCTCGCAGGAGTAAGGTTCTGAAATTCAAGAGCTGCACAACAAGAAATCATTCATCGTTTATTTTCATATCATGATGTTCGTCATCTATTTCCTAGATGTTCCTATTCCTGATCTACAATACAGCTTAGAGTTTAGAGTGGTCACGAAAGTTTACATAGCCAAGCAGCTGCTCAAAGACCGCCAGCCAGTAACAGCAGTTGCAAAGCCACTGGTAGCATGGCAAAGGCCTTGAGGTCCTTGACCTGCCAGTGTAAGCTCTGTGCAAATGGCGGTGTCATGGAGGACCCAAAAATCATCCCAAAATCCGAAAATTGCGATGTTTACGGGGCAAACCGAATACTTTGGGGCACGGGGAAAACCACACATCAGTGATTGGTAGATTCAAACTGAGGATCAGCAATGATCAGATGTGATGAGTAGAGGAAGGTGAAGGACATACTGTGCAGAAGGTAGGAAGAACTGCCCCAGATCAGCGATGCAGGATGCTGGCCGGGTTGGTGTGCCTTTGGTTGAGTTGGGGCGGCAGTAGAGATCATCATGATTGCCACAGAAGGCCTTGTTGTAGCCTTCAAGCCACCGTTGAAGCGTGGGTTCAAATTTCATGAGACTGAAACCCACTATACCCATCTATACCCCACAGCTATTCAGAATAAAGTCAACAAAAAATGCGCAGCCCTGTAAGAGCCTGGCCTTTGGGCATGCATGGGAACATGCCTTCTTTGTAGTAGGGCCAATCAGCTTCACTAAACATCCCACCGGCTTTTTGCAGGAATTGATAAGCCAAGTAGGGCCATCCTCCAAACATACCACAATCAGCACCTGGCGACTTTGGGGAGGATATGCTACAGGTAGTACCAACACCAAATTCACTCTGGGCACACACGAGCAAATTTGATGGTTGCAACATTCGCACAAAACTGACGGAACACATACGGGCTGAACGTGTTAGTGTTGGTGTCTCTGCTTCATCAAACAAACAACGAATCTTGAGTGTGGTTCAGCAAGATTGGGAAAATAAGGGACGGAAGAATCGACTAAAAATGATTGAAATTCATGTTTCAGCAGCCTCTAATTTTCACTTAATCCAGCTTCAAAGCTGGGGCCGTGACAGCCCTTTCCACCAGCACAGCTGCTGTCTGAGCTTGCCTAGGCCAAAACTGGGTGGATGCCAATTCCTGATGTCTTGTTTTGTGTTTTTTTCACGTCTTTTCTGCAGTGGAAATTGAAAAGCCGTGCCATCATTGCAATCCTCTTGAGCCAAGCATCATCACACTCAACAAGCTGCTCTGGCGACAGAGGAATCAACTTTCCCGTGGCCTTTGCCAGCTGTCCTGCAGGTGCTGAGCGCACAAAAATTTCAGCCAACTGATTTAAATATGCTGAAGCATTCACCTGCCTTCCACCGCTTCTGCTGTGGAGACAGCCCAGCATGAGCCGAGAACCTTCTGATTTCTCACTGGTCCCACAAGACCTGACACAAGACAAATGCCATGCGGTCAGTATCCAACATAATAATGTTTTCACTTTGTGGAAGCTTCTGTGAACAGGTGCGATGACTGCGTGGGAGGGATGATGAGAAAGAAACACAGCTATATGTATACAGTAACTACTAAATTACTCCTCTCCAAAGAGAGGGATCTCACACCAGCATCAAAGAGCAACAGGAGCGCCTTTCTGGTCCCAGTCAAAGGAGTCCGGTAGATTTTGTGCTTGCAGGCTTTCCCGATGCTCCTGAGGGTCAAAGTTTGATGATGTTTGTTTGGGCCAAAGCTCGATCATGCATCATCATGGCAAAGGCAGCTGGTACAAGAGTACGAATGCAGGCTACAAAATACCTTCGCAAACGCGTTTTCCACCTGCGCTGGCACCTCTAAGCTTCTTTCACCCAGGAAAAATGTGTGTTCCTGCATGCAAAGACTTTGGGTCAATGGCTCTCCGGCCAAGGACTCAAATCAAAGCATGCGCACCATGCATGCAACCAGTTGACATTTGTTCTGGTCCAAGTTCTTCATCAGCACTTCCTACAAGGATGCAAGATTCATCAAGATTCAGGCGCAGCCAACCCAGCACCAAATTCATGCTGGCAAAGCTATCAGCAGTTGATTTCAAACGCCCTGCAATGTGTGACAGAGGTCCACAGGTGCCCCTTTTAAGCCCATCCAAGAACCATAAGCGCTTAGCGGTCCTCGTCTACACAACCAGGCATCATCAGCTGCAGTGGCAAGTTCCATCCACGCAGCATGCAGGCAGATTCAAGGAGAGAAAGGAGTTCTGCACATTGTTGGTCCCAAACTGCGCCTGGAAAAAAAGCATTTGACAAATTAAGTTCGGGTTGGGACTTTGAAGACAGCAAAAGGATGCATGAGGATGCAAAAGTTACACTTGGACAATGATGGCAATTCAAGTACCCCGCCTTCACCTTGATGCCGTCGAAGTTCTAAGAAGGGATCCAAGATAAGGGCTGCTATTCCCTCCACGCATTCTGCAACAGGTAGGAACTCTAGCAAAGACTTCTTGCTCTGACGGCTCAACTCAGAAACAACCTGAATTATTGCAGCCTCCTTGTGATACAATCCAAGTTGGTGCAAACTGCACAGCTCGGGCGAATGCTTCGAAGCAAGGAGCTCCAACAATGCGGAGGTGAAGGCTTCACTCAAGCCCAAAACGTGATCACGCAAAGTCAAGTGACGCTGAGCAAGGCTCTGCTGAGGCCTACTCTTTCTCAACGAGCTTTTTGACAAAAGCAAGATCTGCACAATAACCTTGATCAAACAAATCGTCCAGTAGCCCTTCGCCTTGCCTCGTTTCGTGGTCAACAGCGTCGAAAATCTCAGGAGTGACTTGGGCCTTCCTTTCCTTGGCAATCCACTGGTGACCAATTGCCTTTTTCACGTAAAGGAAGAATCGTGGACTGAACGACTTCTCAATTTCATCGAAGCCTTTTGCAATGCTTTCCAAGGCTCCTGCAGTCTTGCCTGGGGTCTGCATGGCTTTGGCCAACTGGCACAATCTGGCATGCAGCTCATATCCTGTCAATGACCAAGTTGAACACCTCTGGCCTGTGACGGGGCTGCTGCAGAGACAAACTGGCGCTCAAAGATGAAATTGATCCTTCAGTGTACTCAGCCAAATCGCACGCATCCTTGTATCACGGCTTCTTCCACCACCGGTCACAAGTTCGACCCAAGCAGAGTCCGAATTTCATTGCCACATAGAGTGTCAAAAGCCGGGCGTTGGTCTCCTTGCTTGACCACAGATTTCAAACCAGCCACTGTTTCCATGCAGTGCTCAGAGTCACTTGCACTAGAAGTCAGGGAACTATCTGCATGTCTTTCTTTGAAAGCAGGAGAAGATAGGCTGTAGATGTTGTCCGGCGACGCTAGCACAATCCGTGAGGCCTCGTGGCTCTCCTGCAAAATCTGAGGCCGTAGCTTGCACTCAGAGGGCTTGATGGAGCGAACCTCCTCCAGTGCTCAATGCCATCTTCTGAAACCCAGGTTCAGATAGACGATGCAGTCTTCGATCTTCTCAACAATACCCACCATGTCGGCGTGAGTTCGACCGCCCCATCCAGATCGCGGCTCTTTCACGTCCTTGCCAAGCTCAACTAAGGCCCCTGGCCTTACAAGATCAGCCTGCTGGTCCTTCTGTATTTCTCCTTGCTTGGCATGCCAGGAATAGGCACGTTGGCTGGATTCTTGGAGCGAGTCAATGCGGAAAACACTGTTGTCAGAGTCAACATGACCTCACTCGATCTCCCTCCTTGATGCCTCCATGCTCTGGTCGTTTCCCGTTTCGTTCTTTGTTCAGCGTGCCTAATTTTTGACCGCTTCTCCCTGCGTCGATACTCTTTTCTGCCGTCACTGTCAGACGCCTCATCCCAGTCTGGTCCTCTGCAATTTTGGGGTTGGCACATTGGTGTCACATGGACTGAGAGGTGAAGTCAGAGTGGGAGTGCCTACAACTTTCAGGTCACGTATCATTCTGGATTGACAAAGATGGTTGCTCCATGCTTTCCATCACGCTCAGACCAGAGTTGTGGGCGACCGCGATAGTAAGCAGCACCGACCACACAAAACAATCTGCCATGGAAATCCACTTGAGCTCCATGCTGAAGTCCGGCCACACCTGCAAGTTTGCAACAAATCTAAGGCCGGATATCAAACTCACCAGTCCGCGGAATGGATATCGAAAGGTGCATTTCAAAGGTCCCATGTGGTCCGAATTCTTTTGGCTTCTCACCTCGTCTTGCTAGAGCACTGCCGTTGCTGATTCGAAGCCTTTGTGCTCCACTAAAGCCTTCTTTGTAAGCCCACAAGCAGACAAAGTTGAATTTGCAAGATTCACGACCTGCTGCTGGCCTACCCACACCGATGATTGCATGTTCTTCTCTGTGCTGGTCACGCTCGGAAAATTGAAGCCAAATGCCCGGCAAGCTTCATCAGAAATGTCAAACTTCCGAACCACGGGATACTCTTGACCAGCCACGAACGGGCCACGAACGGGAATGTGAAGGTTCGAAACTCTGATCCCAAATAGTTTTTGAGCTCCTGCGGACCAGTTTAGGAGAGCACCTTCATGTCATTTGGCAAAGGGTCCAGGATACCTGCACCTGAGTCCCCATCCTGCCACAGCAGCAACGCGCCCTTTCCGTGCTTTTCCCATACACCGATGACAGTGAGCCACATTGCACCGTGATGCCCATCGTGCAAAACCCTGTCACCGTGCATGTAGCCGAAGTGTTTGCACACATGCTGTCTCACATCGCAAACCACCACCTGAGGCACAGCCAAACAACTAGCAAAGATGCGAAAGGAATCGGAAAAACGTGTGAGATATCATAAGTGGATGTACGTGGACAAATTTAGGGCTGTCACTTGTCACATCCACATTGGTCATGGCTGATGATAATTGAACATGCTTCAAATATCTTTAAATTCTCAAGTCTTGCTATGGGATGCATGAAATGTTCACTGGCTCTCTCAAAGAAAGCTCTGATGGCTGCACTCTGCCACTCCTGCGGAGCTTGACTGGATATTCGGGCTGCAAGATGTGGACGCGGACCTGACAGCTTGCAGTCCTAGCTTCACGCGAACCAGATCCTGTCAGCAGCCGCCGGAGTTCTGCGATTTGCTTGCGACCAAGACCATCCAGCTTTCCCTTTTCGAAGAAGCTTGAGGAAGACCTTGTCTATCTGTTCCGATGATTCCTTCTGAGATGATGATGTTGTAGTTGACTTTTGCTGCGCTGGGCGGACGGTCAAGTGCCCAACCTTCTCAAACTGGGAGAAGTCGCCCTCATGGAAAGCAGCTCCTGCATCATCATCAGCTTGAATGGATACCCTGGGATTTTCCTCTTCGTTCAGTTTCACTCATCACTGTGAGGTAGCGCCCATCATGGCGTTTCAAACGGTCGCCATGGCGAAACTGGGTGTGCTGTTCCAAGGCAACGTCCCGGATGTCAAACAGGGACACCTCGCCCCGCCTAATGCCATAGTAATATGGAAAGTTAATGCAACATATGGCAAGGTCCAACAAACACTGTAATGTTTCATGAGGTCCAGAATCACCTCCCCAGTTGGCCTTCTCGACATTCCTCAGCTCACACTTTCAGCAGTGCGGAGACATGGCCACAAAGTCTGAAATATGGAAACAGTCCGCCGTACTTTCGGCATAAACACACATTGACATGAAAACGGCCAAAGGTCACCCAAATTCATGGTGTCAAAACAGGCCTTAAGCTACCAACAAGCTTCTGATCATGGCACTCGTTGTCTGAGGACCATTCCTCACCTTGTACTACTGCATTCACTTGTGTGGAAGAAGGGCTGATCTCATGGGTGAAATCACCATCGCAAGAATTGCAACCATCATCCTCTGCCTTCGGTGAAGACCATTCAACACATGTTGCGCTAGATCCGTAGCTTCCTCTTGGAACTAGCCACTAGCCGAAAAAGACAGAGGTCCCGTGAAACCGAGGATTTGACCTACAACCTGCTGCGCTGGATGTTGGCTGAGTTCGTCAATCAACTTGCTCACAAGTGCTGGATCTCCAACTGTACAAGCTATCTTGTGGCATGCCTTCAGATTGAGAAGGTCCAGTACTTTCGCATTCAGATCAGCTTCTGTGGCCATGCAAGCGGCACACAAATCAAAAAATCATTCGACACAGCCATGGCCAATGTCCATCTTGCAGAAACACCCATCACACATCCCATTGAAGATGGCGCTGCTGCAATTTATGCCCTCCCTGGCGAGCCTTCTGTTTTAAATTTGTCTGCCTGCAAGCTTCTGAATGTGGGAACCGAATACATGTCTGACAAGTCGCAACCCCGGGAAATGATGCCTACTGACTGTGTGCCAATTCATCACTGCCTTCATGTTGCCCTGGAGCTCCACGAGGGCAGTTTGGTTGGCCATGCCAGCTGCCTTCAATGCCCCAGGGTCCTGAACAAAAAGCTCCATCATGAATGCGAAGTCTACCCGGCTTGTCTCAGCTTGTCAAAAATGGATTACTTGTAGCAAAAACAAACAAATCTGGCCTCGAAGCTTCTCGCGACAGCTGGGGATCTGCTAGAGCTGCGTTCGTGCAAACGTGAAACTCCATACTATCTGGGCGCGCACGAGAAAGTACCACACGAACCTCAAGTGTATCGTCGAAACGAATCGATTCTTCCAAGGCATACTCCTGTTTCACCGCATGCTTGATGTCTTCAACTGGCGTGCCAGTAAAGACCTTCAAGGATCTGCGGCTGCCACCGACCGTGAAGTGGAATGTTCTGCTGCAGGCTTTCATATCTTGGCCCACTACCGGCACAGGGCTCCGTGTCACAAAAAATGTTGTACTCCACTACGTCCAGACATGTCAATGCTCGCATCTGAAACTTGAAGTTTCCTCAAAGAGCTATGTTTGACTGCTTTCTACCTACAGACTGGTTTGGTTTCCTTCCAGTTTGTCCACCGCCATGCTTGAAGGCAGCCCTGAAGTGTAACGAATATGCTGCATGCCTTTCTTCTTGTATGCTAATGTAATGCTCAAGAACAGTTGTGGGAGCATGTCCTGTGGAGCAGAGTTGCCTGTAGATGTTCAGGTAGTTGGTGCACGGCTTACATTTCGCCGTGAGTCAAAATGACGATTTGAGGATGTCCATGTCGTGCTGAAATCATCGCAATTCCATGGCTATCTCTGTGTCGGCTTCGTTGAATGTCCGCAAAAACTCTGGTTTTTCTTTTCTGCAAAATGCGAGTAAACTACTGCGGTCTTCACCAAATTTTGGTCAGCTGCCGCAATAAAGTCTTTGAGCGAGCAGGGACTGCAGACAAATAAGATATGATTCTTCATGAAAAGGTTGGATCAGGAGCGAAGTGGCCACATCAGAGTTATGCATATACATGTAGAGGTTTGCTCATATGTATGTATATATATATATATATACATGAATATCGGGACGTGTTTATAATAGTTTCACAGAGACACATCTAACATATCAACATCATAAATATATATATATGTAATATTTATATATTTATATATTTATATAATATATATGTAGATGGTTGAGTTGTCACGTCCGATCCTCGCAGCACGTTGAAACCACAGGTCATTGCTCAGTCAGCAAGTAAGTCAGAAACCAACTCACGTCTGGACATCATTTTTTGTCGCAACGCGAAAAAGCGGAAGTCAGAAGGTCAAGCACGTGTTTGTGGACCGTGCTGCAATTGAAATTTCAAAGATTTGTTCATTTCCTTTTGCTGCCTGATCAAACTTGGAGGTGGCTCACAATGTTTCCAGGTTGGTCCCTAGATAATATTCATGTCGAATTTGAAATACATACAAGAATCGATATATCAAAACCCACATGTTAAGGTATGTGAAGTGAAATAGAACTTCCAAGTTACTTTGACATGTGTTGTCTGCGTAGTAATTATCAAGGACGTGGTCGTCAGGACGTTAATACAGCCCCCCCACCCCACCACACCCCACCCCACGTCATCAACGTAGCATCAAGAGCGTCTTCCAATACACCCCCCCACCTCACCCCACCCCACCCCAGCATAACCCCTCGAATGGCATATTTTACCACGGCGAATTATGCACCGTGGTCCTAACTAGGTAGTTCCATGGCTGACAAGTCATGGAGAAGATCTCTCAACCACACAGCAAATCAGTCATACAAATTAATTAATCACTAAATCTGGCTCCTCCAGAATTGCAGGAACGCTTCCTGATGCAATCCAGCAAGCAGCAATGCGCAGCCAACATCAGTGATATCAACAATTTCCGTTGACAATTCGAAACCAAGGCAGCAACGTTTCGGCATCAGCTTGCCGGTGAACTCTGCCATGTCCAAGTCTGCGAAAGGGCCCGTGGTGTCGTAGACCACATCAGGGTCGGAACTGTGCAACTCCTGGACCTAGGATCCAACATGTTCGAAACCGGCGAAGCCAAGAATCAAGGAGCTGCTTCCCTTCAAACATAGACTAAAAATGACTGAAAGAATCTGAAAGGTGCCAGGGTTGGAAAGGGAAAAATGTTGGAACACTATGTTTGCATCTGTCTGTTTCAGGATGCGGAAGCCAGCAAACTTTGTCAGAGCTGGAGCATCTCAGCGTTTCTGTGGGTCAGTATTCCAATCCCCTGCATGATTATGTTCCAACTCACCCGCAAGCAGGACCTTTTGCAGAATTAGTTCAGCTGCTGTGCAATACGTTCTTCCTGAGGTGTGAACAAGCATCTGATTCTTGGTGTAGATCGAACGTCGCAGCTGCCACTCCTGCCAGTGAACATGGAGTATCTTTCATCATGTTTCGAATCTCCAGTCTCAGGTTTTATCTCTGTACGTTTTCTCAGCATTTCTCAGGAGCTCCCCAGGCCTCTTCAGAATGATAGACTTTCCCATGCAGCTGGACCCACTGCGAGAAGTTGGTCTCGCCTCAAGTCCATCATGGGGTCTATTTGCTCAGAACACTCTCGGAAAATTGTACACTGCGGCTCACTGCGGCAACATGGCAACGGAGTTGTGCCTTTGCCACTGAACAAAGAGCTGAGAAAGATCAGCAACGGAAAGCATTGGCCCATGGCTTCAAACGCGAAAGTAGCTCACAGAATCGGAACAGCCTGTTCTGGCACCGGCCAGCAGCTCGGCCGAAAGATGCTGAAAGGTATGATGTCGATTGTGGAGGCGTATCGTTGGGATTCATTGGGTGCTTCTTTGCAATCATGATGGTCGATGTGGTTCATCTCAAATCAAATTGCAATCCCCATACCAGCTAAAAGCCTGCGGAATTCGAGGCATTGGACTTGAAGGTGTGCAGCAACCCCTCCATGCCCGGCATAAACCATGTCCGGCATAAAATTCAGAATGAACTTATCAGCTCATTTGGTTTCAAACCAAGTTTTCAAAGTCCTATCAAAAAGGCAAACGGGGGGATGTGAACCCACCTCCTCCTATGCACACGCACGGAGACTGCAGGAAAGGCCATGGCTGCCTTGTAAAAAGCAGGCAAGATTCCAGGCCAAATTACAAAGACCTCGCGGAATTTGTTGAACAAAGTGATTGAAAAAAAGTCACTCGCAGCCAAACTTAGTCCAGTACACATGCCCCGGCAATAACCCAGCACCTGAGGCTAGATGCGCAGATCTTTACAGCTTCCACAGAATGCTATGCAAACACATGGGAGCAACTGGGACTCCAGCCACGCAATTAGCAACTGGTACTGTCGTGGATCAACAAGATTTTCCCTTGGTTGCTGCAATACTCAGCGCATTAGCTTGTTGAAATTATAGAATTGGCACATGGAAGCATGCTGTTTGCAAGGGCACTGGCACTTTCTGTGCAAATTCTTCACAGGCAAAATCAGTGAGTTTGTGTGTGTGTAAGAATCAGCATAGAATCAGCCACAAGACCAGCAGCTACCTTCTCTCGAGATTGAGGTTCTGACAGGCTCCAGAATGCTGGAAACTTTGGGAAGTTCTGTGAATCTCAGGAGATTGGGCAATGCGAAGAGCCAACTAGTTGAAGCTGGAGGAAGGGTCTGCTTGCAGGTCGCTTTTTCGTCACAACAAAATGCCAGGCATCCAGACTTAAAATAGTCCATGTCCACAAAATGACGATGAAGAGTGTGCGCAAACCGCACCTTGGAGCGAAACAAATGTCTGAAAGTATGCATTGTATGCGTCATATTGCATCATATTGCTGCTTCCTTGACTTCCGTGATTGGCTAAGATATTGACCATGCAGGAAGCATAAGGCTGTCAAGGCCAGCTTCTTCTTCATTGTGATCTCGCGTAGGATCCTGCGAAAATCGCACGCGTTTTTTGATTAAAAAGTGCCTGTGCATGGAACATTCAACGGATGCTGTGTTGTGTCCCCATGTGTCCCCAGTCCGCCAAGTGCAAGGGCGCAAAGCTTCCGTAGATTGGCCACAGAAGGCATTCAAACCTAGAGATTTGGGAGCTCAGAGATGCCTTGATGTCGTGAGCAATTCTGGCTGCGTGACCGGAACCCAAAGCTCAGTCTCCTGCACTCGTTCTGCCACATTCCAAAGCCGGAAGCTTATGCTGTTCCTGGCGCCATTGAAATTGACAGCGGACGTGCAAGAGATTGAGTTCTACATGACAGGGATCTGAAGGGCGTAAGGCTTTACAAACCTTCGCGCAATGAATGGTTTCCTCAGTTTCCTCACAATCTGTCTCATGATTCTCATGCAACGACAAACTGAAGCGCTGCTCAAGTTGACGGAGGGTTCCTGGCATAGCCCTTGAGATCTTCAAGTTTGGCAGGATGCAGAAGCTCCCAGGTGGTAGCAAGGAGCACACCAACCTCAGACGTAGTGCAAAATGGAGCAGCAGAAGACAAGGTCCGGGACTTCAAGATGCTGATTCAATGGTCAGAAAGAGTGAGTCTCCGGCCATGAAGCCAGTGAGTAGCTGCCCACCCAAGCACCAAAGGGATAACCCAACGGCCACTGCTAGCACCTAGGCACTTCGGTTACACAAAGAGCAGAAGCATGAGGGAAGCATGCAACACAGTTGGCAACACATATTGCTACAAGACCAAATGTCACAGTCACGTACAGTCACGTGATTTCAAATGCCTGACCTGAATTCTCCCAGGCCTCCGAAATCCGGAACACTGTGCCCATGGTCTTGAGTCGCCATTTCTTCAGCACCTTTCCGGTGCAGAACATGTTCAAAACGAAACCTTCGGAAATTGCAGAGTCCGAGAAGTTTTGCCTGCCGAGCAGAGTAGTCCTGGAACTGGATCAAAGAAGCGCAGTATTTCCCGTCTTGGGAAACTTGCTCCTTCCGAAAAAAAGCTCTTCTGCCATGAGTGCAAGGGAACATATCTGGAGTCTCAACACTCAAAGAAGGTCTTCTGCCGTCTTTTAGATCATCTTGCAGTATCTTTTGGCCCAGAACTCTTGGATACCGGGATACCTCACCCTTTCCCCACTCCCCACACTCACTTGGTCCTGGGTCGCTCTCTTGGTACCACATCTCCGGCAGAACTTGGAATCTGACATGTAGCGATTGGAACACTTGGGGCAATTTTCATGGGCCTCAGCGTCAAAATGCCATCCGATTGTTGGGGGCTTGGAATCTGCCCCTGCAAACAGAATCGTCAAAGACAGGTTGTCTCCGTTGTCTCCAAGCCCCCAACTGGTGCTTGCACAGAGGCTGCTCCAACACCCTGCACACCCTGTCGCAACCCCCGTCGTGCATCTAGAGTGAGGCTCCAAAGCAAGAGAAGTGCTTGACATTGCGTGTTTTTTGGTTTGAAATATTCTGAAATGATGTAACAAGTTATCATACCGAGTTCAGTGGCTTCAGGCCTTGTGTGTGGCAGTACGAGAGAGCTCTGCGGAAGCAATCTCAAAGCAAATGCCTTCGTAGTGCCCCAGTCATGGTCATGAGATCTGCTCGATGCTAAAACATGGAAAAGTGGTGTTGACAAGCTTAAGACGTAAGCTTCTTGTGGATCGAAGGCAAAGTCAAAGGGCGGTATGGTCACAAGCAGACTCACTCAATCAACAAGACCTACACAGCTGCACCCACCAGTATCACTTCTGGTCGACCCCAGCCTACACCTAGACTCACAGCATGAAGCGCATACGACGCTGCGACGAATGGCAGCACCAGTTCCTGAGGAAACAATATGCGCCACGGCGGCAAGCCATCTACAAACTAATTCACCATGAAAATTGAGTTGTCATGCAGCTATGCGGGAAAACTAAGCTGTGGTGCCGCCCAGTTAGCAGCATGGCCGGCCACCTCAGGACTGTCGGAATCCCATCGTGGTATGATGTCTGCTTGTCATTGAAGGCCTCTGGTGTTCACTGAGAAGTATATAGAAATAGCATCCAGCACAAATCACCAAAGAACATTGTTTTCCAAAGTCTAAGGGTCGAAACCACCACAGCTGTTGTCGTGTACAGTATGACGCCGCTCTCCGCCGCTGCCTGAAGAATGTGCAGACTGGAAAGGCGCTCAAGCTGCAGCTGGGCAAACGAGGTCCCCAGGATCAGCCCAAGCCTTGATACTGCACTTGGCCACTAGCTCGTTGCACCTGAGACTGGGTGCCATGCTCTGTGCAAAATGGAAGACATCTGAAAAAACATCCGAAAAGAATGTGTATGAACTTCAGAAGCGATTTGCATCTGTCGAACCCTGATGTCTTGCAAAGTCCAACAAAGTCTTGCACATCCAAACATAAATTTGACAAGTCACGGCAAGCCCAGGCCAGGGTCATCGGACAATCGCACAAGCGTGACCTTGCTTCGCTCTTGCATTTCAGAGAAGGTGAAGTCCAACAGAAATGAGAAAGTGGCAATTGATTTCATCTGTATCGATTCATTAGAGTGATTACAGGTTGCCCGATGCCACATCAAGTAAACAAACCTCAGCTTGGTCACAAACTGTGATGTCAACAACAACTATTCCACAAGCTTCAGGAACCAAAAAAAAGTAAAAAATCATAACGAAACCATAACATAATTAGATGAGCATTGGCCATGCTTGGGGCATTTGGATCCAAGCCATGCGCTGAGGTGCCCTGACAGTGTCTGAGCCCCAGGGGCATTGCAATCGACCAGGCCTGTAAGATCAGACTCAAGCTTTATGAGACGATCCAAAGAGAAAATCAGACTTGCTGACACTTGCGATTACCCTCTGGTAAACTAACATAGCTATGGAAAATCACCATTTTTAATGGGAAAACCAACTATTAATGGCCATTTTCAATAGCTATGTTAGTTTACCAGAGGGTAACAAGGTTCCATTCCATAGCCTGCTATTGCCCATGTCGTAGCGGTTCACATGGAGCGATGCACTCTTCCGAGCGGTCGCCATCATCCCAACTCAGCGAAATGACGTGTTTCACAGGAAGCCAAGGTCGATTTCAAAACCCCTCCGCGAATTCAGCAACCCAAACCTCTGCGTCATCCTCTTCCAGGTTCAGGGCTGGAGATTCTTGTGATGGTTCCCGACATTAAAAAAGAAACTTCCAGGTTTTATGCGCTAAAATCCCAAATATCTCTGAACTTGACCGTGGAATACACAAGTGAACGACATCGACCTCCCACGTACGACATTCTTGGGCATTCCGACGAGCACAAGCCAGGGTGATGAAGGACCTCCCTTGACCTGAGCTTTGAGCTTCGGAAAATTCAGCACTTGCCGTGCTAAAAGTTGTTCAAGTTCCAAAAGTGACCATCTCAGGAGATTCTCAGAGTCTCAGATGCCATGTCTATGTCTTGAGAACCATCTTTTGCCAGCAAGACGAAGAAATATGTTGCCCGACCGTTGTCACGAAACTTATTTCAGTCATAGCTGCCATTTCAGTTAGCAGGAATAACCTGCCCACATGTCTCGAACAACAAAGCTCTCTTGGGAACAAGCAGAGGCAGTCTGCCGCAAACCACGTCGCGAAAAACCTTGTCTGAACAGCGAAACAAAAGGTGATTCGACACCCCCAGAATGGGACATAGAGACGACTAGACACACTGCGAGCTGTGAGGACCATGAAGGGGTTAACAGCAAAATCCGGATGCTCCGTTGAGAAGCTTCCACAGAATTGACCGTTGATGAAACACTCCAGGAATCCGGCGAGCCAGTGTTCATCACAGCTCGGAGTGAGCTGACTTCCTCAGACTTGGCACGGCTGAATAAGGTTCAATCCAATCGTGAGGCGTGCGCTGCTTGCCAATATCATGAGAGAGTCATTCAAAACATGCTGCATAGTATTGCATGATCAATCATGATCTGGTTCTAACATGTCCAGACCTGTTTTTAGGTGCCAGACTCGAGAAGCTTCCCTTGGCACCAGGAGAGCGTTTTGCCAGAACAAGCGGATTCTTAATAATTCTTATCAAGTGTTCAGGGCAGCAAGGGTGACCTGCTGACAAGATATCGGGGTGTGGCCGCTTCGACTCCCTGAATACTCCCAAACTCGCCAGGAGCACAAGGTTTCCTCATCGCTGAGCTCGTACTTGGGTCTCAGGGGCCGATGCAAGGAGTAGTCCTCATCAGGATGTGTTTTGTCTTTCAAACTTTCATCAGAGACTCAGGACAAAAGCAGGCTAAAGGACTTAGCAGACAGCTCCGCGATCTAACTCAAAAGTATTCAAAGCATTTCAAACTGTCAGGCTCCCAGCAGTGGAAGAAACAATGTGCATTTGCGATTTCTAACACACTGGCCTCTGGAGGAAATGGTCCTCGCTTGCAACGACCAACCGCCTTGGCATTGCTCTCCACTTGGAAAAGAACGAGATGCGTTTACACTCGTCTAGTGCGAATTCAGAGGAAACATGAGGAAACTATGAAGCTGAAAAAGTGGCACGGGCTTTTGCAAGAACTGAGACTCACAAGCTGATATTCAAATCTGACAGAAAGCATTGGTAACGATATAGTTCCACTTTTTCAGGACGCAAGCATGTGTCTTTGGACACTTGGTTCCTGGACGTATTGCACTTGCCAACGGAATACTGCCACAAAGAAGGAAAATATGCAGCTCTTGTAGTCCTTTCCGACAGCTGACAACAGGGATCACATTTCATGTCGTAGGGTCTAGCAGTCAGAACAGCAGACTTGAAGGATCAAGACATGTAGAAAGCAGACAGTCACTGAGTCCACAGGTCCCGAGAGTCTCTTAAGTGTTTCTGATGTTTGCAAATGTTTACACCCACAATGCTCTCCTCTAACCACCAGAGCCAAACCGACAACCACCAAGGCCAGGTGGATGGATCAGGCAGCTGTGGCAGGGAGAACATCCACGCCAAGTAGGCCTTGAAGCAAGTGGCTGGCCTGCCAGGAGATTCTCTGCCAGGACTTTAGAGCGAAAGCTTCCAGCAGTTTCCAGCAGTTTCCAAATCCCTCAAAAGCAAAAGCTCAGCTTGCACCTGTTGGAGTCAAAGATGAAGAGCTCAGGGCCTCAGTATATGTCAAAGAGACATCCCAGAATCTGACTCAGTGGAACCCACGAGAACACTCGGTGTGATGATCGAGTGTTCTCTATGTTCTTTGGCTGAAATTGGGCAATGCCATGCCCCGGGCCCGTCAGCATCAACCAGAAGAGCAGCAACGACCAAGCAACTGCCTGCCGACAGGATTTCTCCGGAGACGGGACCGATGGGAACCCTCAGATCTCACCTGCCAAAGCTGATGTCCCAAGATGATGCCATTGGCCTCAAGGTCGTTCGATGTGTGGATTCTATGGCCAGAGCTCCACAAAAGGCTGCGACGTCAGTCGGAAAATCTAGGCCCTGAACCCATCTGTCGAAATCCCCATCATCTTTTGCACATCTGGCCTGGTGTTAGAGGCTGAACCAATCGCACAGTTCACCGCACAGTTCTACTCCAATTCGAAAGGTTGTTCCAAGCAAAAGTTCCTCATTGTCTACAAGACCGGTTTAATCCCTGGTAAACAAACATAGCTATTGAAAATGGCCATTTATAGTTGATTTGCCCATTAAAAATGGTGATGTTCCATAGTTATGTTAGTTTACCAGAGGGTAATCCCTGGACTCAAAAATCAGGATCTTACAGAAGTGATGAAACATCCACAGCCCACCTTCCAGAAAGCATAGCCAAGGACTATGAGGAAGAGAAAACCAGACAACCATGGCGCTACTCTCATTCGCAAGTGGTCCTGCCAGGGAACTCCTTGTTTCTGCTACTGAAACATCACAAGTGTAGCAGATATTTCCCAACCAAAGCTGTTGCGGCATGAATCTCAACAAAGCTCACAATCTCGAAGCAAGAATGCAAGACAAATCACCAATCACACTTTCTTAATGCGCGCAAGAAAACGAGCTCGCAAAGTGGCTCATGATGAATGATGTATGCAATCCCTTTCAAGCATTCCACTCCTCCTTGCAGATTTGCCAACAGGCAGATCCTTCCTCTGGCCTGACAAGGTGTGCCATACAATTTGGTCATGAGTCATCAGTGCCACTTCCAAAAGAAGTTTTTGAAGCTGTCAAAGAGTCAAAGAGGTTCTTCTGTTGCTGACCCCCTGCTTCTCCTGCCTTACTGCTGCGACAAAGAGTCCACGCCGTGTCATGTCGTCGCATGGCATGAAGAGTTCCTGCGAGATTTCAATAGGGTGTGACCAGGAAAGGAGACACGGTATGTTTGCGTACAGCATTTGTGAAGGAAAGACCTACCTTGACTGTCTCTGTTGAAGTGGCACTGCTACATTGCAGCTGATCCAACCCTGGCTCCTCATCTGGAGCTTCGGCTATCTTTCCTTCACCTCTTAATGGCAAGCATGTCAGGCTTTACTGGCCCAGAATGGGCACGTAAATATTAAATACTTTTCAAATTGCAAAACAATTTGCAGTGGCCAATTCTCGGCTGAGCACCCAAAGCGAAGGCAGGTCTCTGCTGTCTGACATATTTGACACCTCGCCTTCTGCTTCGGGCCAATCTGCCACTGGCGCCTGCGCCAGGAGATTTCCTGGCAGAACGAACAGCCACGATGGTGAAACTTGAAGCCACTACTTTCTGGTCATCGTTCCCAGCTGTTTCGTAACTGGCCGCATACCGCTGGCATGGCATGCCCGGACCTGCCTGGATCCACCTGTGGTGCCTTTGTGCTGAAGAAGACTTCATCTTCCAGGCCCTGGAAATACTCTGATCAGATCAGCATTTTCAGATGCTATATAGTATACTCACTATACTGTATACATAATATGTATATATATATATATTCTATGTATGTATGTATGTATGTATGTATGTATGTATGTATGTATGTATGTATGTATATTCTATGTATGTATGTATGTATATTCTATGTATGTATGTATGTATATTCTATGTATGTATGTATGTATATTCTATGTATGTATGTATGTATGTATGTATGTATGTATGTATGTATGTATGTATGTATGTATGTATGTATGTATGTATGTATGTATGTATGTATGTATGTATGTATGTATGTATGTCTATATATCTATATATCTATATATATCTATATATATCTATATATATATATTATATGTATCCATATATATCTATATATCTATATATATATTATATATGTATCCATATGTATATATATATATATATTTATCCGTATATCCATATATCCATATATCCATATATCTATATAGTACATATTTATATTGTATATCTATATATTATCATGGTATGAGCCGGTATGAGGAAAAGAGCGTGGGCAAAAAGCGCCAAGTCTCCACACAACGCCACAAGCTAAATGCGTTCCAAACATCGTGCCTTGCAGGCGATGCCCTCCTTCTTGCAACAGAACTTCTTCTTCGCCAAAGACCTTGGAAATAGGAACCACGTTCTTATTCAATTACTTGGCCGCGACCATTGGTGATGACCAGAAAGCATCTTTTCTGACACAGCACCAGGACCGTTTGTCATCCATCTGTAGTCACTTAGCGCACCATCTTCCCAACCCTGACCTGGCCCCATCCCAGCGGTCCCAGCGCACCAGGCACGCTCGTAGTTTCGCAAGGCGATGCTGCAGTGAAAGTCTTCCTGGCAAAGCGCTTTTGGAGTGAAAGAAATCAATCTATATCAAGCTACCCTGTCTACCCTGTCTCACGTCGAAATGCTCACGTCTGCACCAACTCTTCGAGATACACTCCAGTTTGCTACGAAATTTCGAAATGCATGGAAGAACGCAGTGATGGAAGCATTATGCAAATGTGCTTCAGCCATTTGCCAGAAAAGTACAGTGCTTCAGCCATCTGCCAGAAAAGTACAGCACCTGATTTGTTTTGGTAGTTATTATATATATATATAGTTGTTATGACGTTTTATGATGGTTTATTCATGTTATTCAGTTCTCTTCAAAGGTTTTTCGGCCTCGCATGCCACGCCCAGTTCTTCGCAGCACCACTCTCGCTTTTCCCGTGACCTTGGTGTGCAGTTAAGCACCAAACCTTGGCGTCAAGCGTGCTGTGCACGTGCCAAGCTGCCAAGCACCCAACCATGCTGCATTCGCATTCTGCCGGTCGACATCGCAGTGGAAAGTGATCTGAACACCAAGAGCTGGCAACAGAAACCAGTATAGACATGTATAAACAGTATAAACAATATAAACAGTATAAACTGCTCTTTCCAAAGTCAAAGTGGAGAATGAGCACACTCTCGCCTTGTCGCCTTCCCTCTGTGACAAGCAGTGTTTTACCTGTCAGGTATCCCCACAATAAAGAAAAGAGAACTCGAATATCGCATCATGTGCAGAATCTGCCTAGCTTACTTTCTAGTTTGTGTGACCGAGAAGAAGAACATCTGACTTAGACTTTCCCACCATGTCAGTTCATCCGACTCGGAAAATTCTTGGTCAGGACAAACTGTTCAAAACCGCCTGCCAAAGCCCCAGCAGAAGGCTCCACCGCATCTGCAGGTTCAAAACAAAAAACATGGTCACAAGTCTCGTCTCAGGATTAGCAGGCGAAGGTATGAAGCCACCGCAGGTTGCAAGCTGGAAGCTGAGAACAGACAGGAAGAGATGAAAAAGAAGAAACAAAATAAAAGAAAACTGTAAACTGTAAACATCTAGAAAAAGTATGAAAAAGTAATTCCAATGTAAAAGATTCAAGTTCACATTCGAATTACTCCAAAAGATTCAGACCCAAGCGAGCTGCCTTACCGGTGCATCGTGGTCAAGCGAACGTCCACTGCGTCAGCAGCTAGCGCCGGTTAGCTTGGGCCGCTTGATCTGTTTGAGCCACTGCAGCTGTGTGTTCAGTCGTGTTCGTCGAGACTCTGGTCTCAGAAGTATGCTCAACACAACACTTTCCCAGACGCCAAAGCTTCGAAATATGATTCGGCCAACTAAGAGCGGCAGCCGCACTCCGAAATGAACTCAAGCTTTGTAGTCTAGTAGTTAAGGAAAAACTCAGCTAGCGTGCGGATTTGACATCTGGAGTGACCACGACACACACAGAAGAACAGCAAGGGAGCACGGTTCAAACCCCACATGCGGAGGCTCTCGCGTTGAGCGAAGCCCCAAGCCTTGCAAGAGGTTGAAAAACAACAAGGCTGTCACTTTGGTGAAAAAGGGATGGGAAATGCGTTCAGACTGGAAACTGGGGAGCTATGTGGGATTCCAAGATAGAACAAATTCTATGTCTGAGTCCGCAACTCTTCAATGGGACTCGAGAAATGGTGATGGGCACCAGCATGTCACCATAGCTCAAGACCTGACCACTTTCGTTCGAATTTTGGCCCTATTTGAATCGACAGGGATAGTTTCTGATAGCGCCTCTGGCAGTGCCAAGACAAGCTCAAAGGCTGGCAGCCCTATCCTGCCAATGAGCTCCTGACAGGAGATCGGAAAAAATTGTAGCATGGCCGGCATGGCCGTGCTGGCCGGTCGAAAAGCGCTTAAAACAACGGCGCTGGGGGCGCCTCGACGTGATCCAGTACAAGGAGCACCTGGCGTCCAGAAAATAACTTTGTTTACCCTCTGTTAAGCTAACATAACTATGGGAAATGACCATGTTTAATGGGTAAATCCACTATAAATGGCCATTTTCAATAGCTATGTTAGTTTACCAGAGGGTACCTCATGATTTGAAATGTGACGCAGCAAGAAAAGGAGGATGCACATGTTTTTCATGCAGATGCACATGCAGAAATTCTCGCCACCAAAATTCAAAGCTTGTTTACCCAATAATGAGTTCTCTGTGCTGGTAACATCCCACCCATGCGCACAATCTGTAAATACATCCCCATCTTTGCAAAATGTTGCAAGTGTGTACACGTATACCTTTACATACGCATACACATATACATATACATACACAATCACATGTACATGTATAAGTATATATGATGTTTATACATATATATATATGTATAGATAGATAGATACAGTGCGTATATACACTGTGTAATAATACACTGTAATACATATACAAAATACATGGCATATACATGTATACACTGTGATAATGATATATATATATCCTCCCATCATCGGTGGCACTCCCTGCACCTGGCTGCACTCCAAACGGCGCAGCTCAGCTATGGGAGCCTTCAAGGCAGCCTGAGACAGCACACGGACCAAGGATCACTGGGCTGGTCCAAGATTTTTAAAGTGCCGTGAATCTGCTTGGGAATCTATGAAAAGCATAACAAATATCAGCTTGGTAAATAAACTTTCTTTCAGCAATGAATTTTCTTCGTGGGGGAATGACCACTTACATTGTGTAAGACTTACTGATGGAAGCTGACATGCAATGAACTACGGACTACCGGACCAGTACAAAAGAACAGCTTCCAAGGATTCCAACGGGGGAGTTGCATGTCCAAAACCAAAGGCTCCCAAAAAAAGAAAGCCTTGCCATTCATGGGGATGTTGTGTCGCAGTGCCTCCAAGCGATCTATCGCTCGAAGCTGCTGAGGAAGTTTTGATTCGAAACCTGACAAGTAAGCAGCTGGTATGACTCGCCACTGCCGTTTCAGAATTTCAGAATCCATGTTTTGTCCTCATGAGACCCACAGATGCATCCCTCCAAGTGAAAATCATTCATCATATTCATCAATGTTTACGCTCCCGTCATCTCTAAGTTGCTGACGCTCTAGCTTGGAGTCAGCTGCGCGCTGTGCTTCCTCTGCTAGCCGCATCCTTGGCAATCGAGGAGTTGGTATTGGAGAGTTTTTTCAGACAGTACGCTGTTGGTATTGTCTTGCAAGCTTGCCAAAACAAAACAGGATCCACTCCCAAGCTCAAATTTATGTTGCCTGCTAATTTAATCCTGAATACTATCTGTCTTGAACCCTTCATATTTTCTTTTTCGGCGGGAGAAAGGAAAAGCAGCGTCGGAGAGCAGCAAATTCAGGACCACTTCACATTCTGTAAGCTTTCCATTTCCACAGAACCAGGGTACAGGCGTACCCATCACAAGTTTCCTGTGCAAGTCTGCCTGAGAAAGAATACCTCAGTTCAGCAAGATGACTGAAGGTCTCAGGACAAGTGGACAAAAGCTGGTCAATGCGTTCGCAAACACTCCCTGATCAACCTTCCTACCCTCTGGTAATTTAACAGTTTGCTATTGAAAATGGCCATTTATAGTTGATTTACCTATTAAAAATGGTGATGTTCCATAGTTATGTTAGTTTACCAGAGGGTATTTCTTTCCATACCAATGAGAGTCTGGCAATAGCAATTCAGAAAAATGTACCTGGGAAGGGTCCACGCCACTGACAGTCACTGGCTTACAAAGCTTCTTCTTCCTTGTGACAATCGGCAAAGTGAGCCATCATGAGCCATCTCTAGTACTAAACTGTTCCTGAAACATCCTAATTCCATGTAAGTCCCAAGGTCTTAGGCGCACTTGTGGCCCAGCTCTTTCAAGTAGCCTGTCACAACTTCAGTTTTTCCAACTCCTGGCATCACAAAACCATGGTCCAATGCGGCTTCCTAAATGATCCCGGCAAACACCGAAGCAATGATAGTCCAATGATAGTGCTCCTGCAGGGCCCCATACGTGCAATGCACACCCGCATCGTCGCCGCAAACATGATGACCTCGGGTTGCTTGAAAAAGGCGACGTGCGGGACCCATGTGGCCAAGGCCGAAGGACACGAGAATGTTGGATGGTCAAAGGCTTGCAACACTCAGAACTGGCCTGGCTTGTCCATCTCCCAGAAAGGTGTGCAAAGCAAACACCTGTTCAGTACTGAACGAGTGTTGAACGATCCAAATTGACATGCAGAAAATGGTCAGTTGAAGGCAGTTAGACAATACTGAGTACCGACGTTCAATCCCCCTGCCGTTACAACTGGGACTTCTTTGGATGGCTTGGGATGGAGGGAAATCTCGCACCTCCTTGTGCCTTGCCTCACCTGAGCGCAACTTCTGGGCGAAGTCTGCAGCGCGTCCAGATATTTCCGATGTTTCGCAGTTCGAGGTCTGCGCCATATCGTTGCAGCAGGGGACGCAAAGCATCCTGGCTCTTGGAGGGGAGATCATTCCTCAGCTGTAGGAAAGTTCCTACTTCACAAGATACTTCACAAGATTCGCATTGATTCGCAAGTATGGGGGATCTCCCATCTGCTCTTTGATCTCTTTGAATACTCCATACAGTACTTCAAGTCCAACAGCCCAACAGCATCGTCAGGAGCTCAGCCTGGCTGTTGGATCAAGCACTAAGGCTCGTGCAGACTTGGAAGTCCGGCGTCCTCATGGGGAGCTTTGTTGAAAGCTTGACATGTCACATGATTCTTCGACATTGCATTTGATGATTAACATACAGGTCACACAATGTCTGTCACTCCTTGCTGGGTTCCACCTTGGGCTCTGGGGCTTTGAGATCTTTGGCATCCTTCTCCACAGCTGCGCAAGCTGTTTGTGCTTGCACCTCTCCGTGACCAGGCTGGAGATGTTCTCCAGTGTACATTCATCAAAAATCCAACAAGGGCGCCTCCTTCTTAGGCTTCTCCAGAGGTTTGTTCTCAATCAAAATGCTCACATCCTGAGATTCAAAGGCAAATCTGTCAGCACATTTTGGGAGATCGTTCGAAGTTGAAAGGGGGCACTTTTGACTGCACAAAAAAGGCAAATCTTTGGGGCTGTAAATTCGATTCATGGGGTATCGCAATCATAACTCTAGCAGACTGCTGAACGGATTCATCTTTGTGAGGCGACATAGAGACTGGGCTGATTCGATGCTAAAAAAATGCTGAATACCTGACCTTGTCGACAGATTTCCCGAGTTCATCTGTCTCATCCAGAATTGTGCGGGGCCTGCGCTGGGCGAAAGGGGCATCCAACACAGCATCGCCCTTGTGCGGAACCATGTCATTGCTTGCTGGTTTGAATTTGACTTAGTAAATCCTAGCCGGACCAGTTTTGTCCCAAAATGTTATGAGGTGCGTTTATTGCAAGTCTCACGATTTTGTGTTTTTTTCCAACAATTGGATACGAGTATATTACAAACATATTGCAAACATAGTAGTTTCACAGATTCAGGAACAGTCAAATCAGCATGAAATCATCATAGTGTTTTGTTTCCACAAGAGACTTTTTTTCTACAGTAGGGGGTGTTGTGAGTGCCAAATTGGATAAAGCTCAACAAGTTCTGTAGTGTTGTACTCACCACTTCTATCCACTTCTAACATCTGTTCACCATATTGAAAGCAATGCTAAACAAGGTCAGCTGATGTTAGCTGCTTTGTCGAGATTGTCCCTCGGAATCCTCGCTGCACTTTTTCGTTCTCACGGTCTTCGAGCGCCGAACGGACCTCTGCAAGGAGGGCCTGACAGGAACAAGTGTGCAAGGTCTGTTCGGGAGAACAAGACTCTGCTGTTTTGGCTTCTCCGAGATCAGCTCAAATTCCAAAATCTTCCAGTTTGCTGTGATCTCACAAGGGCCGGAAAAAGCGAAACTGCGTTTTCTCCAGTGTGATCAATGTGATCATGATCCTTTGCAAAAAGTGCTTCATGATGCTTCATGTTTCCTGCATGTCAGCGCTCGCCTTGGCCTTGGCTTCTGAATCTTCCGGCCCACTGCTCTGCAGTATACCACGGACCTCAAGGCTACACCAGGACTGCAACACTCGCCACGTCTCCCTGTCGATTTGGGCATCTCCCTCTCGCTTTTCCGCTTGGTTGCCGTGCCACAGCCACACCATCTGCACCGGAGCGAACACAGTCAGCTGCAGATGAGAGATCCACCTGAGAAAATAGAAACAGATCAATTCCATGAAACTAAGATCAATCTCTACAAATGGAGGTTTCCTAAGGAGGTACCTCTAAATCATCCATTTTAGTAGGATTTTCCAGTATAACACATCCATTTTGGGATAACCCCATTGGTGGAAACCCCGAATGCACTGAGTCAGATGCACCGCCAATGGCGACGATCGGGACGGGTCCCTGTGAGATTGATGCATGGCACAGAGTTGGTTGATCTGCTTTACCAAGATCTGTTTCTGAGCAGATCCTCTCAAGTCATAAACAGACTCAACTAATTACAATTTCTGCCAAAAAAATGAATCGGGTCAAACGATTTCACCTGGTAGGGATGCAGTGACATGTAAACAAGTGACAGCTTAGCACACTAAGTCACTAAGCATGACCAACAAGATAGAAATTGAAACTTTGGGAAGTTGCGGTCACCGGACGACTACTTCTGCCACATCGCCTCGCTGGCAACCTGCTTCCGCAAGAGTGGCAAATGCTCCATCCCCTGACAGCACGAAGATCACGAAGTGGGAAAACAGCTACGTCAGCTACGTCCAAAGCTCGATTCTTGAGATTCTTTTCTCATTGACTGATGCTTTTTGAAGCTGCCACACCTTCGCCTGACTGGCTTTGGTAGGCGTTGTAAAGATGGCACCGCTGCCCAGGTAGTCTGCATTGACCTGCGGCAGAAGAACCTCTTATCAAATGTCATCGCTCACAAAGATACTCCAGTTGTATTGAGTCATTGCCCGTCTAGTGAATTCATGTGTATTCTTGGCACTGGTACTGGGGTTGGTTCGAACCACAGCAACATTAACGACAACGGCCACCAATGCAGTGCAAGGTGATCCTCCGGATGTAGTGCTGCAGATACCAGCTCTGGCCGACCATATGTGGAGCAACCAAGGATCCTTGCAGGATATGTCTGGAATGAGTGCAATGCCTTACCTTGCAATTTGAAGGCAAAGTGGACAGTGAGATGTGTTCCGTTTGGTTTGAGATTCAACCACGGTTGGAAAAAAAACATGTTGCTGTACAAAGTGAAAAGAAACAGGCTACTCAAGCAAAAGGAAGACATCCATCCAGCTTCCCCATTTCACAAAATGGGGTCAAATAGAAGATTCTCGGACCCCAAAAGCTGTAAATTCCCATCCGTCCCTTGGCAAATCCGCGCTCGGGTAGGAACCTTTTCTCCTCTCTGCTGGTGTCAAAACGATGCGCTACGCATGCACCGGCAGGTTCAGCTTCACCATGGCTTCCTGAAAGGACCGAGGAGATGGCACATGGACAAACTAGATATAGAATTTTATAGAATCATGTAGACTGGCACCTAAAAATTGAACCTTTGGAGCTCCATTTGAACACCCAAAGACCAAATGCGAGAACTCAAGATTTAGTTGTGACATGCTGTGACATGTTGTAACATGTTGTGACAGAGCTTGGTTTTTTTTCCTATATTTTTCTGAAGCCTCGAAGGGAACTTCCTGCCTTGAGGAGACCCATGACCTGAGGCTTCTTCTTCCGCAAAGCAGCCTGGCTGTGCCCAGCGATAGTTGTGTAGGGCTGACATTTTGGGTCTTCAGTCACTAGAAAAGTAACCCAACAGCACGTCCAAACTCCAAACAATCGTTCGAAGAACGGAAAAAGGTGTCCAAAACAACAAGCAATTCAACGTCAAAGAGTCAAAAACAAGATTCTCGGCACAGTTAGCAGTGTGTTGGGAAATTCAACGCTGCGCACCGTGCTAAATATAGTGAACTTTCAGCCAAAAGACATTGACTGTGGGTGCAAAGACTGTGTGCTAGGTCTGCTAGGGACAGAATGTAGGCCATTCGATGGTAAGTAACATAAGTTCATGACTTAGAAGACACCGTATAAGTACAGAAAGTCGTGCACTTTGCTCATGGAAAAGATATTGCTTAGCTATGCTTAGTTTCAATTGCAGAGCATGCTTAACTTGCCTAGCTGCAACTGAAGGTCACAGGATATGTGTGCAAGAGTGGTCACGTGAACCACCGACAATCTGTGAGCCTGAACACAGTTTCCAATTCCTTCTGGATCTCTTCAGAAACCAGAGTAAACCTATCATATCTGTCAGCTTCAATCCAGATAATGCTGATAGCTAGAGATAGCTAGTTACTAAAGTTATCTAAAGTGCATCAGTTGATGGCGGCATCCACTGCCTCCAGCATCATGGCGGCATCGCGGGGATCGACACGCGAGTTGGCTTCAGCAGCCAAGTGCATGATGTCGGCACCTGCCATCCAGCCATTTTCGGGTGGCGATGGAGAAAATTCTCATGTGAATGGCAACTGGAAATTGGGTGCATCAGCATCATCAGCTTCTTTACATTCATGCTATCGTGATGTATTTCACCATGTAAGGAAATTGACAGTCCAAATTTGGTGCATGTATTTCCGCCAAAACCCGAACACCAAGTTGCCCATACCTTTGGCGCGCCCCCCTTCACCTGTGTCCAGCATGTTCAGCTTGGCACACATCCCCAGCAGAGTACTGTTCATCGCAGCAGTCGGCGTAGAGGTCTCTGTCAACAATTTGTAGACCTCTGGAGTCAACAGGAACTGATTTCAGATAGGGAGAAAAGCAACAAGAGAAAAACTTGATGTGTTTTTTTTTGCGAATTTTAACAAGCTGAAAAAAACTCGATAGTTTCATGGCTGTACTGGCCTCTGTAGCACGACGTCCCTGGCGATCACGCAGACAGCACTGAGCGAGTTGGCCATAAAGCCGCGGCTCCGGGGAGACCTTCTGTGCAGGCAGCTCCTCACAGCTGCGAGATAGAACTTCCCGTCAAACAACAAAGAAAAAACAGAAAGATTAAAGAAAAACAGCTGGGCCAGTCAAACAGTTACAATCTGTGGGAAAATCAATGTGGTCATCTGAAGCTCTTGAAAATGTAGGCCACTCTCCAGTCTCAAGCATATATTAATATGAACTGTGCCTGACGTAGCAAGTCCAGTGCTTCATCCCAGCGCTTACCTCAAAAAGCATAGACACCAATCAATCGATGATAGGTCTCACCAAACCACACCTCAGCAAAAAATCCTAATTTTGTTTCCGACATTTGGTGGTTTATGACCACTTGTGGCGATCAAGCACGCTTGCGCATCCAGCTCTGAGATGGTACCCGCATCACTTTGGCCGCCTCATGGCGCATCACTATCATCACTTTGGGCGCCCACCTAAAATGGCACACTCCTCACACTTTGGACGTTCACTTTGGGCACCCATGTCTGGCTCATGGTAGGTAGTCACACAAATGTAGCGTTTATGCATGTAGCATTGTGTGGCATTACGCAGCAGTATGTTGTCCTACCTAGTCCTACGTAGCAGTACATAGTAGTACGCAGCAGTACATGGTACATCCATGTACATCCTAGCACATGGAAGGATCACTGCAGTGCGCAGTAAGACGAGATAGCACGTGCTAGTACTTAGTGTGCTAGTTACAGTGCCAGCGGTAGTGGTAGTTACAGAAGGCACACAATGCGATGCATGAATGGGCTCCCAAAGCGATGTACCAGCAGGCTCCCGAAGCGAGACATGTGCCCGAAGACACCCCCTTTTTCCCGAGAGCGGTCTGAGCGCAGCGGTTCTTCCAAAGTGGGGGTCGGTGGAAAGAACACGGCGCAGTCGGCAAGCCGCGCAGGGCGGCACAGGCGGCGCAGCGGCACGAGGCGCAGCGGCACAGAGGTCAGCGGCACAGCCGCGTCAGTCGGCACATCCGTGTCGTCCTGTCGGTGCAAGTCCGGGCAGCGTCACATGCGTCCGAGCGTGCACCGCGGCACATCGGCAAGCGGCTCACGCAAGCTGTCGCCGTCGGCACAGCGGCGCAGGCCGCCCAAGCGGCGCAGCGCACAGCGTCGCAGCGGCACATGCCGCGCAGCTGCACATGCCTCGCACTGCACATCGGCTACACATTTCGAAGCGTCAAAGCTCGCACATGCGGCGCACAGAGCTGTGAATCGTCCCCACATCGTCGTCAACAGCGTGGCTCACATCTTCGCATCGGCCACATCGAGCGTATTTACATCAGCTTGTTCACATATGCACAGCTTCTCAAATTTCGCACAGCTTCTCACATCTTCTCACATCTTCTCACATCTTCTCACATCTTCTCACATCTTCTCATCTTTACATCTCATCTCACACCTTCTCCTCTTGCCCTCTTGCCTCTCCTTCTTTTCTATTTCTCTCTTGAAGGCGGGAGCAGGGGCAGTGCCAACGAGACGGCACGAAACGCAACCCTTTCGCACGAAATGAGGTTCGATCGTCAAAAACTGAGGTAAAATTGCGATTTCAACTTGTCCGGCGCAACCCTTTCGCACGAAATGAGGTTCGATCGGCAAAAACTGAGGTAAATTGCGATTTCAACTTGTCCGGCGCAACCCTTTCGCACGAAATGAGGTTCGATCGTCAAAAACTGAGGTTAGGTTAGTAAGATTTGCGATGTCAAGTCGTCCGGCGCAAACCCTTTCGCACGAACTGAGGTTCGATCGCCAAAAACTGAACGAGAAACATTGCGAGTTCCCTTGTCCCGACGCAACCCTTTCGCACGAAATGAGGTTCGATCGCCAAAAACTGAGGTAAAATTGCGATTTCAAGTCGTCCGGCGCAACCCTTTCGCACGAAATGAGGTTCGATCGCCAAAAACTGAGGTAAAATTGCGATTTCAACTTGTCCGGCGCAACCCTTTCGCACGAAATGAGGTTCGATCGTCAAAAACTGAGGTAAAATTGCGATTTCAGTTGTCCGCGCAACCCTTTCGCACGAAATGAGGTTCGATCGGCAAAAACTGAGGTAAAATTGCGATTTCAACTTGTCCCGCGCGACCCTTTCGCACGTCCCTTTCGCACGAAAATGAGGTTGGATCGCCAAAAACTGAAGTAAAATTGCGATGTGTGTAAAAGCGTCTGTGTGTAAAAGCGTCTGTGTGTAAAAGCGTCTGTGTGTAATAGCATCTGTGTGTAAAAGCTTCTGTGTGTAAAAGCGTCTGTGTGTAAAAGTCTCTGTGTGTAAAAGTGTTTGTGTGTAAAAGGTCTGTGTGTAATAGCGTCTGTGTGTAAAAGCGTCTGTGTGTAAAACCCTCTGTGTGTAAAAGCGTCTGTGTGTAAAAGTCTCTGTGTGGAAAAGCGTCTGTGTGTAAAAGCCTCTGTGTGTAAAAGCGTCTGTGTGTAAAAACCTCTGTGTGTAAAAGCTTCTGTGTGTAAAAGCGTCTGTGTGTAAAAGTCTCTGTGTGTAAAAGTGTTTGTGTGTGTGTAAAAGCGTCTGTGTGTAAAAGCGTCTGTGTGTAAAAGCGTCTGTGTGCAAAAGCGTCTGTCTGTAAAAAGTTCTGTGCGTGAAAAACTTTTTGAAAGATACGATACAAAAGATACGATGCCATATAATATTGTCTTGATACTACTCTTCTCGTCTGCCTGTAATACATCTTTAATGTATTGTCTTGTAATATAGTGTCGCCATACTAACAGCAGAAGAAAACTCTGCTCCTCTACGCTCTCGGGCCATCCGTCGTCTAGTTCCTTCACCCAAGACACATTGAGCATAGAGACGGATGAGAATTGAGAATGTGGCCACCGAAGGCTTCACATTTGAAGCGATCATTTCCTTGTACAAGTCCTGACATGGCCATTTCCACAAGTCGAGAATTAACTTTTGAGTGAAAAGACCCGATTCATTCTGCATCTACATTGTGCAGAAGTCCTTGGCCAACTCAAGCTTGCAGTCATTGATGCAGCCACCCAAGAGGTTATTGAAAACCACCTTACCCCACGCGCAACAGCATCCACAGTCAGTCAAGCCTGACTCTTGACTGTACCTGTAACGTGCTTCGTTCATTTCTTTATCTTCTTTTGGTTTCGCTGTGGGTTTGCGCCTCGTCAGGCTTGAGACCAGCCTCTTTCATGGCAAGCAGCATCTTCAAGGCTTCTTCAAGCCTGCCGAAAGGCCCTCATGGTAAAGCTCACACCGGCTGAAAAGGTCGTTTGCAATTAAAATCAATGTAAATCTGAAACTTCCGCTTGTGCCGCGACATCATCAGGGACAAACGTGCAGGGTAAAGTGCCTGCCAACGTCGCAGTTTGCCTTGATAAGGATCGAGAATGTGATGACATCTGGCTGCATAGATCTCTCCTAAATTCAACAAAGAAATGCCAAATCTGGATCAAAGAAAGTTTATGAAAGAAGAGGCTCCTTCACTAGGACAACCAACAACTGGTTGCAGTTTGGCCAGGGCCGCGTCCTTCCGCATCTCCTCATAGATCTGAACGGCCTGATCAACTTGACCTGCTCGGGCAAAGCCCTTGATGAGGGTCGTATATAGCACCTAAGCAAATCAAAGAGTGACACCTGCAACACTTCGGCAACACTTCATGCCAACATCTGCCAACTGCTCATAACACTTCATCTCTTTACATCTCTTTACATCTTTCTTCACATCTCCTCCTTGTCTTACAAATAGAACGCAATGGCTTGTTGAAGCAGCGATCATCCTTGGCAAGGCCAAGGATGGTACTGTGTTCATCTGGCAGCCCTCAGCACGCATCGTATTGAAAATCGCCACTGCTTTCTCAACCTGCACAGCATACCGAGCAAGGCTTGCGCCAGACTTTAGGCATGTTTTGGTCTGCTCTATCCTTTGCACCAGCTGTCTGTCTTCTTCTAGTGCAAATCAAAATGTGGACATACTCTGGGCTATCTCTGGCCTTTTAGGTACCCTCTGGTAAACTAACATAACTATGGAAAATCACCATTTTTAATGGGTAAATGATCGCAACATACATGGCATATCTGATGCTGGAAATCATGCCTCGTTGTCGTTGATAAAGCCATCCAAGAGGATTCCATAGGTCACTTGCGATGGGCTGAGCCCACGAGATCGCATGAGCTCATACAGTTCAAAGCATGTGTCCATACGACCAGCTTTGGCGTAGCCCTGCAAGAGGCGGAAGCTCCCAAGATGTGGTATGAAATCTCAGGAGATCAGCCAACCACACACACCATGCTGCAGTCCAAAGGGCACAACGTGAGAATCACAGCACTTGGCTCCCACCTTGGCCAGTGTGTTATATGTGATGACATCTGTGACTCCTCCAGCTGCAACCATTTGGTCCAAGAGCTTCCGGGCCTCGAGATTCGAAAAAGTTGCGAATGTTGTAATGTGGTAAACCCAACAATAAACCCTAAACCATCCGAAAATTTACCAGAAATTGGTGATATGTATATTTTAAAAAAAAAACACATATATATATATATATATGTATATATACACATACTATTTATAAACTACAAGCCATCCTTGAAGTGGGGGTTTGTTATTGGGTTTCCGAAATTAAAATGTTGCAAGCGCCTGGTCGAGCTGTTCGGCACTCACGCAAGCTGCCAACACTCTGTTGTACACCACGCTGTCCACCTCCACTTGAGCCTCCCAGGCTGGCAGCCGTTGGCCCAGCTCAGATTGTCTCAGCTTGTTACAGTGTTACATCTCCTTACTCGAAACTTTAAAGTTACGAAGTTTTCCACCTTCGTAATACTGAAATACAAATCTTCAATGATCTACAAACCTCGTGGAGTACAAAGCCAGTCATATCATTGAGTCAATGTGATTCAAGAGGTTTGCTACACCGTTCGCTGTTCCAGTGCCTTGTGCATCTCATCGATCAGACTGAGGGCCAATCGCCAGTTACTGGTGCTGGATGCATAGCGAACCATATTGCCTCAGCAACTTGGAAGCAATGAGAAACTCATGTCGCACTTTGGGTCCAGAGATGCATGAGACAAGGCAAAGGTGCCTTTGAAGCTTTCAAGCCATCATTATACATATATATATATATCATATGTAGTATACGTGTATGTATATGTGTATATACTGTATATATATATATTATATTATACGTATTCAATTCTCTTGTATGTATATATATATATATATACTGTATGTGAATATATATATATATGGTGTATGTATATGTATATATATACTGTATGTGAATATATATATATGGTGTATGTACATATATATATATATAGATACGTATATTATATATACATTGTACATATTATATCCATGTTGTTTTGGCCACTGCAGTGCGGACCGATTGCCAAAGTCCTTCGGCGATGGAGACCCATTGGCTTTGAGCTGTTCAAAGAAGAACGTACAGCGATGATAGCCTGAGCTGCAAAAGAGCTCTGCAAATGTCCAGATGGTTTGATTTCGGACAAAGTGCACTTCTGCGTTGCATGTGGTTTGGAGAGTTTTGTGGCAAATCAGAGGCAGCGTTCACCCTAATTAGGACTGCAACACCCAACTCCACAACAGCATGAGGCCATGAGATTCCTCAAAATGTGTACAAGATTGCCATGAAGTCATCTAGGAAAGTTTGGGAACAGGGCCTCACAGTAATTCCTACGATCAACAGTAGTGTACCCACCAGTCTGTACATGTCTGTACAAGCTCGTCGTCTGAGTCTTGACTTCATTGCATTCTGGAGACCCTTCGTCTCCACAGCACAGAAGAGTAGGCAACTCCACACACTCTTGTCCTGGGTGCGCTGTCGGGTCCCCCTGAGCAGGTCCATATGTTCTGTCCTGCCCTTTCTTGTGAAACAAACCGTCAAACAGCCAGCCATTGTGCACCCAACTTAGAAGCGTCAAAGGATGTCTTTGCAAGAACAGCCATGTATGCAACACACAGCGGTCAAGGCGAGTGTCCTGAATTTCAAGTGCAGGATCTTGGGATGTGAAGTCATAGATGCTCAAGCAGTCAGCAAAGAGCCTTAAAGCTTGTAGTGGAACAGCAAGGCGGTGCAAGCCGGTGGGCCATCTTTTTTAGCAAAGGCTACTGGTGACCATCCCACTAGGTGAGTCGAGCCACTGTTTTGAGGTGCATAGCTTCGTCGCAGACGCCAACAAGGCAGCCTCCACGTGCTGAAAACGGCGCAGGTCCTCATCGAATTGGAAACCTTTCAGCTCCCCAAGTTATCCAAGTTGAGTGTTTGACATCTGAAAGCAACATGCAAAGGTTTTTTATGTATTATTAAAACCCTGGTATCCTGGTAAATATCAAGATACGAGTAGCAAAATTTCAGCATCCCCCAATAGCTTTGACCCATCCCGGAATCCCGGCCCATCCACATATTTTCTCTCCTTCATGAGGCTCAGCGCATCATCAGCCTGCCCCACGCGGATGACAGCCGTCACCAGATTGGAATAGAGCTGCTGGCAGTCGTTTGCTGGCATGTCCTGACACGCTGAAAAAATTCTACAACAATAAGCCTCATCTGACCCAGAATGGTGCAATCCCTGCCAGAACCATGGCATGTCAAGCTGTATCCAAACCAAACATCAGAGAGTTCCAAACAGTGAGATAGGGATAATATGATATGATATGATATGATATGATATGATGTGATAATTATGAGTTTTTATGCGGGGAGATGTCCTTGATATTCAAGCCCGCTCGCACTGCAACTCGGTACAGTTCCAGGGCACGTTGCACTTGCGAGCGGCACAAAGCAGACACCTGCGCCACGACCCACTGAGGATCCTGAAGCTTCTCAGGTTCCACCGTGGAGGGAGTCAGGCTCTCATCCACGCGTCGTGTGGCACGGCGGCCTGTGGAACCCGTAGGGCCCGTCTTGCGGCTCTTCACCTGGTCGTTCTTGGCAACCAAGAAATGACCCGCCAGCCAAAGGAAGGCAAAGACAGCCAGGAAGCTGAGCTCAACGCGCAGCATGTACAGACCTTCATAGACAAGTTCGATGACAGGTTCCATGGAAACTGCTGGACCTTAGGGTTTGTCCAGAACAAGGAGGAGCTTGATGAAAACGTTGAATCGCCACCACAGGGCGAGGAGGGACGGATCCTGAGGCGAGCTTAGAATTCTGAGCCAATTCAGCAGCACAAGTGGAAGATGGCTTTCCTGCAACTAAATTAAGAGCGACTTATTCAAATTCAGCAAAATTCAATAGCGATTCAAAGCAGAACATCTTATTTCACAGCCGTTTCCGATAGACTTCTTTCTGTCCGCTTGCAAAGAAGTTACAAACTGATGTCCATGACTCAACACACTAGAAATGTCGTAGCTCTTCAGGCCTGGAAGCTGAACTTTCAAACTGGAAGTGATTCAGGCTGATCAGGTTCATATGCTCAATCTACTTAATATCCTGAAAAATTATTCGTACAGAACACCTTAAGAAAGTTGCTCAGTATGTCCCTGCCGCGGCAGCTGCACACCCTCGCTTTTCCAAAAAGCGATTGGCTTCTTGCTCAGCCTGTCACCGCAGCGTCGGAGACTGGAAGCACTCCATGAAAAGTGCACAAGTTTCATCGCTCGAAGCAAGCAATGTAGCCTCAATTACTTGAACCATCTTGAACCTCACCAAGATATGGGAAGATTTCGGATATACAGTTTAATACACTCCATATCACTCCATTGTTCTCCCATTTGTTCGGGCTCTTGTTCAAATCTTGCAGGTGCCTATCTCGCAGAAGCAAAGCTCTTCGTCGGATGGAACGGCAAGAGTAAGGTCTGCCAGTGCCAGCCTGCAACCTGGATCATACTTGGATCATACTTGGATCATTTTTCAAATGTTTGGCAAATGTTTGGCATTTTTTCAGTCGAGAGCTCTTTGACTCTGCACTAGTCACAAGCTTTGATCAGTTTCACTGGAGAGGAACAGAATGCAAACATGTTTGGCGAATCCATAGCAACGATGTCGGCGAATCATAAGAACCGCTCTGCCAAGATCCGGACACAGCCCATGTCAACGCCATACGCCTTTCGGCCCTCCGAGAAGGAGCTTCCACCAGCGGCATTTGTTGATCGACTGGCTCCGGTGTGACAGCTTTGGTCTCCGTGGCGGACTTGGGAATGAGCTCTGTGCAAAGTAGCGTCATGTTGTCACAACCAAGGCCTTGAGTCCTGCACGCGCTGGCAGTGCAAGAAGTGGATGAAGACAGACTGCTGGTGGTGAAACATGACCAACACACTTTGCAAGTACCCTCTGGTTATTTAACATAGCCATGGAAAATGGCCCATTTATAGATGGTTCTATTAATAGCATGGTGATTTTCCATGGCTATGTTAGTCATAACCGTCATAACCAGATGGTAGCTGGAAATGAATGGGCCAATGAGCCCCCTTAGACTTCGCACGCTTCGCACGCTTCGCACGGTCCTCATCGGATTCGGGGAGACAGCACCTGGGCATGACATGGCATGACGACTCGAGTCGAAGACCCTGGGAATTTCGATGGACGATGGACGGCCTGGGAATGCTTTGGAACACTTCTCTCTCTTTGCCGTCTTAGCCCAGGCCGTGTCCCCAGTTGTGTCCAGTTGTGTCCAATCAGATGACAATTTGGGGCACACACGATCTAGAAACTCAGAACAGGCTGCCGAGATTTGCTCTGAGGCTTCCAATCTGGGCATTTCGATCATTTCGTGCAATCCAATGTTGTTGTTCTGCACAGTATGGTGACTTGATGTGACTTGATGTGAATTGTGCAGAACAAGTATTTCACTCCATAGTCTAAGGTGCAAAGAAAGCCTAGCATCGATGGCGCTAAACAAATGATACTACATGATTCGTCATGCGAATTGACAGCAGAAAGTCTGCTGAAACGACTCCAACGTGCCTCGGTAGCAAGAAATCAACAATCTGCTGATTTGTGAATCGCTCCCAAACACCATCACATCCCAAGAGCAGATAACCTCAGCCATCGGCCAGCAACTTAGGTTCTTATGATGCTAGTTGAACAGTTTAATCACTTTACAGTTACAATTCCAAAACTGATTCACAATGTTGACCTAAAATTCCCCACAAAGTTGACAGCCCACAGGCCAAAAAGCTGTGCACCAAAAAACAGCACCCGGAAAGCTTTGGAACTTTGGCCCCTACGGTCTCGAGCACCGAGCTTCCGCTGTCGCACCTGCTGTGATGGTAAGAATTGTTGACTGGAGCAGTCTCTACACTCTGCATCATCCTTTCACTGTGGAATTATTGCACAAAATTGCATAAATCCGCCCACACCGCTTTGGCGGTGAAGGCGTGCTTATTGGGGGGCAAAACAGCAACACTAAATGCTCAATGACATTTGTTAATATAGCAGTCGCTATATCAGCTTTAGCTGGGGGGGGGGCCAAAAACGGTTTCGCACCGAGACCAGAATACGGTGGTGTTTTCGACATTTTTCGAGGATTTTTGGGTGTCTGAGCGCAAGAGGGTATTGAAATGGAATTTTGGGTCATTTTGGTAGCTTTCCGGCAATGGAAAAACGGCCAAAAATGAAAAAAACATTGTACATAGCAAGATTTTGCAGGGTTTTTGGATGCCAGAGCATTGAAAACACTGCAAAAACAAGTGTTTTGGACTGACGTTATAGCAAAAAACGTGTAAATTACCGTATGCTTGACTGGAAACATTACAAAAACACTGTCAAAAGCAATGTTTTGGAAGGATTTACTGCCTTTATGGCAAAAAACGTGTAAATTACCGTCTGTTTGACTGGAAACATTGGAAAAACACTGTCAAAAACAATGTTTTGGAAGGATTTCTTATATATATGTTGGAGTTGGCTACCGGCATTGGAACATGGAAAAATTGAAGAAAACACTGTAAATAGCGGTATTTTCAACGGTTGGGGAGATAAGGGAATTGGAAGCATTGTCGAACATGATGTTTTCGACCGGTTTTATGGCGACAAAAGTGTAAAGTACCGTGCTTTGAAGGAAACCATTGCAAAAACATGGAAACACATTCAAAGAACACGGGATTTGGGGGACTATCTAGGCGTCGTTGTCTAGCTATTTGAAATTCCGCAGCTTGGAGAGCCTCCAAGGGAGGGAAAAGTGAAAATTCCATAGCTTGGGAAGCTGTCACGGCGGGGAAAAGTGAAAATTCCCTAGCTTGGGAAGCCCCCACGGGGGGGAAAAGTGAAAATTCCCTAGCTTGGGGAGCCCCCACGGGGGGGAAAAGTGAAAATTCCCTAGCTTGGGGAGCCCCCACGGGGGGGAAAAGTGAAAATTCCCTAGCTTGGGGAGCCCCCACGGGGGGGGAAAGTGAAAATTCTTAGCTTGGGGAGCCCCCACGGGGGAAAACCACCCTTAGCCCCTCTCACGGACCGAAATAAACCTGCGGTGTGGGCGGCCACCCCACGCGAAGCGGGGTGAATATGAATGCATTGTCTTTGGCATATATGATGCCCTGTGCCTCTGGAACAGCAATGATAAGCTGGCCATCAACACCAAGCTTTCGATTCCTGGCAAAGTCATGCAAAGTCTTTATTCGTATGCAGATGACAGGTTCAATTGGTCCGCAAGGCCCAAGCTAGACTTCAAAGATCCCGGATCAACAGAGTACTATCGGATTTATGGAGGTCACAATTCGGTTAGTTCAGAATCCTTCAGGAGACAGCGCCGGCCTCTTGTAAAACAAATCCCCGATTGCTCTAGACCTTGGGCTGTTTTGGACAAGAGTTTTGTTTTTTTCGCACGTGCGTTATTAAACAATATACAGTATATACAGGTTTTGGACTGTTCAGCCCGACAAATCTCTCTACTGCGAAGGGTGTAGACACGAGGAAATATGTCGAAATATGTTTTGGTAAGTCTACTGAGTTTGAGTCTACGATTTCTTCGAATTCCACTCTGCACTACCCTTGTGAAGTCTTCATACAGGTGGCTCGATTGAACTGGACTGCGCTTCGCCCGTGAAGAGAAAATTGAAGGTTCACTCCAACGAGCTGCCGAGGTTCCGACAGGTTGAGATTGCCATCAACCCTTCCTTCCCTGGCACCAAAAAGCAGAACAGCAGGAAGATCTTCGCTGCTTGACTGAAAGAAGAAAGGCTTTCTCACCGCTCTGCAAATCCTGTGAATGTCTTTCGTATCAAGGGCAATCATGCCAGTTGTGCTTATTCACACTGCCACCAGCTTTCCTGAACAAGTAAGGTCTCCAAAGAGAAATGCCCTCCATTCCATTGATCGAAAAGCTGGAGTTACACAACCAAGTACAGTATTTAAGTATATGAGGTTTCAAACGATGCTATTTCCTTGGCAAAACACAACGGCCTTTTTGAATTTGGCCAAATCATATCTGTTCAATCAGAGAAAAAGATGGCCACCATCGGCCACCTGATGCGCTGCAGCTCATCAGGCTCCAGTGGAGAGTGATCTCTCGACCTTAGCACTGCAAGAATCCAGACATCAACTGCTTGGTGGTTGACCTACCCCTCTGAAAAATATGAGTTCGTCAGTTGGGATGATTATCCCATACATGAAATGGAAAATAAAGAATGTTTGAAACCACCAACCAGTCAATCATGTGGTCAATATTCGCCAATGATTGACCTTGAAAAAAGTAAGAGAATTGGAGTGACCATGAAACTTTTTCAAATGATCCAGAAATGTTTCAGCCACCCTCAACCTTGTGTCGGATGTTTTTTCTTCGCTAGAAATCACGCCGCAGCCCACGGCTATGGCCCGGCAGGTCATCAAACGGCAGCGCAAGATGTCGAAGCCTGCGCACTGGGAGTGACTCTCCGTGTCACTTCATGGTCACACGAGCCACCCGCCATCCGAGGTTAAAAACCATTAAAAACCTATCAAAATTGAGGAGATGAAGTCTGATGACCATCATTGAACAATGACTGGAACATCTGCCAGTTCCATTTGTTCACCAGGCTGGGGCTGTCCCTTTCGGATCCTTTCGGTGCCAAGGCACAAGGTTGGAAGGAAATCGATCGCCTCTGGTGGCGGAATGATTTCTCCAGGCCTGGTCGGCACTGGTGACATTCCAAGATATGCCAAGTTTCATGCATTTTGAATCGTTTTGACATATGTTTTGCCATAGTTTGATGCATTGGCACTGCCGTTTTGAAACATGAAAAATTGATTATGGCGCCTCACGTTCAGCCCGGAGAGAATCAGAAACCTCGAGATTTAGCAATAGATATCATGGACCTCCCTGTGTGCCAGGGTGACGGTGTTGACAGAACCTCTGTGCGGCTCGGCGGCCTGGTATTGTGTACATCGGAATCCTGTAGGCCATGCACGCCTTGACAACTTGACTGGGGAAGGCCCTTGTGGATGCACTTGCAGTCCTCACGACATCTCACGACATCTCAAGACACTCAGAGTCACTCTGACTATCTCTGACTGATATCCAACTCGAAACAACTCCATCTCTAAAAGGCACAATGTGCGCAAATTCTCTAAAGAGTCAGACGCATAGCCATGTCTCGAGTGCAGCGGTTTCAACGTTGAATTTCCGCAGCTCAGACCCTTTGATTTTTTTGAAAAGGTTGGTGGGAAACATGGCTCATCCAGCATGCATCCATGCGTCTTCCAGGAAGACTGACCAAAGCTCTTTGGACATGTCTTTGACTGCACCTCAGGAAAAGATAGGAAAAGCATGTGGGAATGCCACAGTAACTACAGTAACGTCTTTGATTCAATTTTTGTCAGTGGCAAAGACTTAGTTCTGTGAATCAACTGTACAATCTGTACATAAATAAAACAAAATAAAACAAGAAAAAAAAGGGTGGAACCTGAATGCATCGTGAATTCCAGGTTGGTCAACCACAAGTACAAATGCAATCAGCCCCATTGCCACGCCTCCACCATGATCGGTGGTAATGGCCAAAAGCCAATCTTCCGAATCGCGTTTGGCAACGGCATCTAGCAGCTGGCCTCCCAATGGATGCCTCTGGTCTTTTGGGAGGAGCATATCTGGTTGCTCCTAAGGCCCAGCCTAAGCACTTGTCAAAGTGTTCGATGGAGTCCATGTATTGCGGTACCTGGAAGCATCGATAGCCACCATAGGAATCTCTTGATGATTAGTGACAATGCAGGATATCAACAAAACTAACAAAACCACTCCCAAGTCCTGGGCACATCTAGCGAAAAGCCATAAAGATGACCCGCAAGGTCCACACTGTGGGTGTAGAGAGCCAGAACCTCTTTGCATTTTTCGCTTGTGATTGTGAGTAGTACAGGGCAGTTGAGCGGATCGAACCAACTCTTCAGGCTTCCTTTGCAACGTATCTCATTTGATCAAGACCAAGCTCCATTTAACTTCTTACTGCTGGCGAAAGCACAGCACTGTCAAAAAGCAACCTTGGGTGAGAGAAAGAGAGGGTCCGGTTATGAAATTCTCAAAGGTCACCATGCCTTCTTACTTGCTTTATGTAGCTGTACATCTGTCTGCTGCCCACCGCATCGTATTGGGCAGCATCCTACCAGTGCTGCCAGTGTAGCCAAGCCGCATCAGGAATCTCTTGCTCCTCGCCACTTGACTTTGAGATCTTTGAGCAGGTAGCCCGGCAGCCCCAGGGTCAGTTCACCCTTGTTCTCTTCTGCACAAAAATAGTTGGTAGTTCTGGATGTTCATCCCAATCAAAAAAATGTTATTTCATAGGTTTTAGTCCCTTTAACTAAGCATAAAACCACGTTGTTTCTGGGTGAAACCATCCCTGCCGCCGTCCGGACATCGCTCCTTGCTTTCGTCCAAGAGCTGCAGCAGTTCCTCAATGGCTTTGTCCAGCTCCTCAGCCTGCATGCACAACTATTAGTATCTATTAGTAGTAACTATATAGTCGTATCTAGTAATATTTGTAATGTAGCAACTAGTCTCATATCATTATGACCACTACTATGATATAATCAAACTATTTGTTCATGCCCTGTTATACTGTAATTACATATGATAACCGTAATAGTTATTGTGATAGTTTTCATAATAACAAATAACAATGATTAGAAACCATGGTGGGAAACTATCAATGATCAAATATGTGTATAAATATATTTATATATATATGCATATATACATCATAATCAACTTCTCTGCGTGTCTCTTCCTCTTCTGCCTGACGTTGCCTAGCTCGCATGATCATTTGGCAAGAACAAGGGGGAAAAGCAAACAAAGTTTTCCTCAAGACAATTCATCCAGCTTCCTTGAACTTGGTACAGGTGTTCTCAACATCTTTCAACACTGAATGTGGTTCTGCCGGTATCCAAATTCTGAATGTATAAACCACCCATAGCACCCATACCCACAGCTCCAGCAACTTCTGTTGCACCTCGTCGCCAAATCTTTGTACCTGACAGGAGCTTCCACATGGAAGCCTTACATGTTCTTCAAACCCTACGGATCAAATCAGCCTTAGTTACAGACACATGGTACGAGTCCTATGAGTATAGCTGGTTCAGTCTTGATAGAGCTCCAATCTGGAGACCAAAGAGGCTAGCTGTCCCAATGAAGAGAGAGGCTTCACACAGCTGGTTGCGAAGACCAAAAAGGCTGAAAGGCTGAAACCATCTGAAACCTCTCAGAAAGGGCCAGGAGAGGCCAGGAAGACCCGGAAAGACCAGGAAAAGCTTGGTGAATTGCACAAATTGTCCCAGTCCTTCAGGGTCTGAGCCAAGGCAGCATCTGCACACAGCTGTGGCACGCCAGGCCAGCCCACGTTCAGCAGCCGCGCACAGCGGCCATGCTTCGCCAAGAAATGGAACCTAGGCCGCTGCCACAATGAAACACATCATGCAGCTGACACGGCTGACACGTGGCCATGACTCTTTGTGGCAATCTACTTCTAAATTATTCTAAATTCCCAGTTTCTCCCAGGCGTCTAAGTGAAAGGGCATAAAAATCTAGTGCTACAGCTGCTACAGCTGCTACAGCTGCTACAGCTGCTACAGCTGCTACAGCTGCTACAGCTGCTACAGCTGCTACAGTGCTGCAAGGAGACAGAGTGGGAGGGAATTCTGACGCTTCAGAACTTCCAAGCTTTTGACGCTTCGCCTCGACACAGCTCCAGAGACTTCGCCATTTGGTTTTTCTGATTGCGACCGACTCATTACGACGGTAAGGAGAGGCCGGAGAGGCCAGTGTGCAATACGGTCAAAGCTGAAAAGCAATGAAAAGCACGTTGATTTGAAGTCCCGTGAAGTATCGTCGCATGTCCACCTTCGGTCCACTTTCAAATGCAGGTGTTCACACGGTGTTCACATGGTGTTCACTTGTTGCCTGACTGAAAGCGGAAGCAAAGCACGTAGCAGCCCGCGCAGAGCTGCAAATGCACCAGGAGGGATGCCTCACAGCTGGTGCAGCAATTCCCCTCATATAACTGTCATTTCACCACTTGCTCCACACATTTGAATCAGCGGCCACAAGCAATCATTGTGTGTGTGTGTGTCCTAGCGCGGTTCAAGGATCGAAAGCTTGCAAACTTCAAAATTTGAAAGAGTACAACGCGTGTTGCTGCAAATGTTGTTATTTCCAAATACAAACAAGAATCCAGCATTTAAGTAAAAGATGAGAAGAGTCGTGTTTGATGCACCAAGATGCTCAGAAACAAATTGCATGGTTTCATATTCATCCCAGCCAATTTTGAAAATCTCTACAACTGGTCCTGCAGCTTGCAAAGTCGATGTTGGCTGGCCAAGGGGTACCCCACCACAGTATACATGTTTCCATTCGTTACATTTCAGTCATTCCTGACCGGAGAACGAGCATTTCTTGGGAAGTACAACAGTCGTACAATGACCAAATCATCCAAAGAGAGGTTGAGGATGGTTGAGGTATCTTAACTATGAAGACAAGCCGCACAAGTAGTTTTCCTTCAGAGTCGGTTGCAAGCAGGGAATCCTAAGGTCAGCAACGCCGTGATTTGCACAAACACTTTGCAAGAAGAAAGTCTAGGAAATTCACCTTGGAGCGCTCTGCATGTTTTTTGAACAGATATCTCTTGGCTTTTGGATCCTAAGCTTGGCATGGCACATTGGAACTGAGCTGAGGATAGCATGGATAGCTAAGGTGCGAGGTCATTGCTGGTGATGCGATGCTTATCCGCCTTTAGTCCGGTCAGCAATGTCGCCCAAGAAGGTGCGGAGAGAGGCACCGGATCTGGTGGACATTACAGTCACGTTCACAACGACCATGTGTTCGCCATTGTTTGCAACGAGAGATGCAACAAGTCTTGAGTTACAACGGAGGTACAAAAAGGTACAACAAATGTCAGATACCGTATCGATACCTTTGATTTCTAGCCGATCACGTTCTTGGGCACATAGGCTCACAATCACATCAAGGCTAAGGCCTGTCTTGCAATGCAAGGAGAAGGCGCAGCGTCCAGCCTGCATGAAAAACAGTTGCTTGCATGTCGGTATTATCTAAATCTGTATATATATATATGTATATATATATATATGTATATATATATATATGTATATGGTCAGTGCCGGAATTATAGAACGGAAGTTGAGGAGGACGAAGGTACGGTTATTTACCGTACCCTGTTGTTCTATAATTCTGTTTTCCTCGGAAGGTATGAAAAAAAAATGTATCTGATCTTCCTCCTAATTTTTTTCGTCGTTCTATAATTTTTGTCGGAGCGCTGTTGTTCTATAATTCTGTTTTCCCCCATTTTTCTCACATTTCCCATTTTCGTTCTATAATTAATTTTCCCCGGGCCCCGTTCTATAATTAATTTTTCCGTCGAACGGAAAAAATAATTATAGAACGGAAAAATCAATTATAGAATTATACAACCTCTTCCGGGGTCCCAGAAATCCTATAAAATCACCATGAAATCTAAGAAAATCACCGTGAAATCCCATAAAATTACCATGAAATCCCATAAAATTACCATGAAATCTTATAAAATCACCATGAAATCTAAGAAAATCACCTGGTAAATGTGGGAAAAATGGGGGAAAACAGAATTATAGAACGGAAGTTGAGGAGTACGAAGGTACGGTTATTTACCGTACCCTGTTGTTCTATAATTCTGTTTTCCTCGGAAGGTAGAAAAAAAACGTATCTGAATTTACTCCTAGCTTTTCTCGTCGTTCTATAATTCTTGTCGGAGCGCTATTGTTCTATAATTCTGTTTTCCCCCATTTTTCCCACATTTCCCATTATCCTCATGTTACAGCATCCTCATTTTATCCTCGTTATCTCATCAAATCCTCATTTTATCATCATTTTATCTTCATTTCCTTATCAAATCCTCATTAAATCCTCATTAAATCTTCATTTTATCCTCATTTCCTCATCAAATCCCCATTAAATCCTCATTTTATCCTCATTTTATCCTCATTTTATCCTCGTTTCCTCATCAAATCTTCATTTTATCTGCATTTTATCTTCATTTCCTCATCAAATCCTCATTAAATCCTCATTAAATCTTCATTTTATAGATTGTATATGTACAAATATGCAGTAAATATCATGTCAGTGCCAGAAATTATAGAACGGAGCCAGGAGGACAAAAGTACGGTAAAATACCGTACCTTTGTCCTCCTCCCCGTTCTATAATTAAATTTCCCGACTCCGCTCCGAATCGGAACCCGGAGGAGGACAAAGGTACGGTATTTTACCGTACTTTTGTCCTCCTGGCTCCGTTCTATAATTCTGGCACTGACTGTATATATATATGTATATATATATATGTATATATATATATGTGTATATATATATATATGTATATATATATATGTATGTATAATATATATGTATATATGTATGTATATTTATATATATATATGTATGTATATATATATATGTATATCCCATATACATACATACATACATACATACATACATACATACATACATACATACATACATACATACATACATACATATGCCTTGTCTTGTATGATTGTATAATGTATATAATCCGCCGACCCCTTCCTAGCCTTGGCCTAGGCGGGGCGCCCGGGAGCACCGCGGGTGTGCCACCAAACATTTTCCTACCAGGGCCTCTGCCAAAATAACCCAAGCGGTTTCAGCAACCGTTAAAAGCGCAAAACCTTAAAGCCTTCCGCTGCAGCTTTCGATGGCTGCCAACCAAGGCCATGGCCCGCCTCTACAAGCAACATGGCACCTCCCCTGCAGCTTTCGAAGGCCGCCCCCGCCGAACTACGCTGCCAAAACAAGCCCGAGCGGCCAAGTAGGCCCCGCAAACTGTTTCTATATAGGGTTTCGAAACTGCTACGTGGCACGTTTTAGCCACCCTTTAAAACCCTCAAAACGTTAAAACCCTCCGCTGCAGCTTGGATGGTTACTAAATATGGCCCTTGTTATGCTTCGCCTGTAAAAGAACCCCACCGCACGTCCATCTTGAATGCGAGCCACGGCCGAACCATATGTGACTGTCATTCAACCGGTTCCATGACACGATGCGGGCAATGGCACTCAAACTCAGAAAAGTATCTGATGATCCTCAATAAAATGGAACAGTATCAGCAACTCCTGCAAGAATAAATAGGATGTTTTCCTTCGTTACCTTGAAGGATCCATATAAGATGTTCCGTGATATTCCTAGATGCTGCGTCGTGCTTGCTCTGGTTGTTTCATGTTCTGAGCCAGCTCAATCCATGCCCTCCCCCTTAAAGGGGGGGTCGGCGGCACCAAGGCGTTACCCCTTTTATATCCGGCGATGCCTGCCCGTAGTAGGTGTGTAGCTGCTCGCTGGCTTTAGCTACCCGAGGGCGCGCCTCTTCCGCCGACCCCCCAAAATCCTTCACTTTGGTGGTGTTTTCATGTTTTTCGGGGTCCGGGGTGGGAAAAAAAGACGATAAAATTACAAGATGCTTTTTGGAGGTCCATTTTGGGCACTTTTTGGCGGATGTTTGTTGCTTTTTTTGGCGCTTGCGAACAGCCAAAACATTGTAATTTACAATGTGTTTTATGCCTTTGGCATGGAAAAAGTTCTTCTTGCAACATGCTGAAAACTGCGTACATACCAGTGTTTTTGCTAGGCACGGGCCAAAAAACACTGTAACTACTGTGATTTTTGCTACCAGAGGCAAAAAACGTCGTAAATACCGTGGTATTGGGGCCGAGGCGCAAAAAAAAACATCGGTATGTACGGTGTTGTTTGCTCCAAGAGTGTTAAAAAAACGCGAAAACACAACCTATGTCACAATTTTTGGCGGCCCACAAAAATGCAAAAATACGATGTGTTGCAAGAACAACAAGAACAAGAACAACGACGACAACAACAACAACAACAAGAAGTTCAGAAGAAGCACAAACATGCGACAAAAAGATGTGTTACAAGCTGCGGTATGAAAAGAACATCGTACTGTACTCTGCACCTGCGCGCACGCGCCGAGCACATGAACAACACCAACGTTCTCACTACTATACATAACCCTTATGGCATCGCCGGTGTGCGAAGCTCTACAATATCTTACAATATGAGATCTCATCTTAAGCATCAGTGCCTCAAACACAACAATGTTCCAATTGGTAGTTATGCCCATCAAGTCGCAAGTTATTGATGGTTGTTCTCCTCAGCATAGAGGCCTTGTTCCTGAGCAAAGCACGCAAACGTGGAGCCTCCGCTGCTAGCAACGCCTTGGGAACAGCCCGTGCTGTTTTCAACTATGAGCTCAGTTGCCGTGCCATCAAAAAGACTGCTCTATGCAACCAAGTGACATCCGGGCGGCAACCATCCAACCTGATTCAACCAGATAAATACTGGTGATGAGAAGCAGGCGAACATTTCTTCCTCTTCAGCTGACCAAGTCAACGTTTTCTTTGAGAGCACCATCTACCTCTTCTGAAAGTTCTCTCTCTCTCTCTCAATCTCTCTCTGTCTCCACTTGTTACGCAGTCTCAGTTTGACACCAGCGCTGCCAAGCCACAGGATCAGCAGAATATGCGGTTTGCGTCGAGGTGGCAACGACATCAAGGTCCCGGTCTGAAACAATCTCCACCCGGAAGCTATCAGTGCGCTGATCTTTATCCCACAAACAGGCTCAGCACATCTGTCGAAGAAGCATGAGATTTGGCAATCAAACATGGTTGCTGTCACTGACTGATTTCCCCATGATGATACTCTGCCGATCAACAATGTCAACCAAGGTACCTAAACTTCAAGAATCCAAGGATAAAGGCATGCTTAGACAGCCCGGTTAAACCCTAACCTTTTTTGAAGCATCAATTTCTGGAAAAAACAAGTTGAGTTGCGGCATTCCGGGGGGGGTTGGGGGAAGGCTGCTGAGAAGGTGTTGAAACAGAGTTTCGAAAGCTAGTTTGTCCAGCCTGGAGGTTGCTTTTTGGAGCAATCCCCATAGGCAGGCTGCATTTAGGGTTAAACTTCAGCCAGTTTTGAAGAGAGTGGCATGAAGCTATCTCAGGAAGCAGGAATCTTAGGATTATGATTGGGGGAAGGCTGCTGAGAAGGTGTTGAAACAGAGTTTCGAAAGATAGTTTGTCCAGCCTGGAGGTTGCTTTTTAGAGCAATCCCCATAGGCAGGCTGCATTTAGGGTTAAACTTCAGCCAGTTCTGAGGAGAGTGGCTTGAAGCTATCTCAGGTGCCAGAATCTCATCATTATGATTGGGGGAAGGGTGCTGAGAAGGTGTTGATACCTAATCCGCGGATTCAGAATTCTAGGCTATTCCCATTGTTAGGGCTTGTTTAGGGTTAATTTTTGGAGATGACCCTTCCCATTCCAGACGTTCTCGAATGTTCTTGACATATCTTGAGCCATTGGCTGAACCGGAGCTTTGGTCCAAGATGGTCCAGCAGGATCCGGCAGGATTCGGCAGGTCACCTCTGGGGGTTCCGGCATGGCCACTGCTCCAGCACCAGTGACCATGACTGCCCTGGAGTCACCGCAATTCGCAACGTACAGCTCCTTATGATCATCCTTCTGGCAGATCAGGGCAACAACCTTAGAAAATGGAAGAGAAGCGAGAAATCTGTTGTGAAACTGATCAGCTCAGGAAATTCCTGGACAACTTTTGAAAAGCCACTGACCAGTGGCTTTTGACAAGCTAGATGGAAAACACGCATTAGATGAATGGATTTTTGCTGGAGCCTGTAAGGAAGAACGGAAGGAGGGACCGACACCTGTGTGGATTCTGCCAAGGTTTCACCGACAGTGATTTAGCTTTGCTTTGAGGCTGGGCCCCCAAACCGCTGTGGTGCCCATGCCGAGGGCATTCATGAGACTTGGCTTGCGCATGGTGTTTCGCAACGCCGCTCTCCCTTTTGGAGTGCGTAGGAATTCATCCTCACAACGGCAGCAAATCACTGAATCACCGAGCTACATGCAAACCTCTTCATGGCTGCGCATTGATGTTACCAGGTACACTCCAGGTACCAGAATGCATGCAATTTTGGCATGTTTTAGGATGTTCCACTCTCAACGACTTCTTTGCCACCTGCTCAAGGAAGGCCGTCAGCAATGCTTCCTGGGAGGCAAGCGCAGCTTGCCAGTGCATCCAACCCCCGTGGTCAGAATCGTGCCGAGGTTGTAACAGTGCCTTTCACATTTGCTCTCGACATGATTTGTCCCCTAGCCTTGTATTTTCCTGCACGGTATTCTGGCAGTTTACGAAGAATCTCTGGCAGGCGTTTGCTCACAAGCAGTGCCACTGCCTCACCTAACAGGTCGTTCATGCTGAGATAGGCAGGTTTCCTGTAGAGTGCATCATTTCATGTCAACTCTCTGTAGTTCAGCGTTCAGTTGAGATGCTTTTACTCTCTTGTGCAACTGCGAAGGTCAAGTGGCATCTCCCAGTGCCTCCATGGCCATCAAAGACACCAAAAAGGCTTACGCCATTTTCGGGGTCAAAGTCAGGCAGTGCCACATGAGCATCTTCCATGGCCTTTAGCTGCCGCTGAAGGCCAAACATCTCAATTAAAACCAAAAAAAAACTGCAAATGATAGTCTCATCATACTGATCATCTGCAATTCACCAAAAATCCCAGTGAAAATCAGCTGAGAATCATCTGACTATCGAATTCTGCTCACCCCTCATTGGCACCTCGCGCCAACCCTGCATCGATGCTACGCCAAATCTCACCCTCTTACCGCCATCCTGGCATTCCTCCGGCTCGAGAGTGGCTTGAAACATCCCTCTCTGTGCAAGGAAACAACCCCTATCCCAATCCCTTTCATATGAGAAAAATGCATAAGCATACATATGATATAGCTTTTATATATATATATATACATACTACTATATATGTTGGTTTTGATGGTTTTGACCATTTTTATATGGTTTGATGGCTTGGAGTAGTCCAAAATCTGATGCCGTTCTTTGCAAAGGCTCTCCTGATGTTTCACCGGCCGCTTCATCATTGCATCTCGACTGACCGCGGCCCTAGTGCCTGTTAGAGGATTTTTATGATCACTGCGGTGCTACTGTTAGAGACCATGCTGCGCTGGCTGAAGCTACAAATATCACATGGCGGTGCAGGGTCCCCCACCCACTGCAAATAAATGTAGTCAGTCAGTTATGCACTCGTCTGTAGAGGTAGATTCATCGAATGGCCTACACTGTTGGAAACTGTCAGAGATCCTTTCTTTGCTGAATGAGCCAGCAGCTTCACTAGCTTTCATCTCAAACCTGTAGATCACCATTCACTTATCTATGTCTTGTTTGCACCACATCGCAACCACATCAAAGCTAATCTGAAATCGAAGGGAGGGGTGTCACTCCCTGACGCCTGCTCGTTAAGTGTTGCTCTGACTTGACTTTAAGGTCTTTACGGCTTGAGCTGAAAAAGCTGCAGAATTGGCAAAGTTGGTCCAAGTCCAAGATGCCACAGAGTTCCACCAAACTCCGTGCAGCGAAAAGTCCTGTGGCTGCCCAACAGCCGACGAGCCGTGCGCCACGGCAAATCGTCTCCGCCCACGTGAAGCCTCGGCAGAAGAAACTGACAGCTGACAGCTTGTGAAGGTCCAAGCGGCTCTGCATCTTTTCACAGCATGTCTAAGTCAAACGAGGACATCCACAGAAGCTATAGCAATGTCCTGCTCCTACTTAGATATACCAAAATATACTACAGTATATGATATGATGCACTCAACCCTGATGCGTTGACCAGTCTGGTGCAAGACTGGTCAGGTTCGTAAGTCTCCAACCCATCAGCCTCCACCGCCAATGCCACATCCAGGCGGTCATCCACAATGAGCGGAATGTGATGTTGTTGCGTTAGTTGTCGCATCTGCAGATCAACCAATCACCGCCAAAACATCCAAAACCAAGACTGTGAACCCATGCTCAAGGACTCAAGAAACAGTCTCCTCACAAGCTACCTACTTGAAGTACTCAACCAACTCAACGTAGTGGACACCCTGGCTCCCTCTGGCCTTCTGTGCCCAGCTCACGTACACTGATGTAGAGACCTGGCGGAGATTCTGACTGTAGGGGGAACCATGGGAACCAATTGCTTGGAAGCCTCGGAAATGGAAAGCATTGTAAAACATTGTAAAACTCTGTCTTCTACCACGGTAACAACTTCTAGGTACCCGGCATTCTTCAGCCGCAGCTGCAGACAAGTTACTCCTCCTCGGAACAAAGCATGTTTGGTCACCCGTTCCCCTTTGGAACACAAACGAATGACATGTGCCACCCCACGAAGTCGTACCGTACACTTCCCATGAATTCTCTATGACAAAGTCGAAACACCGGCCTCGGATAGCGGCTTCAACCTGGCCGCAGTGACCACCACCAAGGCCACCAAGGACACCAAGGACACCAAGACTCTTGAACTTCGGCAATGGTCTGCACACGGCAGTTGAAACAAAGGCCTTGTAGTAGAATTGGTCATCCAAGAAAGCGTCGTCCGTAACAAGATAAAGCTGATACGTCCTCAGGCAGTCTACAGTCCTCTCGAATGCGGGCTTGGCTTTTGAGGTGCACAAGAACAGAAAGCCCTTTGAGGTCACAACGCTGGGTCTCGAGATCTTTGAGACACACATCTCCTGTCAGAAAACATGGAAAAACTGTGAAGCCCATTGGGCATCCATAAATCTAGCTGGGTCACATTTGGTTGTTAATTCAGCATGGGCCGCATGGCTCAGACCTCCGATTTGTTGTTGTGGTTGTTGTGGTGATGTTTGTTCTTTACTGACTGTGTTCGTAGACCGCAACCCCCCCCAGCCTCACACCTCGCCAAAGCGTGGCCATTGCACTGTGCGCAAGTAGCAAAAACTACAACGATCTGCTGATGTTTGAAAAGGCTGGACCAAGTCGACCAAGTGGGGAAAATTCCTCACAGAATTCAACCAGTGTTTGTCAACCGTGCAGGTATGTATCACCTTTCCACTTGCTACTCTGTCCGTTTGTTGGAGTATTACGTTGTGATTCCGATGATATTCTCAACTAGGTGAGTCTATCTTTACACCCGAAGTCTTGGGGTATGTTCAAAGTTTGTCAAAGGCTGCCAAAAGGCCCTTTGTTCTGTCTCATTCTGGTACAGTCTATGTCTGTATGTTTTGTGTATGTGCGTGTCTTTACGCAAAACAACTTCAAATGTCACATGAGAAAAGTATATACGAGAGAACCCCAAGATAATGTTGCAACATGTTGCAAAATATTGCAACATGTTCTAGTGATGGACAAGTTTGCCTTCTTTGTTGAGAAGTTTGTCCTTACAAATGTTCAATCGCACCAAAATGTCTTTCCATCTCTGACTCACTTGTGTGTGTGTGTGCGAATGTCTGATCTGCAATCGGTGTGCTCCATTCTGTTGACTGGATTGCAGTCCTGTAGGCTCCACTTCTGAAGCAAAATGCCGGAAGGGAGCCACGTCACAACATGCTTTGTTTGTTCTAACTTCAAACTGCCGCCACAAGGGAGCCACCCTTGGGAGCCACCCTTGGGAGCCACCCTTGGGAGCCACCCTTGGGAGGCACCTTTTCAGCTTCTCACCAGAGACATTGGACCTGGGATCCACAAAGTTTGGGCTGTGCTCTTTCCCTTCCAACTAGGTCTCCCTGCCAGTCGATCCTTTTCCTGCGACCTGAGGCACTGCAAGAGCTCAAAAAACTGCGGCAGACCCGATAGACTTCAACGGTTTTTCTTTGCGCTGCATGGCTCGCGCTTTTTTTCTTTGCTGCGGTGTAGAGCTCGCTCTTTTGCAGCTCCTGCAATGCAGCAACAGCTGCTTGCGCAGTGCATCTGTGCGCAGCTTCTGCCTGCCACACTGGTGGAATCCTGAGAGATCATCATGGGCAAAATGAGGTCCACAGTCACGGTCCAAGCCTCCATCATTGGTCCCAAGATTTGGGAAAGCAGCAGCGCCTGCTCCTTTGGCAGGTGCTCCTCCAGCCTCCAGCAGTTCACCGGCAGACGTTTGGAAGAACCGATGTCACTGGACCGTCGCCTCTCCAGCAAGGAGCAGCGCGCTAAATCTTGCATAGAGACCTGGCTCATGACTCAGAGATGACGACAAAAGTCAATAGGGCACTTGTATTCACCACATCACTCTAATTACTCTTGAAATCTCTTGAAGCCTTTCATCGCAGAGTGAACCTTTTCGTGAAATGCGAGATACAAATCCCGAACCTCGCCATGGAGGAATGGTCGCTTTTCAATGGGAGGCATGCCTCGCTCAGTCCACTCAGCATTTGTTCCATAGTTCAAGCCCTTACTCCTCGTTCTCCTCATTTGGTCATACCACTTACAACTCCATTTCACCAGATTTCACCTCGCTGTGCACTTGGACTGTCTACACCTCAGGCAATAGCCTCCATCGCTTGCTTCCCCTCCAAAAAAAGCATCCACACGGCGAGCACGGGCCAGGAGGGACTGTGGTAGTGGCCCAAGCCTTCAGACGTTGCCCAACATGAAATCAACATTTTGGATCAAGTGCAAAAAATAGACAAAAATGGAGCAACCAAAAACTAAGTCTGGCCAAGCCACAATTCCACGATTTGTGCCAAATGTTCTGGTTCTTGCGAAAGACTCTCTCGGGCCTTCCAGAGAAGCAGCAGCCCAGATTTTTCTGACTGCAAACACAATGAGGCGAATGAAGCCTCCTCGAAGCCCCGTCACAAAAGCATGTATGTATGTATATATATATATTATTACATTACATTACATTACATTACATTATATTACATTACATTACAAATTATGTTATATTATATTCTATTATATTCTATTAAATTCTATTGTATTATATTATATTATATTGCATTATATTATATTATATTATATTATATTACATTATATTATATTACATTATATTATATTACATTATATTATATTATATTATGTTATATTATACTGTATTATATTATATTATATTACATTACATTACGTTGTATTATATATAATATATAATATATATTATAGATTATATAATGCATATTATTTTTTATATATTATAATATATATATTATTATATTATATATATATATATTATTATATTATATTATATTATATTATATTATATTATATTATACATACTATATTATATGTTATTATATTTTATTATACTATATTATATTATATTATTTATATATATGTTATATTTATTATAATATATTATATATATACGTATATATATATACGACAACAAACAGCCTTTGAGTCTGACCATCGTTCCGGGTCATATCAAGAGCCACGTTGCAAAGAAAGATAAGACAGGCAGTGTCGACTACTGTAGATCAGTTGCTGAGTCATCATGGTCATCCACATTTCCAGCAATAAGTCTGCACCTGCAAACCTTTGGGTCTTGCTTGAGTACAGCGCGCATCAAAGAGGTAGCCTCAGCTGCTGGAACCTCTGTGCTGATGCACAGCTTGGAATCATCAATGCACGAGTGACGATGATGCCAAACAGTTCAGAAAATGTCTGAAGTCCAAGCTGCGACCGGTGCCCAATTCGTAGATGCTGCATCCCAAGGACCAAAGATCTGCGGAAGTGTCGTAGCCGGCATTCATCATGACCTGCATGGTCAGCTTCAAATGACCCAAACTCAACAAGATCTCGTCGATGCAACCAGAAAGTCAGTAGAGTGGTGCAGTCTGGCAGTACTCGGCAGTCAATGGAGCTATCCTTCAAAGTTGTCCATAGCCCTTGGAAAGTTTTCCACCAAAAAGCCAGGGGTAATAATTTAATAATTAAGACTTGATACGCTATGGATACTGGTTGGGACAGCCATACTGCTGACCTTAAACCGAAAACCCTGTAGAAGGGTAGCGACGTATAGCGACACATTTCGCATTTTCTGATCTTGGACCAGGCTCAAACTGGTCCCAGGTCACAAAACGGGAGCCTCCACTGCTTTGTATTCCAGCGTTGTGATGTTCAACGCAATATGGCGATTCGTGTAGCCTAGGAAATGTCAAAGCATGCAGGTTTCAACTAATGATGGACAGCTAAAATCAGCTTATTAGCTGGACGGTCTGTAGCACTGTAGCATCTGTAGATCTCGCTTCTACAATATCATTCTTTTGTATCAATCTAAAGAATTCTCTGTCAAAATGTCCCAAGCAAATGCTCTGATGTTCCACCAAAAGCATCCAAAAGCAGCAACAGCCTGGCAACAGCTGTTTCCAAGGTCCACCAAACCAAAGGTTGCATCCATACCTGCCAAACAAAAGGCATTGCAGCGCTCTTTCAACAGCTTCGCAGGCGTCTCTATAACAGTCTAGCGTGCCTTCCTCCAAAGCCAAATCCATCAGTTGCATCCGCCCGCTTCGTTTCAAACATCGTTGCCTGTGCAGAATCGTGATGCCGCCGCGTCCCAGGTGTCTTCTCTGCTGAATTCGAGTTTTTACTTTTCATCCACGAATCTCTGTGCACCCAGCTGGTTCAAAGTCCTAGTAGACCAAATGTTAGTGAATACCTGTTCCAAATAGTGCTTTCCCCTGGTCCGCGATCATCTCGGCCTGCACCTCTGGAGACAGGAATCCATCTTGGATCCCTTGGAAAAGGTAGAAAGGATATTCTCAGGTTTGATGTCCTGCAGATCACAAAGGGTTGAACCCCCAGCAGTGGCAACAGGATGATGAAAAGTTAGCAGGTTCAGTGCAAACACAAACTACCGATACACCAGCTGAGCAAGGTCCGTGTGGATCACTGAGCACACCCTGGCAGAAAGCATGCAATTGCTGAAACGAAATGCAAGATTCTCTGCATAGTCTAAACCGAACAACCAAACGTAAATCGACTTGACCATGAAAGGCTTTGTGTAGACTCCGGACCTAATCCTGATCAAGCTCGATGAAGCAATCGTGTGCTAAAGCTTGCAAGATATCACCGAAGCCTGTGTAGGTAGTCCAAAGCTATAAGAGAATCCCTCAAAGCTGCCCAAAGCAAGGGCCAGGGCAGCCGGCTCCCTCGGCAGCGCCTGAGGCTTTCGAAGGTCAAGTGTGATGCAGATGTTCATAGACTCATAGATGTTCATGGATTTTCTACATTCCAAAGTATTCCAATTCTGTCAGATGTCATTTATGCATCTGAATTCTAGTGAGTCAGCCGACTAAAAGTGGAGGATTCATTCGATTCACGTATTCACGTTCCATCAAGCCACTTCACTGTCAGTGCAGGTCAAGGCGGTCAAGGTGCTCTGCAAGACTCCAAGCAGAGGGACCCATGACTTCCATAGCAACACAGGCGTGCTGACATTGGGAGCCATGGTGCGCGAAGAGCCTCAAGGATCCGTAGGATCTGTGAGAAAGTCCGAGCCAGACTTCAACTGCATTGGTCAATTGTGAAGGAAGTCTGCCATGAATTCTTTGCGCAAGAAAAATCAAGAAAAATCCAAAGCAACGCCATGGAGCCCATAAAGCTCTGGCAGCTGGGGTGGTTGTCCTGCTGCCACAGTCTGGAGGATCTCAACCTGCACGGCTTGTTGGAAATCATGCACTCAGATGCACCCAGATGCACCCATGGCACTCCGTGATGCGAACCGGCAAACGCTTGGATTCAACAAGGAGAACGGAGAACTACCACCATCTTTTCCGTAGACTTTTTGCCTAGCCAAAGACCCTAAAAGCCGGAGGCCTTTGGTACAGAAAAATGTGCCAAATGCGCCAAAACTGGGCGAGTTCTCAACAGAAAACTGACCAGCTTCTCACTAGCTGTCCCAAGTCCGAAGCTTCCGCACCTCCTCTTGGGCATATCTTTGGTAGCGATCCACAGCTCTGTACCTTGGTTCCCCAGAGATCCCCAGAGATTGCTTAGTTAATCACACATCGAAGACTTCTGCTCAATGCAGCTGCGAACTATGCTTGCTCTCGACATCTTTGCATGTCTTGAATTGCATCGAAAGCATTGTTGGGTCATGGACACTTTCAAAGCCACAAGGTTCAGTTTCTTGTCCCGACACAGCCAAACCGATGCAAAAGCACCTCCCAAAGCATCTTGGAAGATCGTGTAAGCGATTCGTGCAGCACTGGAGCAGTGAAGTTGAGGTGTCCGAAGCACTGGCACTTCAAATTCAGCTAGACAGCCAGTCAAATGCCTGATGCTTTCAGCCAACTCAGCGGAGGAATCGGAGCATAGGGGAAATTTCCCCAAGCGCCTTCTCCTAACTTTCCAAGAACTTCAAAGCGGTCACAAAGCACCATGCGCCGCCGCAGCTCATGGGAGCCCTGGCATCGAGAAGGGCATCGGGCGTGCCACTTAGAAGATTGGAGCTGAAAACTTCTTCCTGAAAAAAACAAGCAAAGAAACTGTGAAAACATGTGAAAAGTATTGTGCAACTGGGAGTCTTGATGTGAAAAGTGTACCAGCAGTTCAGCAAGCCTCTTCGCATTCCACAACATCTGAGGATGTGTCAGAATCATCATCAGACCTAGGGGTAGGTTCATCCTAGCAAGACTCATGCGCATTTGGCAACTGACGGAAAGTGCAACTCGCTGGCGAGTCTAAGAGTTTAACGATGTGCTGTTCCATTTCACTGATAACCAAAAGACTAAAATGACATGATGTCTCCAAATCCCTCCATCGACGTTTCGATGGCCAGGGGCTCAATTTGGAGCTGGGCTGCAGCATGCGCACCAGCCTCCAAATGAAAGAAGCTGAGTTCCAAGACTCCAGTTCTGCTTTGAAGTGGCAAGATTTCTTTTCTGATCAAGTCTGGAAGAATCTTTGAATAACATGAAATGAATCATTAGTTTCAAAGGGATCTGGCCTTCCGATATTCGTCACTGCCACCGCTGCTGCTGTAGCTGCTGTAGCTGCTGCGACTGCGGCGTGACCGGCTCCGGCTTCGGCTCATGGCACAGAAGCATGACACTCTGCACCAAACGGCGGAGAAACCTTGACAAACCTTGACCATTCACTTGTTCATTGCAGGGTACGAACATGACAACAATGGCAAAGGGGGAAATTGGATGAAATTGGAACAAAATATGCAAAGCATCGCAACAGAACTGCGCAACAAATGCATTCAATCGAAGGCTCGAGGCTGAGATTGAATTGCAGCACTTAACAAGCTTGCCAGCTTTCATAATCCCGGGCTGAGGCTCAACTGATTCCAGGTCCAAAGCCACGAGGTTTGCTCTCAGAAATCAGCAAACCCATCCCAAATTTCCTGATACGGGCTGTATATTTTTCGATGTTGTTCAGTCTTTTTACAACTGGCGCTCATTGGCAGTCACGGCCCAGCCACGTTCTTTGAGCATAGCTTCGCGCCGCGAACGCAGCTCTCGATCCAAACGCCGGAAGAGGGGCGTCTTCATCGCGGAGTTTGTACTGATCTTAGATCACGACTCGAATCGACACAAGTCAACACAACTCTCGGGATGTCATACCGAGTACGGGAAAGTGTGCTTGCTTCTGATAATTGTCCTTTCAAGGTCCAAGTAAAACGTGTCGAGAGGACTAGATTCAGTCACGACACAAAAAAGCGTCGCAGGGGTTCCTCGCAAACAGTCGGCAGCTTGGACTCTGGACCGTCAGGTACTGAATTGCTCAGAGGATCAGGCTTGCCAACCTGCATTTCGACATGAAAACTGCAGAACCCTTTTCCGATGCGACTCGTTCCAATTGTGCAAGGCTTATCCCCTGCCTTGTCAGTCGGCTGCAAGTGCTCTTTTTCGTACTCAAATGCCTGGACAACCATTTCGAATTTGTCAATGTCCTGGCAACAGGGCTATTCAAACATCAAGTGTAGTTTTCTGAATTTATTGCCAAACTCTTCCAAACTCAACAACTCGCCCTTGAGATTGCTGTCGAATGTTTGCATCTGCGGCAAGGAGTAGCACAAACGAAGTCTCTAAACCATTGCGTGACCTTCGTGTGGAGGTGCCTTGCAGTAGATCGCCTCCACTGTCTGAAGCTCTTCATATTCCTTCCAGAGCTCGTAAAGCTCCATGCCCAAAGGATCTCCAACCACCTTGCGAATCGCCTGCATGGCTTGCTCCTCCTGCAGTGATTCACCGCAGGGCTCTGCAAATATGGCTACAACCGTAGTACAAGCTCAGTACAACCATAGTACAACCCAGACTGGTACTGAAACTGGCTGCAAAATTGGAAAGCAGGGCATCAAGACGCATCTTTTCCAGTAGAGACTGACACCACCCATCCTTGGTAACAGCCGACACCCTCCTTGTCATGCTTGGATGCAACAAGGCTTGCATCGCAGTAAGGCGTGATGTCCCCAGCAAGGGCTTCACAAAGGTCGTGAGTGACAGTCATTCTCAAGAGCCGAACTTTGTCCACCTGAGATATCATGAGATATTACGGGATACTATTGGGGTTTAACCATCCAAAATGGTGATTTGAGGAGATATGAACGGGAAATGTGGGCTTCATTCAAGAAACACCATGTGGTCACACGGCATTGCATTCGGCACTTTCAATGACTGTGCAGTACAGATCAGATAACCTCCATGAGTCGTTGACAACTGAAACCTTCAGCACAGCCTGTGGTCTCATCTCACTTGTGAAAACTGCAGAAAATCATGGTGAGAACATGTGATAACTTGCAAAATCATCGCAAATTCGCCTTCTCAGGGTGGAAACGTCCAGCATCACCAGAGTAGTCATCACGTGGATCAGGCGGCTGTGAGAGCAGCATAGCACACATGGCACAGCGGTGCATGTGATCGGAGTCGCTCTCAGGCAGAGGCACCTTTCTCATGACCCATCCTGTCCTGCCACGGAACAGCTGACCAATTTTCAAGCAGGCACCATTTGACACCAATTAAGTTGAAAGAATTTGAAAGACATGTTTCTTTTAAGGATGTGGCAGGTCCTCTTCAGCTTTTTGAGAGTCCCGCAAATGTCAGAGACAAACGAGAGAGTATCAGCAGACGAAGGTGTTGTGTCCGTTCTGGCACACTTCAGCTTTGGCTCCATTGCTGAGGCAGGATATGTTGGATGTGAGTGAAAGCAACTAACAAAAGGATTGGATCTGTCTCGCTTCTCTGCGATCAGGTTGTACCCCAAAGCAACGCATGTCATGATACCAATCTGCACATTCACCAACTGCCATCGTCTTGCAGTTCGCAGGCATGGCATCGGCCGGACTGAGGATCATTTGAAACGGCAACAAATGTGTGTGTGTGTGTGTGCCTGTGTCTGCGGGCTTGTGCCGGTGTTTGCTGGATAGAACTTTTCACACAAACAGGCAACTTCATGTCAGTTGGATTCTTTGTAAAGTTGTTCAATGGGCATGGGCCCAAAGCAGCCATGAAGCGAACCCTGAAAAGAGGCATTGCAAATATCAATGACCCAAGATGACTCTCATATGCAACTGTCTTGCTATGCAAGTTGATTTGTCTTGATCTTCATTATCAGCTTGAAGGGTCAAACCTGTGCTGTAGTTACTGTAGTTGGAACTCTTTTACAGCTGAGGAAAATAACCAATATGTTCACAAATCATCAAATATGTGTCAATTCATTCTGGTGAAGGCCTCGGTCACAGTCGTGAACTGAGGTGCCAGGCGCACAGGAGTGTCAGACGCTCCCAATCCCTGCGGCAAGCCCGAATCATGGCATTTCGAAATTTCTGGGCATACCGACCCAAAGGCTGAGTGACCCTTCTATGGGCGTACAGTTCAAACATAGCGAGCGCCTACCTTTTAGACTCTTTGTGCTAGCCGCTAAGCATGCACATTTTGCACGAGTCTATGGAAGTGGCTCTGGACTACACAAGGCCTCGAGCAAGGGTGCACAACCAAGCTAATCTTGACAGCTTCGCAGCCAAGCGCCATCAAAACTTGAAACCACCGGTGCTGCACAAAGTTTCTTAGTTTTCGCTTGCTGTTCATAGCGCTTCAGGATGCTGCTCTTAAGCCTCAGGTCAGTTACTATATTCACGTCAAGCTGACAAGATCCTGAAAGCCTTTATCACGCTGCTTCTAGGTCCAACAGCTTGAGCTTTGAACCAAGAGAATTCCATCGCTACATGCCAGCTGGAAAGTCAGCAGGGCCTCGGTAGTTGCATACTGACACAGCACCGAGCAAACCCTTGGAAGGTTTGAAGGGTTTGCGAGGTGCTACTTGGAATACCACTGACATGTCCACCAAAGGTTCTCTGACCAAGCGGCGTTTTCGGGATACATTTTCTGGCGGTGGCAAAGTCTGCACCCGAGATATGTAGCGTTTGAGATAGTCCTGCAGATCTCA